TGAACCCGCTCCAGTGTTGGTCAAGTCTTCTCTTGAAAGAGCTCACACTCGGTGCCGTCACAACACTTTCTGGTAGATTGTTCCAAGAGTTTACAACCCTCACTCCGAAAAAGTTTGCCCTCACGGTTTTCCGGACTTGCGGCTTCTTCAATCTTGAGCTGTGACCCCTTGTGGGGCGAGCGTCCGCCAGCTCCAAGTAAGGACACTCAACTGAGTAGTGCCCCCTGAGATGCTTATAAACCTCAACTAGGTCCCCCCTTGCCCGTCTGTAGTATAAGCTAGGCAAGTTCAGGCGCTCCAATCTCGCAGGGTAGCTGAGATGCCGAAGTGCAGGCACCAGCTTGGTGGCCCTCCTTTGAACATTTTCAACCAACTGACAGTCCCTAGCATATCTCGGGGACCAGATGGGGTGACAGTACTCCAGATGGGGAAGCACTTCACTCCTGAAGATCGTCACGAGGGACGGACCGTCTAGATATCTGAACGACCTTCTTATAAGACCCAATAATTTATTTGCCTGATTTACCTTCTTCTCACAATGGCCTGAGAACTTCAGCTCATTGTCAACATACACACCTAGGTCCTTCTCACACACAGTCTCAACTAGTACATTTTCTTCATCCCGTTGGGACATATGGTACGCCTCCTTACCGTTGGTACGCCCCAGGTGCATCCTCTTACACTTCGTGACATTGAATCTCAGCAGCCATTCCTTCGACCATTCCTGGAGCCCACAGAGGTCCTTCTGCAGCTCTTCACAGTCCGCTTGGTTCTTAATTTCCCGAAATAACTTGGCGTCATCGGCAAACATTTGTATGGAGGAGTGTACAACGTCAGGCATATCATTTATGAAACAAACAAACAACAGCGGGCCCAATACACTACCCTGCGGTACCCCACTTGTTACAGGTACAGATGACGATTTCGTGCCATTAATCACCACACATTGCTTGCGGTCATGTAGAAAGTCTTCTATCCACGCTAGGACATTTCCCCGAATTCCGTACCCTTCCAGTTTGATTTTCAGCCTTTCGTGGGGTACACTGTCGAAAGCCTTGGCAAAATCTAGGTAAATATTGTCGATATTACCACCCCGTTCTAGAATATGGGTCCAAATATCCAATACCTTGAGCAATTGTGTCAAGCAAGAGCGCCCCGGCATAAAACCGTGTTGGCAATCTTTTACAAGGTTGTTTCGTAGTAGATGTTCCATCGCTGCATCTCTGATAATACTCTCAAGTACTTTACATATTATGCTGGTCAGGCTCACCGGTCTATAGTTGTTCGTGGAGTGCCTATCGCCCTTCTTGAAGATAGGACTCACATAAGCCACTTTCCATTCACTGGGGACCATTTGTTCATCCAGGCATTTACAAAACAGAATCTTCAGGGGCTCTGCAAGCTCGTTGCACAGCTCCCTTAGCACTCTAGGATGCACCATGTCAGGTCCAGGACTCTTATGGACCTTTAGCCTGGACAGTTTATTTCTAATACCCTCTTCTGTGAACACAATGTGGGTCAGTGCTGTGTCGAACCGTCTGTCCTCAAACGCAGGAAGGTTAGTTGCATCCTCTCTTGTGAACACTGAGGAAAAGAAGCTGTTCAATGCCTCAGCTTTATCCTGGTCAGAATCTGCGTAACTACCATCTTCAAGCCTCAGGTCTGATACTCCTACTCGCGTTTTCAATTTCGACTTTGCATAGCGGTAAAACGCCTTTGGGTTTGACTTGACCTCGCGTGCAACCAGCCTTTGGAACTCCTTTTCAGCCCTCCTACACTCTATCTTTGCTTGGTTTCTGGCTCTTGCATACATCCTCCTGTCTTGCTCATCGTTTGACCCAACCCACGTCTTGAATTTCTGGGTTTTCTTCTTAATTTTGTCGACCGCCGCATGGTTCATGTGTAGGGATCCCCTCGTATTCCTAGAAGCACTGGGTTTGGTCTTGGGTATATATTTATCGATCAAATGGGTCATTTTACTAGTTATGATATTCAGCGTAGTGTCTGCGTTCTTGTACCTTAATAAGTCAGGCCAGTTGATACCCCTCATCTCTTCCCTCATCCCATTGTAATTTCCCTTGTAATATTTGCACCTTGGCCTGGCCTTATCTTGAACTAGGTAACAGTTAAATCTGAATGACAACACTGTATGGTGACTGGTGCCAACTGGGGCAAGGTGTTCCAGTTTGGCCACCATACCCTCCTCGTTTGTTATGATGAGGTCAAGTGGCTTGGGTGTTTGTTCCCCTCTGTAATGTGTCGGGTCTCTCACATGTTGGAACAGAAAATTATCTCTCAGAGTTTCTACAAAAAGAGTAGCAGGATTATTCAAGTCATTCGGGGTTGACTCGTTTCTCCAGTCGATGTCGCCATAGTTAAAGTCCCCCATGATAAGGAGGTGGCTGGGGTTGAGCATCGCCGCATTGTTTATTAAGGTTCTTAAGTTCCTTTGATTTAGTGGGCCACAGTTCGGGGATCTGTAGATACACCCGACGATAAGTAAGTCCCCTCCCTTTAATTTAATTTTACACCACTTGGACTCTTCAAAGACATCCTCTCCCTGTACCCTCGCCTGGCTGGCTCTAAGGTCTTGCCTAGCGTAGATAACCACACCCCTCCTGCAGGATTCTTGAGTTAGGTTCGTAAATGAGTCATATCCAGCAATACTGAACTCACATTCCTCTGGGTCGATTCTCCTGTTCTTGTACAACAGTTCTACAACTCCTACAATATCTGGTTGGTGTACTCTTAGTAGTGTTTCAAACTCCTCCCTCTTATCAAGGAACGTGTCGGTATTAGTGTACATGACATTCAAGCCAGAATTTGTTCTCGGTAACGTCTCTGCTCTTAGTAATAAACCCGCTCCACCCACATTCTCAGAAGCTGCAGCATTTGCTAAGTACACTGTATTTTGCAGGGTGTGGTTAAAAATTTCATTGTTTACACGGCGCTCGTTCCCTCCTGTCCGGTAGGCTGAGCTGGTGCCGCCTCCCGGGTGGGGGGTTGAGTGGGTGGAGGGTGCACTGCTGCCCCCTGGCCCTGTGTCGGCACACTTGTTTCCACTACCCTCCCCCTGAGTATAACCCATGTGCACCTGTCCCCGTTCCTTCTCGACTCCTCCCTCCTCTGCTTCAAGTCCAGCAGGAGCTTCTTGTGCTGTTCCCTCTGCATTACCGTGCGGTCTGGGTGAATAAATACATCTCGAAATGCCTCGCTCCTTGCTAAGTTTTTTGCCTGCCGGATAACTTGCCATTTTTCCTCCTCACTCCCTAATGTGATCCTGAGGGGGCGAGGCTTAGCCCCCTGCTTTTGTCCCAGTCTCCTCACATCCTGAGGGGTTGCTGGAATCTTCAGAACCTCTGTGCAAATATTTTGAAACAGCACCTTGTCGTGTGTTTCCTTACTCACAGTTCCCTCTGCCTGGCTCTCTGGGACTCCAAAAACTATTACATTGTTCCTGCGCTGGAGCCGTTCCTGGTGTTCCTCCTCTCCCCTAACAGTAGGTCCGTTAATTTTCATTTCTTCGACACACTTTTTCAGAGTCCCAATCTGCTGTAGAACCTGTACTGATTCTGCATTACTCTCCGCCCCCCCCACCCGTGGCCCTCCTAATACGTCCGCATAGCTCCTCTTAGCAACCACCTCCATTCTATTAGCTACTTCCTCAGTCTTAGCAAGGATCTCTTTCTCAACTTGCTCCAGTTTGTCAACCAGCAGGGCTCCTGCTTCATCTATTTTCGTCCCTAGAGAACTCGTTCCCTTATGGATTGCAATCGCTTCATTCACCTTGACTATGCAGCCAGGGCAATACCAGCAACAGCCATCAAGCTTTACGGCAGTTAGTAACTTCCTAGACGTTGCATTAGTTAGGCCTGCATCCTCCATATCCGACGTCTCCCTGCAGTAATCACATACCAAACTCATGGTTGTTGTTGTTGTGGGGGGGGTGTAGACTGTGTATAGATCTACACCTATTTCAAAGAAAATAAAGAGAGAAAAAAGTACTTAGCTACTCTCTGTTGCCTATGGAGTTGTCGTCTGCGACTGCGTACACTGTATCTCCCTGTGAATGGTGTATTGTAGGCACAGTTTCAGTCCTTGAGCAATATTGAAATTGGTTAGGTTTTAATTATAACAACTATTGTCTGTTGATTATCATATATTTAAAATAATTCCGTATCGCGACTGTATCGAAAATCAATACATTATTTTTTAGTGAAGTTATCAAATGTTGGAATAAGTTATTGACAAGAAGGTATTGGACGAGTCGGGTTCGTTCCCTTACCACTGCTGTTCGTTCTTTTCTCAATGATTCGTTGAGGTAGATGGAATAGTAGGTAGGTAGATAGATTAGGTTACTTTACATTGAATCGGTGTGTATATACTAGACAGTGCAGGTATATAATGTACATAGTGCAAGTATGAAGTGTATATAGACGGTGCAGGTATATACAGTAGGTTAATTTTACCCTTAACTGGGAGTATACGAACGCATATAACTGTCGTGACTGAGCTGAGACATGAAGAAACAGAGATGGAGTTTGTATAATTATGTATGTTGATATAATTTACTGCCTTCATATTTGAGTTATAATGAACCTTGGAGCTTTCTAAATTTATTACCTGGGAGTGTTTTTTTTTGGGGTTAGAGTTTACTGAGCACATACATACCATCCCGAAAAATAGTAATAAAATTCCACTAACTAGATATTAAATACGTTCACTTGACACTAGTTAGCATCTGGCTAAATTATGGTACAAAATCTCTTGGGAACGATACCTGTACTGTACTTTTTTTTCAGTCATGTTCGTTGTATGGTCAAGTAGAATGTCAATGTTATGATATCAAGATGCAATGGTAATGAATGTAATGTCAATGCTGTTGTCACTGATATCTTGATGGTATGGTTAAGATGTGATATCCAGTTGTCTGTCTGTCTACCTATCTATGACAGTGATGATATGTTACGACTAACCCAGTTTTATTGTGTGCATTACAGTGTTGACGTTGCTGCTGGTGGTGGGTGCGGTGACCTGCTCCCCGGTACCCAGCGACCAGCCCGCCTTCACCGCCCATGATGCCGCCCAAGTTGATGTCACACACGAAATCCGTCACGTCACCTTCGAGGTTAGCGAGGAAGTGAGCGAGGCCACGGCTTCTTCCCAGGTGCCTTCTGGCGAGCCACCCGAAGACGACCCTCCGATCCCCACGGCCACCACCCCACCCACCAGTCCTGAGGCACACTCCCACCCTGAGGCTCCAGCCCTAAATGTACACTCCACCCACCACCAACAAGGTACCCAGTCCACTGAAACTAATCCAGAGAGTACACCGTTCATAGAGAAGCTCCTAGAAGATTCCCAGTCCACGGAGGATCATCCAGATGACTCCCAGTCCACAGAGAAGCTCCTAGAAGATTCCCAGTCCACAGAGGATAATCCAGATGACTCCCAGTCCAAAGAAAATCAACCAGAGCATCCCGAGCCTTTACAGAATCAACCAGATGTCGAATTCCAAGAACATCAGCCTGATGAGGTGGCAGAGGGGGCTGTACATGAGGCCGAAGGTGGTGACAAGAACAGTCCAGAGCAGGACACCACGGCTGGGGCGCACACAGAGGTTATTGTTGACCATGTTGTGGCAGGAGAAGCAGATACAACCAGTGTAGGAGCAGAAGAGAGTACAGCAGGTGGAGAGGGTGAACATCATGTGGCTCTGTCTGAAACCTTAGCAGGGGAAGCAAATGGAGATGATACACACCATAATGCAGGTGAAGGTGAATTGATGAAGCAAATACACCAGCCAGTGAAAGGTAGTGAAGAACATGAAGGTGCAGATGAACATGTGACAGGAGAACATAAAGACACAACTCTCAAAGTTATTGATCCAGTGAAAGATCTGGATAGTGAGGAATCAGATGAGCAGGTGGAGACAAAATCTCAAGAGGAGGTTCCATCTTTTGTAATGGATAGTTCAGCCCCCATAGATATTGTGGAAAGGAGTGACACTGACGACACAGTTCATCACGCTTCAGAAGCCGTTGCAGAGACTATACCACAGGAGACCCGGGTTTTGCCACCCGAAGGATTAACAGCGGAGACCATCCGTAAATCCAGGGTCTACATTCAAGATCCTCGTGAAGATTCTGAAGAGATGACCCAGGCTGAAAAATCCACAGTACTTGAAAAGGTAAACAATGTACCCAAACTTGCCAACAGAGGTCTGGAAATCATGAGCATGACCTCCCCCACTCCCGAAGGTCCTCCAGAAGGGGCACCCACTGATGAGTTGGAGACAGAAGAGGAAGCTCCTCCTTCTGATGAAGAAATTGAAACCTCTGCATTATCTGCCGAAGATGACCCCGAGGCAAACAACACCACAGTTGTTGTTGAGGAACCAGTAAGTTCTGAAGAGGAAGATGGGGTGCTGCCAGAAACAGTATCAGAAACAATACCCGAAACTGTATCAGAGGAGACAGAGGAAGATGAACCGGTAGTAGTACCTGAAGTGGTACCTGTTGTACCAGATACCCACGACCTGCCTAGTCCTAGCTCTGCCCCTTTACCAAATGAAGAGGACACTGACAACTATGGTGATCCTCTCGACTCTGACAACGACAACCTTCCAGACTTTGATGTGACAAAAGAAGAGTTGCCATCTAAGGAACATCCTTTACCTGAGGTGACGGCTGAGCTGCCCATTCATCCTCGGGACCAAAGGTAAGGTGTTTGGTTTTCTGCCTCCTCTCCTCCTCACGGTATACTCTTCTGTATTGTATTGTACTGTACAGTACATACTGTGTAAGTGGCAATGGCTACACACTAGAGTTGTCACACATTAACCTGGCATAACTGAAGACAGTTCTTTGGGTTTGTGTAAGTTGATATACTATACTGTGTCTTTTTCTTTCTCTAATAAAAAAGTTCTTAGAATTCTTTACCTGTATAGAATTTTCATTGTCAGCTAAACTTGTGAACTGTTAGAGTTACAAGAACACTTCTTGATCCCTGAATTGTGTGTTTTCGAAAACCGTTTTTCTTTTAAATATAAACTGAATATTGGGTAAAAATTAAATATTTATGTCCTCATCATTTATCAATTTGTAATTATACTGTATGGTTGTAAATTACATATCACATACTGTACTGTACAGTCACTAGGCACTACCCTTGCATTAGTGTATGTACATATTGTTGCACTAGTTGCCTTATTTCAGCTTCAGTACTGTAAATACAAGTACAGTATGAAAAATAGTGTTCTTTTTAAACAAAGTAGAGGTCAATATGATTTAGAATAAGAAACACTGTAAAGATACAGAACACTTGAAGCGCTCTGGGTAAGAGGGGCGAACCAGCCAACTTAGGCCTAACTGATGCGAAAAAGAAAATTGTATCCTAATCTAAAAGTACAGAACACTAATTTTCCTATTATTTGAGACCAATTTCATTATTTTCGTATAGTCCGTTACAGATATACACACAATCTAATGTGCACAAATCAAAACATTGTTTTGGTTGATTCACCCCTCTTTTCCCCATGGCCTCACGTGTTGGACAGTTATACAATAATGCTGCTTGGAAAGGTCTTCTTTGTCAATAAGAAACATGCACAGGGTGGCTCAAGGTGTGTTACTGTATGTTATGGCAAACTGTAATGTAGCGTTGTAGTATCATTATTACTATTGTACTGTACTGTACATTATTTTTATATTAATATTTTGTTGTTGGAAAAGAAAATGTCATCAGCCAATTATCCACAGTGAGAAAGTGGACGAGGAGGAGTCAAGTGATCTGGCTGCCGGGGATCACACGCTAGAGGTGGAGGCTGGCACGTCATGGGTGTTGCCTCCTCAGCAAGAGAAGGTCAGCGCCGTTGCACCAGAGGCTCTGACGCCCGGTTGTATCGTGGGGATTGTGTTTGGTGTTCTCTTCTCGCTCGTCATATTATTAGGTTTGTCAAGCTATTATGTAAAGTATACTGTACATATAATAGGTGTGTCGAGGTGGAATTGGATTATGTAAAGAACAGTATGTATATACATATATATGTTGTATACTGCTGCCTCTCACATTCAAAAAATGCTTGAACATGCCTCTTGCAACACTAAACATCACTGTACTGTATAGTCATCTTAAGCCAAGTGCATAAATGATTCAGCAGTACAGTACAGTACAGTATATAAAAAGGCATATCAGAAAATACTGCACCAGCCAGACCAGCCAGGTAGGAATTTTCTTGAGGATACTCTTGTATCTACTGTTATGAGTCTTGGAAGAAATATAGTGTACTGTTACTGTATTTGTTTTTGGTGGATAGAATAAAGGGTGCTTCACCACATCAACAGGTGTGGGAGGCTTCGTGGTGTGGCAGCGACGCACTCTCAACCGGCCCAAAGTTCTGGGGTCTGACCGAGGGTATGCTGGCTCGGACTCTGGCGGCTACATCGATGACCAGGTTCGCGTCTCCTATGTTAACTCACAAATCGACACACCCAAGGTAATTTAGCAAAGCTTTCCTTCACTAATACATAAACACACATACACAAATTAAATGCTAGTTAAAAATATTCAAAATATACACATTATGTATACTTGTACAGTATTTTTTAAAGCCTTACCCAAAGTATTTTTAATTATACCCTTGTAGAAGGAATGACGTAGCTTACTACAACAGTTTAAAGAACAGCATTGTGTTGCTAGCTTAGCACAGCACAAGTAATTATAAAACCCATCACAAAATATTGGCCACCTTCACAGACATAGCTCACTGCACAGTACTGCACTTGTTGATTCAGGGTGTGTTGTTTACCACTTGTCTCCATATTACCTTTAATAGTTCATGAAGCACAGCACACTCCTCTGGTGATGTCATAAAAGGAGTACAGTATCTTTATATTTTAAGCAGTACTGTACTGTATTTTGACAATTTCCAGAAAGTGTTGCAACAATAAGTAAAGTATTTATACTGTATATACAGTAAATCCCACCCAATCCCTGAAATTTTCAATCACAGCCAATGTGTATAACAAGAGAACAGACCAACAGCCAGACTAGTTAATAAAACGACGAATTTTGAATGTGAAAATGTAATACAAAATCCATGTAATCTGTGCACACGTGTAGTATGAAAGCTTAACACACTGAGAAATGCCCAAAATGGTTTCGATCTAAACACATGTGAATACAAAGGGAGAATAAGTGTAATATGATTATTACTGCACTACAACATCTGCTAACATTATGAAAACATTACACCACAGTAATAACTAAATGAATTACTGTACAGCATGACATACCAACACTCATCAGGAGGTGGCGGTGAGTGATGTCATACAGTACAGGCTTTACACTATTCACTCAATACACACTACTGTACAGGTCTTTATTCACTCTCACTTTAAATTATATTAGTAATGTACAGTAAGTAGGTGGTAGTACAAGTTGTACAGTACAATATTCACTTAACACACAGGACAGTACAGTACTTTATTCAGTCTGCAAGCCCTAGGATTGTGACTCTGTGGATTGGGTGGGATCTGTTGATATATAAATACTGTTTATGCTGTTAAATTTCTTAACCATACATCTTTTGTATTATTCTATGTCCATGTACAGCTGTATACACTGTATACAGTATTAACATTAAGTATCCTCTTGTTAATTACATTAACTTTTACCAAATAAACATTTCCCTTTTATATTTATGTGTGTTCTTCTACTAATTTTCTATCTTAAACTTGTACCTTCCTGGTTCTCTCATTACACCTGAACTTGAACGTGTGAAGGGCCAGACTCCGCAGGCCTCTCAACCTGAGCAGGCCCAGCAGGTGCCACAGGTTCTCATCCACCTCAAGAACCTCAAGCCATCACTACCTCAGGGCATGGGGGACAAGCTCAAGAAGTCTTTGCCCACAATGCCCAAGATAGCCCCTATGAACTTGCCAAACATTGGGCAGGTCTTCACAAAGCGTGAGTGGGACGAGGCATTTCCTCATCCCACCTGTAGACTTAGAGCTTCCCTGTCTTCTTTTGATGTGATGTCCTTGCCGGCGGTAAAGTTTGGTCATTTAGTTACCGACCGCACATCACAAGTCATGTTATTGAAGTTGCAGACAATGGCAAATATTATCCTAGATATTGGAAAGATGGGCAACAGCATACAAGAGTACAATAAGTAGTTAACCAGTAGGGATTAAATTTACAGTCAGTGGATTTCAACAAGGCAGTTGATGATAAAACTATATCAAGAAATTACTGTATTATGTCTTCAAGAATCAGTTACTCTTAAAATATATTATGAAAGGAGCAAATATAGCTAAATTCAGATTATAATTTTTTACCATCTGTCCACCACAATCTCAGACAAGCTAATGCCAGTGAGAAAAACCTTAAAGGATTTCGTCCTTTATGTAATATGGCCAAGTGTATTTACCAGCGTTATCAAGCTGTCAGACCCTTTGTTTTCTTTGTGCCATCAGCATCTTCAATAATTGTGTAGAAGACAGTAACATGTAAGGTAGTGTTGGTGTCTTATGGGTAAGGCTGTCTTGTATTTAGAGTGAAGTTGTTGATATAGAACATGTAATACAGTATTTACCTGTAGTTATATATCATTGTGTAGTAATAGTTAAAACAACAGTGATGAAAATAGGTGCTTGAGCCACCATAGAGTAAGGGAGATACCATGTCATTACAGTACAGAGCGTACAGTATGTGATTTACCCTACAGTATCCATATATTTTTTCCACATTCAGTGTGGCTGTACAGAATCTCTTCTAAAGCCATCATTGTTTATTAAAACAAAGAAAAAATATATCAATAAGAAAACTTTAGTTCCCATATATGTGATACAGATTTAGATCCTCGAGTCACATTAAACTGATAAAGCTTGGGAATTGTTTTTGTCGTTTGCATTCATAACCCTGATATGTCCCATCTGTGTACTCTAGGGTTTACTAATGTTTGCATGCATCATTTTGGTGTTGAAGACAGGTCTTCCTAGCCTGCACATAATTTGTGCATCTTGTTAATTGATGGTTAGTTGTACTGGAGAGTTCTTTTCAGTTAGACTAACTGGTCTTCCTACAGAGCCAATGAGGGCCATCTTCCTTGGTTGAGTGTTAGTACTGTTGGAACTGGAGTACTGTACTTTTAAGAAAACCTGTTGATAGTCGTTAGGGTCTCACTGGATAACACCCGTCATAGTCATATTTAACAAGAACTGGGATAGAATGATAGCCTTCCAAAGAAGCAACAGGACTGTATGTCACATATGTCCTTGTTGTCTTCAGATTTCAAGTACTAACCTGATTTTTTTCTTCACATTTTATCAAGTAATATATTGTACATGTAACATCAGAGGTGTTAAACACTTTCTTAACTACTATACTATATATAATACCAACATTAGCTTTAAATATATAGTACTGTACTGTATTGTGTTTTTCAGTGTGTGACTGCCTCCACATGTTTAAATAATCTATCTTGTACAGTTAACAATAAGGAAAGTTTTCATTAAGAAATCTCTGAAATAATTAGTAAAATAATATCATTGTTTGCTTCAAAGGAAAACACTACAAGCTGTAATGTGTGAAGTAAAAGTTCCTAGACTATTTTTTGAGGAAGCTTCCATAATTTCTTCAACTTTCTTTCCTCTCTATACTACTGTAAACTTTCTTCACACTATGTTTAAATCAAATAACACACTAACTGAGCATTGTGTCTTCTTGTGACCATAATAATTAATCATTGTATTAACCATTATGAATATTAATACTTTTCAGAAGCTTTTAGTCATATTTTACCAAGAAATAAACCAAGCAGTGAAGAAGAGGGAAAGTTCATCTTGTCGTGATGCTACTGTCATTCACCAGCCTGTACTGGTCCTCCCCACATGAAGACACCACTAACATTCCACTTTGTTTCTGTTACAGGGGAGTCCGGAGGATCTAATCAGCCTGGACAATGATTCCTTCCTCAATAGCTTGGAATCCATGACCATCCAGAACCTATGGACCGACAATATCCGGCACACCAAGTTGTAGCCCAAGTCGAGTGCAGCTTCTTACACGGAGCCCACCGCTACAGTCGTGACGTTACCTAGCTACAGCCCTGTAGCCAACCCATCAGCAAGTTTAGACAAAAATCCTACCGTTAGTTACCATCAGCTTCTGACTAATTTGGGCATAAGTTGAGGTACAGCCCACACAGCACAGTTACCATCAGTTTATTGGTAAGTGGAAGGAAAGTAGTGACCTTAGTTGTCGTGGAGCCAATCGGATGCTGACATCCCCAGAGGTGAAAATGCTACTGTATATTTTATGTTTGGTCTTGTATTTTTTTAGATAAATCATAACTGAAGGAACACTATAAATTGCAGGGGGTGTAGTTTTTTAGTCATTGGTCAATACTGTATATGATTTATTGCATATAGATTATGAATTTCATTGTGATATTGGTACACAAGACATTGTAAATTGTCTTAGGAGGGAAAAAAATCGGTGTGTGTGTGTATGTGTGTTTGTAGGAACAGTGATGAATACAGGTATGATAATTCCAGTCATAGTAATGGTAAAAAAAAAAATCTCATTTGTAATTATCTGTTAACAATCTTCCAAATGTTTCCATAATCATGTGACAGTTCATTGTGTGTGGAGGATTAATTTGATATAAGATTAAGAACTGTCCATATAACTTCAGTGAAATTCTTCTCTTCCTTTGCAAAAAAAAAAATTCATGAAAACAAAACCTTTATATTTTACATATGAAATTTTATAAGTTACACAAATCACTCGAGGATTTGAAAAAAATTAGTAATTCAGGTTGTAGTGTACATAGTTCCTAGGATTTAGCTAATAGTTATGGACAGTAAATCTTAATTTTGTAAAGTTGAAAAGGAAGAGGAAAAAAGATATGATGAAAGGGGACAAGTTTTACAGGAAGAATACAGTGTGTACTGTAATACTGTATTATACAGTATTGTTGTATTGGAAAAATGACTAATTTATAAGATTAATTCCATGTGCTGTTAAAGTGAAGACTACAGTATATGAGAGCAGCATGAACCAGTTTTCTCAAGTTTTAAATGTTGAAATCGTAGATTAATTTCCATTGGAATAATTGTACATCAAGTGAAACATCAGTGAACATGATTGTCATTGATGGTAGAAAATTTACTTGTATGTTTTGGTAAACTGCATCCTTTAAGACCTCAATATGAAAAAAGTATTGACAAGAATATGAGCCATGATGTTACAGATAAACACAGTACTGTAGTTGAAATGTTGTATATTAAATGTCCTTTATAAGTTACCGTACACAAACTATTAATAAGACTACTGCTTCTGTTATGGTGATTCTTAAGTGATGATATGATGAAGTGATGATACAGTACATAACATGAATATAGATACTGTATATACAGAAAAAAAGATATTAAGACATAATAACCTAATCATTAAGTTCAATCTACAATGGCAAGGACTTTTTTTATTGTGAATCAACAATTGCATTTTTATGTCATACATATCTAGAAGATATTGTATATCAACAAATATTGCATTTTACTACTTGGCATCACCAGTGTGTAGTAAGTACAGTTTGACATGCTTATTATGCCTGAAATATGGGTACAGTATATTGTACACCGTTACAAGTTACACTTGACTAGATCATTATCCTCTCTGGGGTAAATATACTGAAGGAATTGTCTTGTTGACTTGACACAAACTAGATTAATAATCGTGTCGTATTGCCATTCTTTTGAAGCAATATTTAATTTACTAAACTTATATTTATCAATATTTAATAGATTATTATTATTACGTATATACTGAATGTAATCATATCAGTGTCATTTATACTGTGTTGGTGGTTCATATTGTGTTCTACACCTGACGAAATGTAATTGACATCATTTTATCTTTTGTTAAAGAGGGAATATTAAGTAGCTATCACTTTGATAACATCTCCATGGCTGTACAATTTTTAATTCACGTTTTTATGCTAATTTGTGTTCTATCTTTCTTTTAAATTCACAGCCACAGGTTATATCAAGAACATTGCCTGGGTATGTTGAATATTATAATATACTGTACTGTAGTAATATAAAACATCATGACATATTACAAAGTACAGTACTACAACTCGATGGACATGTATGGAACATACTATGTTTTCACAGGCAAACTCTACCTCAAGCTCAGTTCAAATTATGATGGTCTCCTGGAGACTTTACAAATATCATATTTTTGTTGCTCAAGGTGGAGTCTGGATTTGTGAGAAGTAAATGAATATTTGATAATATCCAGGATATTACTTTCACCTGATATAGGTACTGCAGCAGCATGTTCTCACATTTTTTTCATAAGGCTTTGTGGTTTACTATTTTGTGAAATTGTAGATCACAATATTTGTCCCTCACTAAAATTCAAGACAAGCAAATTATTCTGCTTACCGTATATACAGTATGCTGTACTGTACGTACTTTGTTGTCATCCATGTAGTGCATACACACTGATATCATGTGCTGGTATCAGGTGCTTGAGAGAAATAATGCATTTGTATTGGTTGTGTGCAGGTGTTGTAGCCCAGTTTTCATGCAAGAATTCTAGGTATACAGTGACATGCATACTATTATTTATTGTGCATCACTCATGATTTTTGTGTGTAAAACAACTACATAGTGCATAAATGAACATGTTGCTGTGGTGCTATGAACAAGTTTGCTATAGTTTTGGCAGGGATTGAAAGCTGAAGAAGTATAGGTTAAGTGGAACTGCTAAATGTTCAAACTTATTACGGAAAAAGTAGACCCTCCACTTCGCAAAGGTTTTAATATCTGTAAAGTAGCTGTTGAGAATACTTTTTCTAAACTTTAAAAATAAATTTTAGTTGCAACTTGGATGTCCATGCAAGTGCATCTTAGCATTTGGTGTATTCTACTATAAAGGATGTGAAAGACATACACTCCTCTGAGATTAATTGCTTTTCAACATCTACTGCAGATTTTAGTTATTTGTTCTTTGTGTTTTTACCTCCTCTTGTGTAATTTTTTTGTTTACTACCAACGTCTCTTACACTTTCACTATCTCGAGTATGAAAGTGACTAAGGAAGAGAATCTATTTGGCTGCTAACCTTATTTGGTACATAGTTAGCATGATACCTGATAGAATATTATGCTAATAATAGTTTTCCTTTATGTCTCCCTCATAATTATGGCTCAGAAGAACAGAATGTATATAAGATATTTTATCATATACTACTTCCAGTACATGGTCTCAGAGGTCTTTTGAATTAATTGGTGTACTGTACCAGGATTTTTAGGAATACCACCTTCACCTTTCTAGTCCTCCATATAAGTGATTCCATGTTTATGCAACTATTAGAGGGATTATTTCATGTTGAATACATACAGATGGTTTTTAATGTTATTCTCCATAATACAGGTATATGGGGAGGCTACCTTACGAGGCAGTGCACCTCGCGTTTTTCTTCAGGCAAAACTCATGGTACTAAAAATGTTGTATATGTATTACGTCAATTTTATTACCGCAGTTATTTCATCATATATAAATCGGTATAGCAGAGATGAAGTGTACAGTTTTTAAGAAGTTTAATATCCTCATGTTAATGTAGTTCCCATATTTGTAAATACAGTACAGTATCATTATCTTGTTTGGAGTGAGACAACAAGTAGAGGATACAGAGTAAGTTCAATTGTACCCCAGCAGCTAAAGGTTAACTTCTAATTTGTTAAGTTAAAATTTAATTGGTAATAACTAGAGCTGGTGAGGTACAGTCTTGCTCCCAAGTCTTGTAGATTCTTTCTACACCAGCTCACTCTGGGTAGGGTTTATGCATCTATCGAGATCTCAAGCAAGTGTTACAAATTTTGAGAAGTTTTCTCCCGTGACCTGTGTGGGAGAGCTATACAAGGAGTCCCCATATGAAAGCCATGTTTAACGTGTTTTCTCCTACAAAGTAATAAAACTACAACATATAGCAATAGTAGCTTGCTAAACTGATTGTGAAAAATTTTTCAATTTGAGGAAATTCTGCTTTCATAAGCTTCATGAAGATTTTGGACATCAATATTATCTTCTTTTTTTTTTTTTTCAAAAGGGGAAGGTATTTAAAGATAGTTATAAAGTGGAAAGTAGTTGTTGTTTCAGCCTTTCCCCTAAAAGGTATACGCTTCCTATTGAATGTGGTTTTGTATTAGCTTGCATCTAAGATACTTAGGAAGCATATGCTGCAAGTGCTCCTTTGGACTTCATTGTGGTCTACAGTTACATAAGGGCATGTGGCAGCACAGTATTTACACTCATTTTATAAAATTTTCAAAGTTGTTACATTTCCAAGGGCTACTGTAGTTAGAATAGTGTGGTCTCTCTTAGCTTGCCCTTAGTGAAAAATTACTCCAGACCTAATCCTAAACATTAGCTTCACTTCGGTGAGTACAAAACCCTGGGCTTCGACATGTGATATTTACCCGATCCGAAAATGCCAGTGACAGTACAGAACTTCATCACCATGTGCTAAATCATGCTAGGAACTTGATAGGTTTACGGAAGTCAGACTCCGTGGCTTTGTGTGTAAAACGTGATGTATGAGGATGTACTCATTACTTGATAAATTATTCCCAACTCAATTGTATGTATGATGTGTCATATGGATTAGATGATGTTCTATCATTGTAAGTCAGGCAGAAGTATTCAATACTATTTCTATATCCTGTTTTTGATGTTTACACGATGTCCATTTTCAAACCAAAGATGTATAGTTTTAGGAATGAAGTTAAAGAATAAAAGATTATGGCCTCAAGGGCATTATGCTATATACCTGTATATTGTTTAAAATTTCCTGTAAGTTTCTTCCTTTGAAGGTTAATATCTAATGATTGTTTGGGTCTCTTGGTGATGCTCAGGGTAGCAGAGGAATCACCACTATGCTTAGATGCCACTGCATTCACTCTTGGTGATGCTCAGGGTAGCAGAGGAATCACCACTATGCTTAGATGCCACTGCATTCACATTCATGGAAAGATGGCACTTAATTTGCACCAAACAATGAGTGTGAAAGGATTGGGGTGAGCGCTGTCATGCTCCTTGAATGAGAGTACAGTACATACGTTCCTGCATAATCTGAGGACCAAATTAGCCACCCCAGCGAACTCCCTGGCTGGTGCACGATTTAAATTTTCTATGAAGTCAACATTCGGATAAATGAATATTGCCTTCAGATAGCAAAAAAGAGGTGTAAGAACTAATAATTGAATATTCAGATAAATTAATTTTTGATAGCGAGAAATACTGTACCTGTACAGTACTAACCAATTTTATTATACGAACTTAGTGTGTTAAGAAGGACCTATGTTCTCTGCTTTGAGCAGCAATATGGGCCAAAAATATTAACAAGGCTTAGAAGATGAGCCTTGTGAAAAAAAATAAACAATTGCGTAAAATAGAAACAAAACGGATTATAAATTGAGAAAAAATTGTTGAAATGGTACCTAAAATAAAATACATTAGGAAATTCACACTAAATTTAAATATCTAACTACCTGTACTTTTTTCAATAAGCGGAAACTAGCGCAGAACAGATGTATTGATGGACGTTACCACCTCCGTAAAACGAGTACAAAAACTGGAGCCAAGCAGCAAGAGCACATTGAACGATCACCCACTGAGGAACAGTTGGTGGAATACAAACACACTTCAAGTTAGTTGAATATAAACTCAATTATTGTTCCCATATTGCCATTCTCAACATTTTATGGCTAGGTGCATTAAATCATTAGATACTTCTAACCACCTGTCCTGCCCTTTGTGTGCATAATTAAATTGTTAAAACTTTCTCCAGTTCTTGGATGGAAGATTGTTTCAAGGATCAACATTTTGATATGTGAAGGAAGATTTGCAGTTTTAACCAAGGTCAGTTTACTACCAATAGCTTGTCAGGAGGTTGGTCAATTCTCCAGTACAGTACACAATGTTTGTAAGTTCATACTGAGGCATACATGGGTTTTGAATGTATCTGAACATGTTCCAGTGTTTGTCAAGCCTGTGCGCAGATTCTGCGTTGGAGACTCGGCACACTGATGTTAAAACTTTTAAGATCTACAGTATAGACACCAGAATGCCTAGGTTCTACTCTTCCATCTTTGATGTAATGGGTATTGTTCTGTATTCCTTCCAGTCATACTCGATTGAAATAGAAACTATTCTACCTTACCTTATTTACCTAATGGCCACCCAAATGAAAGATGGCCATGCCGAAGGAAGGAGATCAGTAGCCTGTGTAGTTCCCATTGTTCTTGATAGCCTTGTCTAGGTCTATTTTGAAGCCCAGTAATGTTCTCAATTCCACAGCTTGTGCATCAAAAAATAAAGTTTAGTTCAATTGGCAATATCTGAAATGGATAAATCATTACAGTACGTTCTATATAAAAAAATAAGAATAATTTATCATCAGCATTTTCTACACTGGCATGGGTTTGCCACCAATGAGAAAGTTGTCCTCTGATAAACTTCCCCCTGGGGAAGTTACACAAGGAAAGACTTACCCTCTTACAATGGTACAAAGCCATAATTATAATTAATAATACACTTTGGAGTGATTGTGACACTTTCTAAAAATGTACCTCCATGTCTCCACATGTGAATTTGGAAACAAAAAGATTATATTAAACTCATTTCCACAAACGTCCAAGACAAATGCTGATCCTTTAAACATATTCAGGTTAAAAAAAAATAATTGCATAATTATGTTATAAAAAGTAATGTATTTCATTCACTGGCATCAATTTGCTTATGTAAGTACAATTCAGCAGCCAAAAATTGTGGACATAAAATGTAGATGTTATAAACCTCGAAAGATACTATGGACATGCTTAACTTGGCCATTCACTGCTTGTCTGCATTTGTAAAATTTTATGAAAATGAGTTGTGGTTGCCTCAGACACATAAGAAGCAACATAATTTTGCTCAATTTACAATTACTGTATAGTCATAGACTCTCATCCAAGATTTTAGCCAGACATACGAGTATTTAGTACACGTTCACTAGCTTTATGCCACTAACTTTACACAAGCACTTTTGGAGCATTGATAGGTTTAAATTTGCCAGAAATTCATCACATAAAAATTTAAATAAGAATTATTCAGGCATCAAAGTAACCACCAAAATTATTCAGGTGAAAGAGCTGTGATAATGAGAAGGTAAAACAACTGACTACAGGCTATGTGGGAGGGTGTAAGACAGGGACTTCTCTGGTAAAATTTAATCGGTACCAAACTAACTACCTCACTGACACAGTCCTTTTTAATGGTTACATGAATATCTCCCACAGCCCGGGAAGCATACAATACTTACTAATGAAAATCATTCGTAATTATTATTATTGAGAACTAGATATCCTTTAATATTCTACCTCTCACTGTACTACATTCATCATCGTCAATAATGGGTTACGGCCAAGTTCCACACTTGTGCGAGTTATCTGTATTTTTACTCGTCTTATCCGTTATGAATCAACTTGCAGACTATTAGCTTCCTGATGACTGGTCCCACAGCCTGACCAAAACATTTTTTTTTCCCAAACAATATACAAATGTTTCAGGTTGCATAACCCAGGTAATGATGGTAGGCAGATACAGTATAGAAAGCAGGAATGAACCCAGTTCTTAATCTATGGTCTGTATCAAATTATCCGGCAGCACCAAAAATAATATTAACAAGGTCAAAAGTGACAAATCAAGGGAGTTAGTACCGGTATAATAAGTGGCACATGTACTGTACTGTATATGAAAGTGTGTGCTAGTTGTCCTGGTGTCAGCCAAAGCTCTTTCCCCACCAGCCCCCAATGTAAGCATAACCAATTTCCATGAATCCCCAAAATCATTTTACCAGTAAATGAGATTAAAATACTCTGTACAGAAAACTTTGATGCCTGATCATTATAAGAAATATGTGGAGCTTAAAATTACTTGACTATTACATGATGGCAGTGAGAGTAACACCATAGTAACCTGCTGAAGTCTACACTAGTCTAGTTGCCAGTAGCTTCACACAACATACAAGAATAATGCAATAACAGTCATGGGAAATTTTTACATGTACAGTATGTCATAAGAGAAGCATCTTGTAGAGCAGGGAGGTAAGGCTGAACCTCCCCCAACAGTACAATCCTCATACACCTCCCACAAGCCCTACTATAATAGCACCTTATTTTCCAAAATTATGAGACGTGATCACTTCAAACAGATCATGGATGTAACAATTTGTGGAAAGTCATTCTTAAAGACAAACTGTTGACACAACTGTTATTGATAATTACTTGTAAGACATTAATGGCCTTTATATACAACTCTTAGATAAAGAAAATTGATTTTCCAACCACAGTATTTGTACTGTATTTAGATCCTATCAAAACAGATAATTATGATCACTTCATTCTAATAAATTATATACTTAAAGTTGAAATGAGTTGCACAGACCTGATGGCCTGTTTGGAGCAAGCAATGCACTCAACTACCTTCACTTCCTGAACTAGTCAGTACCCCTTTCACAATGTGTGAATCAATTGAGGTCCCCTGGGTCCACATCAGTAACCCATTGGACAGGAGACAAATGCTGTATCCATTTTTTTTATTAGTAACATCCTTAAAAGTAAAATAACACGAGTAGCTTTTGTTACTACAAACTCACAGAGTTAACACAGCCTTCTGGAGTAAACAGTGTTGAACAGAAAGCCACACCACCAGCAACTACCGGTACTAGTAACAAGTCTTACTCAGCAGATAACAATTGTACTATACAAATTAAAAGTCTGTTTCAAAGAACACAAAAATTGCTATGTGAGGGCAACACAGTTCACCTACATTGCACAATGTTATACAGTACTGTATTTGAAATATCCACTGAGTAAAGACTTCCCCAAAATATGCTCATTTAAGAAACTTAAATGTACGGAAACAATTTCATATTAGTTAATGCGTAAAACATCAAGATCAATGCATAAAATCTGCTGTACTATGTGTGGACAAACAAAGCCTGACTCTTTATTAATACCCTGTTTGAAATGTTGAAGATAATTAAATGTGTTCTATATCCCTTATGGATTGTTAATGGGTTGGGTTATAAAAATACATTAGAAGAGGATATTTAGCAAAGTACAGTACAGTATATAGAATAAATTATCATTGATCAAATGTCCATTTTCTCTTTCACTTGATATCAATTATCCAATTGTTAATCACCTAAGGTTTGATTACCTGGTGGTCAGTTGCCCAAAGGCTAACCACTAACCACACGTCACTGTGTGAGGACAACAACACTATAGAGTATCACCATAACTTTGTGCCAACTTTTAATCATAGAGAAATTGTGCTAACTGGCTACTCCAAACTTTCCAAAATGACATCAATAAAGACAATCCTTTTACTGTAAAACCCAGTTATTTCACCAACAACAATCCTGTGATTCAAGAATGGAACCTTAGAGATAGAAATATTTACCTGCAGGAGTTATGCGGAATATGTGTGATTTAAGTACAAAGTACACAGATGGGAAGTGTGACTCACTAGTATTGGTGCATTACTTAATATAAGTGTTAATGAAACCTGCTAGTAAAGGATGTTTTAAGTATATAAATAAAGAATTGATCCACAAATCCCACTTTATGGCCGAACCCAATCTAATCAAGTCATGCATTGTACAGTACTAATAAATTTATTGTGTTTAAAATCCAGGTATTCCCCTCAACATTAGTGGCTGGGACAAATTTATGTACCAGTCACACCTTCCAGTCATAACTAAGTTCCTAAAAACGGCACTTTAAAGACAATGGTCACCATTCAAGGTTTGAAGGCAACAAGTCGATATCACATAAACTTGTCCACACCATTGTTTGTCAACTGGGTGGGCCATATTAGAATACCTGTACAACAGGTATACAAAGTTCTCCTCTCACAGCACTAACACTCAGTAGCACAAGAGAGGCGAATGTACCATTATTGAGCACTGTTTAAGATGTAAAAATATACCTAAGGTAAGTATATACAGTACAGTGTGTATATATATATATATATATATATATATATATATATATATATATATATATATATATATATATATATATATATATATATATATATATATATATATATATATATATATATATATATATATATATATATTAAGTTTAGTGATTTATATTGTCATACTAAGGGTACACAATATAAATAAATTGAAAGAAAAATATATATATATAATATGACACTACAAATTTCAAGACAAATATTTGGCAACAAGAAGTGGTTGCTCTCAGCCTCCCAAAGATCATTTATTTGTTGGGCTTGTAGTGTGTGTGGGAGGGGGGCAGTCTGTGTTAGTACACACAAGATAATGAATAACACAAGATCATAATTAAAGTTTGTGATACAACTTAATGCAGTAACTGCCAGTACTATTATTATTATTTACCATCCCTGAATGATTATAAGAAAATATGAAATTTGTAAACAAGTTTTATGTACAGTATTGTATTTCATTAAATAAAAAATTCAACTACAGGGTAATAGTATTTTGAGAGAGCCATGTCAGATACGGTTGTTGCTTTTTCTGCCCACCAACTGCCAGGATATTTCAGAAAGTTAGATTACGGCCTACCCAAGGTACAGTTGCCCAGCCACACACCCTGAGAACCATATATGAACTCACAAGCCGCAGCATTGTTGTCAAATGTCTTCTCTGCTACTTTGAACTCGGGATTTATTGCCAGCTGAAATCAGTAGGCAAACTTGTTATCAGTATTAAAGGAAATAATTAGAAGAATAAATACATCACCTCAAGATTACCTGATATTCCCACCAAGCTTTATTTCACCTTAATTCTAACCTCACCTAACTCCACCAGGTAGCATTAGTGTGTTTAATCGTCAGGTGAAATAAACTAGGGGGACTGATCTTCAGGTGATACAAATAAATATAACATATATAGTACAATAGGTAAAACATTATTGATAAACAACCTGAGTGGGATCATCTTAGAAAGTAAAGGTGCTTTCTTTCTTACTGAGATGCTTATTATTTTTTCCTCAATGGTGCTATATTTGAGTCAATAACCTATGATTCTGTTATAATGTATATCAGATCAAGGGTACTGTACTGCACGTCGCATCATTGAGAAAATATTGAGGATGAACTAGGGAACAATAAAACTTAATATAATAAGAGGTAAACAAAATGTAATTAAATTAATTTCTTTTCATTTTTCTGTTGTATTGGAGAAGAATGGCAAGTGGCTAGTGAGCTGACCTGGGGGCAAAGAGCATAAAGATGTGGTCAGTGAATCAGTGGTGAAGAGGTAGGTAATTGAGTGAGTGTCTTGGGCAAGTGGGTCACATCCAGCCAAGAATACTACCGGTTGTTATGTAACGATATGTGGCAGGTCTGTCTTGTCAAGGGATGATGACTCCTTAAAATGAGAATCTGACAAACTGCAAGATCATGTACAGTAGAATATAAGAATGTTAAAGTTCAACAAGACAAATATTACAAATAATTTCTAATTACAGTACTAAATATCTCTGACATTGTATACTGTTATGAATATAGATAAGGGTTTATATGTACTGTACAATACAGTAGATTTATATACAGTATATATTACCTTAATCCTATTTTAGGCTACTTTTAGTGGTTCACAATATACATCACAAGGGTTATGGTAGGCTGGTCAAGCATTCCAAACGATGATAAGGAGCCAAGGGTATAAATATACAGATCACTTTTAAGACACACAACCATACACATAAATACTGTTTACACTTATATACACTCGGAAACCATAATCTCTAGCCCACCTGGGTCAGTGCTGGAGGTTAGTACAGCATCCTTTCTGGACGGGAGCCCACTCTAACTATCACGAGGACTGTGTGTTCGTGCGCGTGTTGCCTCGTGATGCTTAGAGTGGGCACCCGTCCAGAAAGGACGCTGTACTAACCTCCAGCATCGACCCAGGTGGGCTAGAGATTATGGTTTCCAACTGTACATGAGATTTAAATGCTGAAATGTTGTTTTAAGTGATCTCACTAGGTAAGAAAGGAATATTTTATCATGCACTCCATCCATGGGTGAAGCTGAGGGAGGGAGGGAGGGGGGAAGCAACTCTTAAAGATGACTGACAAGCTGCACTGGACACTCATGGCCGTGCAAGCGAGCAGTTGCCAACCCATGCACTTGTCTCGCTGTAGATTAGCTCACACACGGCTGCGTTATTATCGAAGCTCTTCTCGGCCACTTTGTATTCAGGATTAACTGCTACCTGGTGGGTGGTATGGTATTAATTAACAGTTACTTTTGACAAAATAAATGAAGAGGCACTCAATTAATTCAATTGCCTTCAAATTCAATAAGGATACAGATCTAAAACTAGATGGCCAAAGACAGTGATGTTTGCCACTTGAGAATTTCTAAACAGGAACCAAAACACTGGGAAAAAAAATAATACAATAATTAAATTTAGTCAGGTTGGTGGATATTAAGAGCAGGGCCCATGTGACTGGGAGTAACAAACAAACAACACAATTGCTATCATGACCCACCAATGATAAAGAATGTATCATTGCCGATATGTATCATTCTTCCTTTATAATTCATAATATTTTTATACGATTTTACACCACTCATTCATGATTTAACAGTGCAATGATGTTAAAGAGTATTTTGAGACAGGGAGGGGAACATTAAATTTGTCATGCAGAAAATAAAGATCACTTTCATTTCTCTCAAAGACCTGTATTTGTGTCATAATGTAAACAATGTAACGATTTTATCTTGTATGTACAGATAATTTATCTTTTTTTTTTCCTTCAAAGTGGCAGCTATCCTCACTCAGCTGTTGTGTGGCCATCATTAAACTCATACCCTCAACCACTAAACTCTCCCTCCCCACCTCTCCTTGCCCTCAGGTAGTCATATACAGTACAGTACATATAATTCAAGCTTCAGTAACTTTACACAGTTCTGTTATAATAAAACCCTACATATGAAACAAGAGACTGAATGTGAAGACTAGTTGACCTGCCTGAGAGAGTCCAAACTTCATTAACAAAAATTAGTGTCAGATAAAACACCGTTGCATCATGCTATGTTCCTGATCATTAAGAGTCAAAGCATAAACGTGGACCTCAATAATATATACTTAAGGAGCTCGTAGAGGATACAATGATGAGGCATAGGAAAGACAATGAAGGATAAAGATGTACTGTATATACCGAGTAGTCTACATCAGAGGGATCTTGGGGAGGAGGATGCTGGAGTATAAGAGTATGGTGAAGGAAGGTACAGTAATGATAACTCAGGTGAGGATTTTGAGAGGGAACTGAGTGAAAAGTATGTTCAGATTAAGAGCCTGAAAAAGTCATTAGATGGATAGGAAATATATTCTTGTATATAATTAGAGCATTTAAACCAACAGAGGGGATTAATATACTGTACAATGGTCATGGTAGTATATTTAATATCCAGTTCTTACCTTGAATGTGTATGTCCCGGGCTTTAGATCAGTAATATCAACCCACTGGCAGTCAATGTTGTAGGCGTAAGTGTCGGTACATCCAGGGCTGATACCCTGGTCCCCAAAATTGGCACACTTGAAAATAGGTTCAACCCCAGGCAGGCAGTTGTTGTCCTCTAAACAAAATGATGCCTTGTGTCCCTCAGCGACTCGGTTGCCCGCAGAGTCAATGATGTCATAGTGAGCAAACACCTCCATGCTGTGGTAGTGCCTGTCAGGTACCAATTAATATTTACTGTACTTAAAATAATGTTCATCATTTAAATGAGTTGGATAATCAACCGATCACACAAAAATCTTGGTCACTCCTTAGACACATTTTGTAATCAATTAAATTATATATCTAATAATCATTACAACCACATGTAAAATTGCTTATATGTATATAAAGTATGTATTTCTTTATTACCCTGTCAAACTTTTTCCCATTATGCACTTGTAATCTACATATTCAGCTGTCTATTATCTAATGACCACCAATTGCATGACTCAAACTTACATATGACAGGCGTGCCACTCCCAGTACTGCTTAGGAAGGAAGGGACGAAAAGCTTCATCACCCTGGTTGACGATGCGGGCAGTGAAGCGCATCAAACGGCGTGTCTCCAGGTGCCAACCATAGCCACTATCCTAAGCAGTGTTGGAGTGCATAACAATGTAAGCATATGACTACAGTATATAAGTTATTCATATTTGTTTCTTGCAGATTCTATTGAAATTCTCATTCAGACAATAAGGAAACTTGTTTCAAGGTTCCACAACTTGATGGATGAAGTATTTTGTACAGCTTAACAAAATATTCTATTTGTAGAACCTATGAACATTTCCCTTGGCCTGTTGACTTTGGTGTGAGAAGAATCTGGCTCTTGAGGTCTTCTAGGTTTTTAAATACCTAGTAATGTAAAAGCTATCTCAAACAGAGGCTTTAATATATGTTGCACTGTAATAACAGCCTATTTTCTTTGGTATACTCATGTGCATTACAGAACAATAGGCAGTCTTCATCCAGAACACACACAAGTGACATACCTGAGACTTGACAGCAGAGGCAGCGAGGCAGTTCTCTTCCATGGCACACTGCAGGAAGAACAGCTGCTTGTCCTCCAGATGTGCCGATCTTGCCAGCTCAATGTGGTCAGGAACTAGGTCAGCGATTCCTGTTTTCATTTAGTAGAGAATTAAATGTGAGCAATGGGGATAACTACCAGCACTTAAATTTTCTTAAAACATTTCTCAACACCATTCGGGATAATAAAGTATCTTATTTCTTCAATTCCAAATGAGTCTTATTAGTCAAAAGTATATCTGATTTAAGTCAAAGAGCATCTCATAATTCCACAACGTTCACTCACTTCTCACAGCTAGGGAAAAACCTGTGTAAAGGTAAATACTACACATAACTCCAGTACCTGTATGTGTAAACTTACCAGACATCCTGGCAGAATCACATTAATTAAAAGCCATCCATCATACACACAGTCACAAGTTTTCTCACACATAAGAAAACCTTTAACTTAATATCATGAGCATCAGTGCAAAAGATATGATTAGTAAAAGAATAAATATAAAAGATAACTGAATCAATCCATCAAGAAGAGTACTTACTGTTGACACAAGTGACCCCAGCAATGTTAGGGTCAGAGGTTGGGTCTGGACAAAACACATCACCAACAGCATCATGGAGGCAGTGCTCTAGTCTGTCCTCATTGCCAACACACTTGATACCGCTGATGACAACGTCTGACTTGTTGCCTCCAAAGTATCCTGGTCATGAGAGAGATATACAATGATATTTACAGTAATGGATCACCTGAAGATTACACCTCCAGCAAATTTTACCTCAAGATTAACCACCCTAATGTTACGTGGGGGGTGTAGGTTAGGTTAGCATTTGGGTGGTTAAGCGTTAGTTGAAATACCATTAAGCTGGGGTGTCAAATCTTCAGGTGATCCATATTAATTCAGACAAGAACAAAGTACCCACTGTCCATGTGTGTGTGTAGAGCTCTGATCAACATGGGGTAATAGCTATATGATACATAATATAGCACAAACACTGAATCCCTGAATCAAAAATATCATAAGGAAGGAATACATATTGTACCAAGGTGCCACAACACCATCAATAAGTCTGGGAGGGGGGTGACAAAGACCTCTGCCTGTGTTTATATAGATACAGTCCTGAACAGTATACTGTATGCTGACATTCAAATTATGATTAAGTGTCTTGAAAAAGCATTAACAGACGAAAATTTTTATTAATTACAAGGGTGATTATCAAAACATACACTGCCATATCTAATGAGGGTTAATTACTGTGTACAAAATACATTATATGAAGGAAATGAGTCACACCAATTTACCTGTAGATAAAGCTCCCTGGGCATAGCCTAGTCCCAGTTGGCGGCACACAACCATACCCTCAAACAAACTCCATCCATCACCACACAGCAGACCCCAAGTGCCGTTCCCTGGCAGCTTCACCTCTACACGACCTTCCGTCTTCGTCCTGCCGCCCCTCAGACGCAGTTTCAACTTCCCATCGAGGGCATGCTGGAGGTAAAATGATATCATTGTACCATTAGATATAAGTTCAGGTTTAAATACACAAATAATAACATGTGTACATGATTCAGGAAGATCTGACAAATTCTGGTTAAGGTAATTCAAATCTAATGTCTGGGCATTTTGGTCAATCTCAAACAATTACTGTTCTTGTATGTCTTTTATTGAAGAATAACTGCAATTTATTCTGCTGTAGATTTATTTAAAACCTCATTATCAATAGGTTATTATGGAACAAGAGTACAGTGCATGCCCAGTACTTGCCAACAGTGCATAACAGAGACGTGACCGATCGCCCAAGCGGCTAACGAGCAGATCTTTTGGTGAAGAGGATAAAAGAATAGGAAAAGTAATCAGAGACGTGACCGATCACCAAGCGGCTAACGAGCCGATCAGTAATGAAGAGGATAAAAGTAAAAAATAAAAGTATAAATTAACTGTTTGTATCTTATAATACTATCAATCTATTACAAAAATCACTAACTTCACCACCATCTGAAACAAAAATAAAGAGGCCAATCAGTGGTGAAGAGGATACAGTAAAGTACTTCTGTACAAGAAATACAAGATTTAAATATGAAATCCCATTTTATGGTTGAGGGAGGAGACAAGTACTGTACTGTACTACCCTGCAGACTACTGTACTGTACTCACCACAACACTCTCACACAGAGCTGGGATTAAATGAAGATTACCTCTACCTTATTTCACCTGATGATTAAGCACCCTAATGCTATCTGGTGAGGTTAGGTTAGTATTAGTGCTTAACCATTTGGTGAAATTAGCTGGTAAGTCTGATCCTCAGATAAACTTCATGTACAGTACTAATAGGTAAGAATTCTATCTCAGTTAATTTCCAGTTTTACTTGATTTACCTTACTTTACAGTACTGTACTTTATCCTCTTCACCAGTGATCGGTCCACTAGCCTCTCGGGCAGTTGGTCACATCTCTGTTACACTGATAGCACTGTTGGCAAGTAGCTGTTCTTCTTAAGCTTATGTCTGTCTATACACTTTTCATAACAATCAGTCTATACTTAATGAAAGGCTTGACCCCTCTAATGACAAATCTTAATTTAGGCACTAACTACACCTAGTTCTCTCTACAATTAAAGGTGAAAACCTGAACTTTTAGCACAATCAACACTACCACCTGTGAACACTTTTACAACATTAGGTAGTCCTAACACACTCAAAGCTATAAGTAACTGACCGTAAGTTTGGTCTTGTTGACAATTTGTGGCTGGTCCCTGGGTGGCAGCGTGGGCGGGGAGAGAGTGGTAGCAAAGTGGGACTTACACACCACCCCAGCAGCTTCATCGTTCTCACAGTCATGTACCCCCCAGCCATCAAACCTACACCCGGTTATGTTCTTCTCCGTTCCTACACAGAAGAGGTTGTCCATCCAATATCTGTCTGTGGGGCGATGAGTTACAGTGTATAGTACTGGGCAGGTGTGGTGGTGATAGAATCAGCATTAAAAACATTATTCAGAAATATCAGTAACAAATGCAGTTTCAGGTGCCTTAACTTAGATATGACAAGTAGTACATATATAATTATGAAGTTAACAGTTTGATAATTAATAAAATAAACTTTAACAATCACAATTTACGTACCTTTAACATGGCCATAGACGCCACTGTAGGTAACCTTCTCGAGACCCGGGAAGCCTAGGAGCTGACACACTAACTGGCCCTCCCTCTCATCCCACTCATCGTCACAGATGTTGCCCCACCGACCCTCATGGTAGACCTGGACGTTGCCTGACGGAACACCAAGATAAACATGTCGATTAGAGAACTACAACGCTAAGCCATTAAGTGTATCTGTTTTAAGCAGACACCACTGACCAGAGTAATCTATGTACCACTAACAGGGTTGTTAAAACATTTGGATAGACACCACAGACTAAAGTAGGTTACCTCAACAGAACCACTATTTTTTCTTTCTTTTTTTGTTTTGTTTTAGGAAGATGGTACGAACCACAAAGTACTTTTCTCGACAGAACTGTTTTATATAATAAGCATTAATCCCAGTCTCCCAGAGAATGAGGTTAATATCAACAACTATGGTTCCTTTGCAAACCTGTCCGAGGCAAAATGTAAAATGGATGTGGTCATCTGCATCACACGGGTCCATAACCAAACATGGCGTATACGGGGTTGGTAACTTGACATTGGTCTATTTTTTCTATGAATACACCTCAGCCACCATGGGTCACATAATAATTTGAAGACGAGCATGAGTCATTATCGTGCCTTGTTGGTACACAGGTCAAATTGTAAACAAACAGAAGTCAATTCAGACATTATTTTCAATACCAAAATAACAATTTATTTTCATATTTTTTTCTCGTTATCTTCACAAATAAAAGTGTAAACTCTTTTCAAAATAAATTTTTAATTATTAATTTTTTAAAGTAGAAGATAAAACAGTTTTTAAATTGACTGAGGCTTCGGGTTCAAGGGAGGTTAAAAAACTTGGAGAGTTGGAACTTGGACGGTACCGTACATGTACCAGTGGACGGTGGAATGGATCTTTAGCTCTCTGTTTCAACCTGGGGAAGTAGTCAGGGTGAAGCTTGCAGTTGGCAGAGCAGTGCACTAGGGCCAGGCATCGGCGCTTGCTCAGGTATAGGAAGTCCGTGCAATACGACCAGTTAAAGTGCGTAACAGCTACGCAACCGACCGCTCAAACGGTTAACAAACCGATTAGTGGCTAAAAGGATAAATTATAGGAGGTCCCAGGCATTGTATACCGGGATGGGAGGGTAACCAGCTGATGTATGGGGAAAGAGAAAGATGTCAGCGGAGGAATGAGTGAACCACTGTCAGACTCAGCTGGGTGGGAAGAGTGAAGTGGATGCCCAGTTCCTGTTTGGCATAGACTGTTTTAGCGTGCATTATCATACTTTGCGCATAATCTAACTGCAAGTGCACATCACAGTAACTACATTATCGATACAATTATGTTCATTGATCTTATAATAAGAAACACTGCCTCCTAAATTTATCCCAGCCAATTCTTTTTACTTTTACTTACTTTTAGCCTCTTCACCACTGATGGCTCGTTAGCCGCTTGGGCGATCGGTCTCGTCTCTGTTACTATTATAATGAAAGATGATCCTCCCTGTACTTCACCACTTTATATGGGTATCACTAAATTGTTCTTAGCCCCTGGTGTCAGTAGTGCCCAACAACCACTAGACCTGACCGATCGCTTGGCAGGTAGTTAGTGAGCTGACAAGTGGCGGAAAGGATAAAGGTAAGAGACAAATTTCATTTTGTTCCAGGATACCATGATACAGTTCTCGTGCTCTTTCGTTTTCTGTTATCCTAACCCGTAATGACACTCAATGACTGACCCACCCACACTTTCCTGCACCTAGTAACTGTTCCTCATCCTTCACGAATTTCGTTTATTCACATTCACTCCCTCACTCAGTAAATCTGTCATTCCAGTTTTCCGTTACCGTTCACCACAAAGTTGAAACACTAGAATGTACTAATAGTTACTAAAAACTGTATAGATAAAAACAAACATGTCTTTAATCTTATAATACTGTATTCAACAAATAGAAGAATGCCGTGTTCTCCGGCATAACAAAATATATGATAATAGAGACAACATCGCGATCAAGCCCAACAAACCAATTCTTTAAAACTGGTAAAACGATTAAACAAACCTTACTTAAGCTAACTGATCTTTGGGTAATTTTTATTGGTGCTAATCTATAACCAAAAAATTTTAAGATACAAAATGTCATACTCTCAATGTCGACTTCTCTCCAGGTGATGTGCTGTGTGTTACCTCATCATTGACGTTTATTTTAGTAGATTGTTTGGATGTGTAACGTCAAGGGTACGAGTAATATTAACTAATGAGAGTATCCAATCATTACATGACGTCATCATCAACTTTTCTTTAAACCAATTAAAGCTATGGATGCGTGACGTCATTGTTGGCATTTCCGCAAGTCAATGACTGAGGTGTGTGTGTGTGGGAAGGAGGACGTGTGGCAGGGAACAGCGTCTCGTCGCTGGTAATGTTATCTCCCGCGCTCTGACCTTCACCTCCCCAGCTGCTGCTAACACTTACTCCATTCCTCCTCCTCCACCCACTACACCAAGCAGACCCCCACTCCGCACATTCCTAAGTCGAGTTTCACAAGGAGTAATGTTACTGCCAGCACTCTATTGAACAAGCATCTCCACCCTTCACTGCTACCTCACTCAGTTCCCTCGTATAAACAACACAGGTTACCTTCTATGTACTGTTATTAGGTCGAGGTTTCTGCCAACACTCAATGGCCTCACGACATTCTGAGAATATAATTGTGTCAAGTGACTCAGCAGTACAGCGACGTGTCAGCCAATATAAATGAGTAAATAAAATAACTGCCAGTTATTTATAAATCTAATTAATCATATTGAAATACGATTACAAAAGTTATATGCAACGGATAATTGTTTAGTTCCGTGTAATTTAGATGGAGACTGGCACATAAAGTACTTCTGAATCACTGACACAATTATATTCTCAGAATGTCCTGTGGGGTGGTCAGTGTTACCCGAAATCGTTGACACATGACTTTATCTGAGTAAAACCCTGTAATTCCTCTCTCTCCCAGGTCCAGGTGACAGGAGAAATGAGGTCAGTGACACGTACTAATGACAGGAGGCGCCGCGGGTCGGTGAGGTTGGGTTTCATGGTGACCAACCCGGATCGTGCTGTGTAAGGGTGACTGGTGGTGGTAAAGGCCGAGAAGAGACACCGTTTTATTGTACACCAACTGGTTTAAATACAAATAATAAACCTAGCGGATAATAATGAACCTTGATAAAAGGCTGTTTAAGCTGTAAATGAAAAAAAGTAAACATTGCGTAGTTGACCTTCACATGAGTTCAATCCTGGAGTTGTGAGTGACTGGTTGTTCTGTGGTCAAGTTTGTATACAACTATGATCAGATCACCTCTCTATTACGACCACCTGGCACTACCTCATTAAAATATCGAACAACCATGGCGACAATAAATATCCTTGACATAGTACATACTTTCACTGACAACCAGATTCCCTTTTCCCGACAAACATGCATATTTCTCCTTATAAAAACTGTAGAGAGCCATCAACAGTTTTCCATTTACCCCAACATAGCCTGTTTAATCTACTTTATCACAATGGAGTTTTTTTTAAATTCATAAATGCCATGAAAATACCTTCTTTCAAATAAAGAGATGAACAAACAGACTGTACACGTCGCCATCATTTATAATAAAAGTAGAAAGGATCAGTTGCATTAAGAGAGAAGTACTGTTTGTAGGTTGACCAGGACCAGTCTCGCTTATATACATGTCCCCCTGGTGTGTAGTGCTACGCCTCACTGACCACTGACCGACCCCACCTAACCCCTGCACTCACTCTCTAGCCACTAATATACTGCACTACCCTCCCCCACTCACCTACACTACAATCACCTTCACCTCACATCAAAATTCTCTCTTTCTTTCATATTTATTTTAATTAAGGATGATGACGGAACTATTTTGCCTCTGTTTAAAAAACCAAGGCTAAAAGTGACAAGTAAATGTTAGGAGGTTTAGTAGGTAACAGCAGGAAATATTAATTCCAATGTTACGAGGCTGGTGCTGACTGTAACAAAATTTGATGGATATCTTGAGGTTTGTGATAAAAACATTCAAAATCTGACGCGAGGAAATTAATATATGCTAAAAACGTCTCTGGTTGACTGACTCACTCACTCATATAACAACAGAAAACTGATATGTCAACGATTTGCGAAAACCAACTCAAATTCTGACGGAACAACTTTAATTCCTACGCCGACGCCCCTCGTAAGAACAGCACACACACACACACACTCCAGTCAGTCAGTCACTAAACCAACGCTTCTTACACACACACAATTACCAATTTGTTTACTTAATAGGTTGACAAGCGTGCTGTAAAAGCGGACTGCATACTTGAAGGTTCACGCCCGCCATTCTGACACAATGATGCACTTGACGCTTCAGCCTACACTGTACTTAGGGTTAACAAGTAAAAGGCGAGATTCAGTGATAGTGCGGTGTGGTCGTTGATCCCGTAGGCAGGACACACTACTCTTGACCATATGTGTGTGTGTGTAGTGTTCAGGGGTGATATGACTGCCTGGAGTGTTGATGTGGTACAGTGGTTGTGATGTTGCTTTTTATTGAGCTCACAGTTTGACTTGCGAACACACACACACACACACACACATTCACTTATAAAGACAACCGACCCAAGTGAATAACGTACCCTAAGACAAGTGAAGATTGAATTATTATCTTGACCCCCGTAGAGACCATGTACTGCAAGGTGTTTGCGCTCTCGCTCTCCTGAAGAAAACCTTTTTATTTTATGTATCTCTTGAGTGCACTTACTGGCGAGACTTGAGACTATGGTGTAGCTGAGTACATGGCATAAACGAAAATCGGAGGTTGTTTATTTTCACAGATAGTTCCAAAAGTGGTTGGGTCTGAGCTGGCGCCACTCTCCTGGTGGCACCTTATATGGCGGTGACCTTCTACTTACCTCCAGCCTCTCTGCTACTTATTCCAACCATTGCGTCACCTGATAAACGCCTAACCCCCGTAGATGTCTAGATATAACTCTCATGTGTATCACTTACACCTTCTATGTCCCGGTAGAGACGCAAAACTCGTGTTAACGAGATAAATGACAGGTGATTACTTTACCTTTCGCTCTCTCAGGGAGGTATGAGTCAGCGTGACGTCATCGCAACCTACTGTCAATAGTGACGTCACAGTGTTTACTTACAGCAGGGGTGTCAAACTCATGGCCCGCAGGCCAAATGTGGCCCTTGGGATGGTCAGGTGTGGCCTGCGGGATGACGGTAAAATTTATCATCCCGTGAAATTATGAAAGAAATAGATATAATCATGTTTATTTAATAAAATGAATTTTACATACTTTAGATCAGACCAACCCAAATGAGGTATTCCTGGTAAGCCAGGTAAGGCAATGTGTGAAGCTGTAAACTTCAATCCTGCAAATATGTGATATAGCACTTGTGTTGGCCCTGAAGAGGGTAACTAAAATAACAATTGGCCCTCGAAAGGTTTTGAGTTTGACACCACTGACTTACAGGGTTTTACGTCTACACTTGTTTACGGTGTGGCGGCGCAACTGGTTACAGTATTGTAAAATATAACACCTATCTGTTATGACTACACGTACCACTCTCCGTGTGCCACGGTGCTATGCTTAGTCCCCCAGCTTATTTCGCCTTAAGATTAACCACCCTAACTCCCTAATACCCAGGTAGTGTCGTAAGGTGTGGTGGGTTATTGTTCATGTGATTCTCGGTATATTTAGTGGATTCTCATCCTGACAAATTCAATAAAAGTGCAAAAACTCCCATTCTGTCTACCGGGGTTAATTTTTGCAAGTATTGTGTGCAAGTTGCACACGATACTAGGGCCGGATTTACCAATAGGCCAAGTAGGCCATTGGCCTAGGGCCCACCGGTATCTGGGGGCCCACTGAAACTAATATGTCGCGCAGCGTGCCAACGTATAACCTTGTTTCAAGTGTACACCGAGTATTTCATTATATAATATATTCACAACCATAAGGGCTCCTGTACAATACGTATAGGCCCGCAGTGGTCTTCAATTAGTGGGCCATGAGGTGGCTCTCAGGTGGGCCACGGGCTCGGCCCTATAGTAAAGTGAAGAAAATAAGATAAAATAAGATAATAAAAAAATATATATACATTTTTTAAATGTCCGTGTCCCACCATCGATCTATCTATCTATCTATCTATCTATGTATCTATCTATCTATACATACATATATACTGGAGAGAGAGAGAGAGAGAGAGAGAGAGAATAAATTTCAAGAAACCTTCTATAAATTTGGGGGCCCACTGATGAGTTTGGCCTGGGGCCCACAAGTAGGTAAATCCGGCCCTGTGTGCAACTTGAATTTGTAAAAAACCAATTGTACTTTAACGTACAATGTCGAATGAAAAAAAACGCTAATTTGAAACCTCTTAGCATTCCTGTGTAGAGGACACCACAAAAAAATATACTGTACTATATAAAGATTGATCGCGAACGAAGACGTATAGTGTCCCAACTGTATTTGATATTAATTCTAGGCGACAAGGGTGAACTTGCCATAAGATGAAGAAATGCGGACAAAATACGACTATTCGCGGTGGCTAATCTTTCAAGCCCTAAAATTTTAATGGATCACCTATTTCAAAGCAAAACAAGCATAGAGGTTTTATAACTTGTTCATGGGGAATGGCTATCAAATTTGCAGATAAGAATAAATAAACGTCCAGCCATTATCAATTCACGAAACCTACTTGGGAAGTCTTTTCTTGTACTGGGGTGAGCACCACAAAAGCAGTGGTGATCCATCCGAACTGAAGCAGTAACGGACCAATAAATTAGCGGATTTGGAGATTTTGTCAATAAAGCATTTATTTCAAAGCATTTGTGGTTAACGGATGCAGTGTTGGAACTACGAGAATATTCCTTTGAATTGACACAGGACGCAGCAAGCAATCCGTGTCTTCTGTTCCTTTAAAACTTCAATGAACTGACAAATTTGAAGCAATATTTTTCACAATTGCACCATCGGATAATCTAACTTCAAGCAACGGAACTAAAAATAAAATTCCCCAAACCGTTACTTCAGTGGTGCCCCTTTAGTAACTTATGACCTAATATTAATAGTTACAACAAATAAAAGTAACTCACCCTCCCACTCAGCACGACCGTCGATAAGCCTCATTTTACCCTCCTCATCGTTCCTTCTTGCCTTCCTCAGTCGCCTCCTGACAAACTCCGCTCTCTTCCCTGCTGCATGGCGTATCCTACGAGCTCCACGCCTCACTCCGCCCTCCCTCGCTCTTCTACCTCGCATACGGCGGCGACGACGACGACGACGAGCAGCCTCGGTGTCGTCTGTGAGTAGCGACAACACGACAAGCAACACCAGCAGGAGCGTCAACACCCGCGACGGAGACATACTGCACCCCACACCTCAACTCTCTTATTGGTCAGTTTTCAGTTCTTAAGAATTTTGTTGACTATCACTGACTATAATAACAACTTAAGCTAACCTCGACACTTGTGTATGAGATGGCCTGCTTAGTATATTTTAGAATTATTACTGCAAAATAAAGTTTTCATACGCTAGCACCACCTGGGAAGCCTCGTGGACAGTATCTAATTGCAAACTCTTCCTCTGTGCTGTACATGTTCATCTATGGCACTACTGTATTCATAGTCTGTGAGGTCCCAAGTGGCACTGGGCGGGAGAGAGCCACTGATATCAAGGGTCCTTGCCTGACATCTGACCCGGTCAAGAGTGGGCACTGCTCACTCCTCACGCTGCCGGGGAGAAAATATCGTACGGCACTGGGGGTGTGGCCCAACAAGCTACCAACCCTAGTGAATGTGAATCAGTGATGTTAGAGCGGTCAGGATGAAAAACAGGGATGATTTTCTGCGATATATACCCACCCCCTTCCCCCATACATCTAAACTATAAGTACAGACCGATTTAATAGCATCATGATTATCCTAGGACACTGGTAGTAATTAACCTTGAGTAGCCTGTCATGGTCTGTACATTCACCTGTGATTAAAATCCTCACGTCAGCAGAGCATTACCATTATACTATATTAAGAGATGAACGCTCTTTGTGTGTAGGTTCCGTGTTTATGTTTTGTCCGGGTGATGTCACTGGTTCATATACTGTACAAGGACGGTGTACACACACACACACACACACAGTAACATAATCTGGAATACACAACAGATAGGACCTGGATTCTTAATGGTTCGTGCCACGATGTCTATTCCCCGTTCCTAAAGATGTAAGAATATATCCTAATTCGTTGATTTAATCTCAAAAACAAACTTAGCATCCCAAAATAGCATCAACATCATGGTGATATGAATAATTTGATACGTTTATTTATCGTCAGTTAAAGACAGTATCAAAGTTTTTTAATTTATCATTTGTAATATGTATCAGTTTATTAATTTTTTAAGTTATTCTCAATATAATTTTCATACTTAATTGGACCAGTTACGTACATCACATTTTTTTACCAGCAATTATATATCCTTCATAAGACCTACCAAAACCAGACCCTTTGATCTTTACTGATAAAAATGTCTGTAGCTTCAAGTTATTGCCATCAAACTTATTACAGATGGGGACCATTTGAAGGTTCACCCCAGTTTATTTCACCTGAAGATTAACCAACCTTACGCTACCTGGAGTGGAGAGTTAGGTTAGGAAAGGATTAATTTTGTGTTAGGTTATGTTAACGTCAGGTTAGGTTATGTTAGTATTGGGGTGAATAATATTCAAGTGGAAGAAGCTGGGGTGAATCTTCTGGTGATTACAGATTGCTTAGTTTTGTGAGGGTCTACTATGCGGAGGATGATGTAAGGCTATCATAACACTAGGCTATCAAGCCACAAATGGGGAGGAGGACCAACTCTGCCTTACGCGAGCTGTTGATGTCATAATGTGCAGTATTACTACGCTTCAGTAACTTAATACATTAGTCATCAACAATTAAAATTTAAGAGTGATATGCCTGTATGGTATTCTTGTTTTAGTAATAAGAAGTGTCACCTCACTCACTCCCTGACAAGAGAACTGATGCCCTGCCAACGGTGTAACAGGTTATGACTCATGCTTGGTCACTCTTGTTAAGGTATATATAAGGTAAAGGTTGTTGGGGGGATAACCTGTTTTCCTCGGTGATCACTAGTGTGGTCAGGTCAGGAAATCATGACAAATACGTGACAACATGACCTGGTGATGTTGTCTTAGCCATTAACATACTTTATTGTCAAATGAGAAGTATATCGTAGGTAGCAGTCAGGAGGAAAATATATCCAGCAATAAATGATAGAGGGAAAAAACTGGAGGCAATGTTACAACACTACCAGCTGTGGCCAAGAACCTGTTTCAAGTTGAACAAGATTACGCGGGAAAGAATCCAGACAACGCCACAGTGTTCCACTAACCTTGTTGACACTATATAATTAGTAAAGTCTATTATTTACATTATTACACAAGCTTGGCGATTTTTGTCTACTGTCCATCGTGCCTGTCATTTTTTTCTTTGTAGGGACAAGGCAGAGGAGTATCCCCTGGGCTGTCTCTCGCTCCACACAAAATACCTTGATGGAATCACCTAAGATTCGCATCGCTAGTTTATTTCACATGAAAATTAACCACTCTAGTGCTTCCTGAGAGGTTAGGTTAGGTTAAGGTAGTTTAGGTTAAGGTAGTTTAGGTTAACGTTAGGGTTGGTGGTCAATCTTGAGGTGAAATAAAGTGGTAGGGAAAATCGTCAGGTGTAGCCTATATATTTTACTTTTTTCATAATTATATCTTCACTTTTTCCTCTTCGCCACTGGTCAACTCAAATTACATTCAAGTAGCGTTTCAGTTGTTTATGGTTTACATTGTAGAAAGTGTCAATGCTTTCCAGCAACACTCTTGAGACTTCTATTAGTAAAACAGCTGCAATACACGCTACAACAGCGTTTAATCACCCGTCTGGCAGTGAAGTGATACCCTAGCCCATGACGTCATCATACCACCTTCAAGTCACGTAACACTTCTCACTGGTATATTTATTTCCAGTTTCTAATAAGATAAACATCACCTTGAACGTCTCTGGACTCTAACAAACGAATGCCATTGATACATTTTTTTTTTTGGGGGGGGGGGATTTTGAGGTCCGCAGTGTGACTGACACACAAGGGTCGGGTGGTGATGTTCACACCAGACGACCCTCCTACCAATGTTGGGTGTCAGTGTCGGTCGACTATCTTCTCTGACACCACAAGGATGTATGTCACATGCTGGACCCCCTGTATAAACCACTATCATTACATAAATGTTTACTTAACACTGGAATTTTCCTGTAAAAATAGATTTCACAGCTTTCTTCTTATTTTTTTTTATACTCGTTATCTCCAAGGATCATTTACTACAAACTGCTTAGCGTGTTCAGTTAAATATCACCGCATTTAATCGATTGTGTATTTGTTGAAAATTATAACTTGTGTTCACTTCTCAAATTAAAGAATGTTAAAAAATATCGTTGACCTATTGCTGGGGGGTGTGAATATCATCCTAGTTACCGAGAGCCTTTGAGATGGGGCGTCCCGTTCACCCAAGGCAGTATGTGTCTCCACAAATTACTTTAATAATACTGACCAAGAGTAGAAAGCATAAGCCTACCATAATATACACATTAAACCTGGGATTAATACATTGACTGCAGAGTTATAGTTAAAAAACTATGCAGGTTATGGCCCACGGAGGAACCCGTCACTATATTGCTACATTAAATCTGAAATATATACATTTAGTCCATATGGAAACCACATTTGACATTAACAAACAAACAAACTTTATGTAAATTAGTTTGTCACCGCCTTACTTGCAATATGTAACAAGATGGATTGACGTTATGTAGTCTTGTGCGTCACAGCACATCAAACACTGTCCATGTAATGAATAGTCTTCTCTTTTCTTTATCTCATCAATCTTTTGCATTTCCCTTTTCTTCTTCTTCTTCCTCATTTTACTATTATTATATACTTAGAAATATGTGTTAATCAAAAGCACGAGCCCTTGAGGTGACAGCCTGTTGCACGATTATTTATCGAGAAAGTTCATTGACGTTACAAAATCTGCAATTCACATATATGATTACATAAGTTCGGTGTTGAAATATTCTTAAAAGTGTGTAAGATTAGTGATATCAAATCCTTATGATGATATTCTCAAACTGGTAGGCATGTAGGCAGGTTTTAATTAGGTGTTGATGTCATCCATGTTAGAACCACAAGTGCATTATGCAATATCATGACAACGTGAGGCCTCGTAGTGTGAGGTTACTTGCACCCATTGTAGTTATAAGGTTATCACGTTTGTGTCGAAGTATTACGAGTCAATCATTGTTCCTTTCAAGTACAGTAGCATAACCACTTGAATTGATAATGATGACCCAAGGACATAGTTCATCACATATAAAGGGTTGAAATATTTTACTCAAGGGGTTAAGGGGTCGTACTGAATGAGCTAAATCAATGCACTGAAGGAATTAATAGCGATAAATATTTGGTCTCGTATGAATTATATACCAGGAAATAGTAATGACGTCCCAGTTATTCTTGAAGGTGGGGAAAAACAGTGGGAATGTGTTGTGTGGGCGAGCGTAAGGGACGGGTGATGAGGTGTGTAGGAGCTAGAAACATACCCCCCCTGGACCCGGATTCTTAAAAAAAAAAAAAAATTGCCTATGGTCGACGTGTTGCAATTATCTCTCTTTTTTTTTACTCTCTGAACTTCTTATCTGAATTTTGAACAGTGTTGATTTTAGAAGATTTTTGCAGTTGAATGTTCAGTTGTAGGGCACAGGAGTATTTTGGTGACGCCTTGTGACCCTTGAGTCACGACCCAACGCAAATTAAGCTCTCGTACTCAAGGCATCTAACAGGCTTATTTAATCTACGAGACAAAGGGCGAATTGTTATCTAAGTTAATCTAAGAGGTCAACCTAAACACAAGAAACATTCTGAAAGCTTTACAAGTTCAATTGTCCTTTTAACTAGAGAGTAAAGACACATCTAACTGGTTACCTTGGCCGCGAGTCTTCTGATGAGTTTGCCGCCCTTTGGGTGTAATTAACTAAAGAAAATCCCTTCAGTACGACAATATAACTCTCTGATTATGGTTTTATTTACTGGAGTGCGACGACCTATATCCTCTATAAGGAAAAGTTACCGTGACTTAGATTCTAGCTTGTGATACTGAAGGTTTGTTTCTTAAACATTCAGGGAGGGACATGTGGCATGACGCTGAAGGTCACAAGGAACTGTGCCAGGGTCAACCTGCACTACCCTACACACCTACACGTCTCCCACTATGTATATGCATATCTATGAGGCATCTACCATAGTGTATCAAAATTCTCGAAGGTTAGTTCATCAAAATTCTCCCCTGTATCTCAGTTTAATGAGTTATTGTCAGTTTGTCACACGGTGTCATGAAGGAGGTTACATCACCATCACCTGAGGCACCACCAGGCAAGACGCAGATGAGCTTGGTCACGTAGCTTGTGGTTGACTACCAAACACTCGCACCAGCCAATGGTCAAATATTACGAGGAAAACAAATTAGGCAAGGAATTTTAGGTTTGTTTTTGCACATGACAGGCAGATAAACCCAGCTGCAGTACATATGTTGAAAGACCTCTAAACATGACATTAAACGCATATTGTCCCAAGCATCGCCAAGGTGACTGATGACTGGCTATTACATGAGTTTGTGATTGCAACTGTGGCGGGGCTGGTAGTGGTGGGTGGGGCATGACGTCATGAAGAGAGCAACAGGCAAGGCGGCCACCATCAACACATTTCCACGTCAAGGGAAAGTTAACCTAGTTTATTTTAAAGTAACGTTACTCTCTTTGTTAAACTAGAGCATCATAGACGCTTTCTTTGTATTTAACTGAGGAGAACGTTCACGCAACAAAGGTGTTCCAGGAATTTTTCAAACAAATTTCATGATGTCGGTGAACGGATTGGTATTTTAGAGATTCGTTTTACCTTTTTTTTTATTACCTGTATGTGGGAAACCTCAAACAACTTCACGAACACATGAAACTATTTTAACTCCCCCAGCAAGCCTGTATACGCAGATGTCATTCACTAATGGAACCTACCAACTCAATTTCATACGACTCATATAAAGAACTTACTTGGAATAAGCTAAATATAACTAGTAACTATAGACAAAACTTTGTAATTCATTGACAAAAAATGGTTATGTTGAGAATTAGGTTTGGTTCTGGCTCAACGTTTTAATTTTCCACTTTCAATGAGCAAGATCGTTTATTAAATTTTGTAATTTCCTCGTAAGGAGACAGACACGTCATTCATTCAACTATTTTTACTCCTTCCTTCACTGCGGGGACGCCACTTTTGATATTTTACTTGCTGACTCCAGATGATTTTATTCAGCTTAGAAGGAAGCCCGTGCATAAGGTGTTAATAGTCTATCTGTACTAATTCAACCTATACACGTCAAAAATCATGATATAACAAAATAAAAGGTCAAATGGAGGACCATGCGAGGAGCTTGTGGGGTATGAGATTGTTTGGTGTTCACTCAGGATGGGTTGGAGAAAGGAAACTCACAATGTGCTCTCTATAAACATGCTGTATTGGATGTACAATGCAGCTTGGTGCTGGGAAGGCAGCATGGTTACAAGCGTGATGTAGAGAGAGCTGGTTGGTGAGGATGCTCAGAGGAGGACCAGCTTGTGGGTCGCCATGCTCGCCGGCGGGAGCGAGGACCGCCAGGCAGGCGGAGGAGGAGGAGGTTTTGCTTGCTGGTTGGTGTAGGTAGAAAAGAGGCAGGTCACCACGAGGTCAGGTCTTAAATAGCGGGGGTAGGCGTGGCTTAGTAGTTGACCCCCGCTCCGTGATGTATGGCGGCGCTGGTTGACCCAGACCACGAGGCATACACTGGGGAATTGGTGGGGTCGACTACTCAGCGACAAACAGCGTTTGTAGGGGAGAATTCCACTACAAGCTTTTACTCTCAAGGACAGCTTATATACTCACGCAACTGCTGACTTCCAGGCCAGTGATGTTGTCTGTTAATAGCTTTGTGACTCGTCTTAATGTGTGTGTGTCTCGTGAAACACAATGCAGCTTAATGTTCACCACTACGTCACTACGGAGAAGGACTTCGGCACTCGCCAGAATGTTTACAATCACAATAACTCCCGCAGGAGTCGCGTCACCTCTTCTGTTATTACACGTCAAACAGTGACACCCTGAGGATCAGATGGTGGTACTGGTGATAGGTGATACACGGTCTGAAGATGGTTGATATTACTGTAGATGATTTTTTCGAGTAATTTCTTTGACCAATATAAATACACAAATATGCTTCTGAAACTTTTATTATTATTGTTGTTGATGGTGATATTTTATAAAGATTTCTGAGTTACACGTATTTTGGCGATAATTGGCAATATTTATACATTACAGTGATACTATATGCACAGGAAACTCACTTATGAATAAATACTCACAAATATGGGACTTAAATGCAATTCTATTCTTATCTAAAGTATTTGTGAAAAGAGGCGCCAGGGAGTTTGGTCTAATATAAATAAAATGGGCATTGTATTCACATCAACTACTGGTTTTTTTTTAAGATATGCTTATCAATTTTAAGAAATACGTTTATTTTGTTATGCTTTTTGATAATGAAAGGGAATTGTTCATGTGAAGAGATAAACAGAAAGTCAAGCTATCGTTATCTCTGGGGCCATCACCTCAACCACTGCCTTGGTCGCCTGATATTAGTATATTTCAACTTTATTTACACCAATAGAGTACACCAGCTAACAAATCTCATACCCATACTCTTTAAACACATAACCAGAAAACTCATGACAATAAAATTTATATATATATATAAACTAAAACAATTGTTAAAATAAAGTCTTCAAATTAGATACCAGATGAAAGAATGATAGTGGTGATAGACATAGTTTGTCGTGACGTTAGTGAGGCACTGTGATACACATTATATCCTCAAAGCCATCGGTTTCTTACGGCCGTATTTTACTGGATAAAAGAGCCTGGTAGTGCAAAACAGTGGTGAGGTAAGAGTTAAAGTCGCGTGTCAGGTCTGAGAGGCTGAGGTCATGTTTATACAAGTGTAGTCTCACTCTCTCCCTCTCCTATTGGCTTGTTGTGAATGTAATATAAGTCTCTTCTGACACCCATGGTTCATTATATATACAAAGTGTAGATATACTATGCTAAACAATAAGTCGATGGTAGAGTGATTTGATTTGAATTTACAGTAAAGATTCGTACAGCAGAAGTATACTAGGTAATCGTTAATGACATACTCGTCTCCATTTTTCATAGAAAAGAATTTAAGAAATCGGGAATTTCACTGTGATTTGCAGTGGACACTGTCCTAGTTTGGGCGAATGTGTTAAAAAGTTGTAATATCTAAATTAAACCTAACTTAACCTTAGTTGATAAGAAAAATAATTGGCCTAAGTATTGGTAGAAGACCTCTTCAACCTAACCAAAGAAACCTACCTAACTGTACTTAGCTTCCTAGCCGGGGGCTCCTCTCCTCAGCATATTAAACAGAAAGAACATACTTTATATGGTGTAATTTTATGTACAGTATTTTGGGGATGTGAGAGAAACCGCCCGGACCGAGCAACCCATAAAGATAAGCTGAGTGGAGGACAAAATCTAGTGTCGATCGGGGCTCCTTACCGATTTATCCTCACACAAGACAAAGTAGTGTAGCTAGTGCAAGCCTATGGGCCTAAATATCTACCAAACGCAGCATTTACCCAAGAAAGAAATGTAGTATCCGAACTCAGCAACGAAAATATATTAAGAAATGATCCATCAAAACAAATTAGGCAGGGATGGGTATCTCTTCACTATTAACTGTATACTGTACAGTACATGTATAAACCTATACTGAGGATAACACAAAAAAATAATAAGGTAATAGTGGAGCAGATGGTTAACACGTGTTAATATTTTCCCCTAGTTGTTTTTTTCCTTTTTTCTCTATCGATAATAAATCACCTGATGTGGGCAGAGCATGAAAGATGTAGGAAATTACGAGGTAAAACAGGTGAAAAACTGATCATATGGCAGTAATTTCATGTTTACGTGCTTTGTATGGGAAGAGATAATTTTTAAAACTTACTATTTTTTACCGTTTATATTTTGCTGTGGCACCGGATGTTGTCGTCCACTGTTAAACTAATAAATTTTGAATCCGGTCCGTGTGCAAGTGTTCAAAATGCGACAGAGAACTGACTGTGAAAAAGAAATGAGTTTCTGTGCAACACCCGATCATACTCTTGTGTCCCTTCAAATAAAATGTAAAACTTCACCATGCTACTCAAAGAAAATTCCTTTCAGAGTCGGTGCTTTCTGCTTAATATGTCAGGGGATCCAGGAGTAAAGCCCCCCAGTTAGGAAGTTAGGTAAGATTAGGTTGGTTAGGTCAGGTTCTGTTAGGTTCTGTGCATTGTTGTTTACATTTTCGTGTTTTGGTTTAATTCCCTAAGTATTTTCTACTGTTAACCATCTCCTCCACCATTACCAATATTAATAATACTGTATTTATTTCCAGTGTGGTCCTTGGCTGTTGGTTTAATCTACATATACTCTAGTGTATGCCATTATTTGTATGCTTAGTGTATGTACTGTAATGGAACAAGTTGAACCAGTGTAGCCTTGTATAATGACTTGACTGAATCCACATTTAGAATTCAAACTTACACACACACACACAAACACACTAATAGTGTGTAATTTTCTGCCTTTACAAATATAATTGAACCCATGCATTTAACATTCTTACAGTTTTTATTGTATCTGGAATATGATTGGTGACTATAAATAAATAAAGTACGTAATGCTGTACCTAAGTTGATAGATATAAAGGGTAATGATGTAGCAATTAGAATATTTGTTTTTACTTTTAGAATGAATAGATTATTGTGTATCTATTAATAGTATTATTTTTTTTTTTTAATTATATGTTGTGTGTATTACAGGCATGTGGACTGCGATGGACCCACACAATGACAATAGTGACTATGAAGATGAGGCCAAGTCACCAAGTTATCAGCTATTTCCTGCACAAGATTATCCACCAGCACCTACCTCACATCATCCAGAGAAAGACATATACAGGTATTATGAAATTGGGAATAACTCATCAGTTGAAAATATCTCGGATCATGGAACACCACCAGTCTATTTCAATAATAAAGGAGACACACCAAAGGCCTCTCAAAGTACTACATCTGCTGCCTCAGCGAGCATCTCCAGATATTCTCGTCTCCTTCACATCTTCAGCAGCGGGAAAACTGGAGCACTGAATTTAAATGATAAAGTGGGAGAAAATTCCTCTGAAAGTGTAAGCAGTGTACAAAGCAACAGTAGTCTTTTAAATGTGGATTATTTAAAAGAAAGTCAAAATTGGCCGCTGATAGAAGCCTCAAATACAGTGGAAGACGAAGCAACACAGGATGCCCAGAAAGAGTGGTCATCGAGAAGTGATTATGATGGTGACTACACACCAGAGACCTTTTTCGGGCACTCCAAAGCTGTAGAAAATAATTTAATGAACCATACACATGATAATTCTCTCCTGACATCTTGCAGTGCAGAGGCAGCTAGCACAAGCATAGAAATGGTGAAGTCTGCTGAGTTACCTTCAAATAATCTCAGTGATAAAGCAGCAAAAGACAAATTTAATAACAGGTATATAGACTCTGTGTGCACTTCTCCAGCTTCTATTGCTCACCAACAAACTTCTTGTTTAGAGGAAAGTTTTACATCTATGAATCACTCAGACAGTAGAGAGCCAGGTCCCCATGGTGGTGACTTAGGGGCCTCCAGCATAAAAGAGAGTAGAAGCTCCTCCACTGAAGAGGACGTATCTTTCAAGAGAGTTAAAGACCAGCTAAAAGTTTTTCACCTGAGGATAAAAGTTTATAACTATACACACACATTACTAGAAGATTCGAGGAAAGTTCTAGGTTCTTCATCCAAACTTGAAGCTTATATAAAGCAACTGACGCTGGCCGTGTCAGTAGATGATCTCGTCCAGAAACTATTATTGTTCTCAGAGGCACTTAAGAGTGATATGCAGTTAGCTAGCTGTTTCTTGACTAACCTCATAAGTTATGTACAATCAGTCCTTGACTTGGAGAAAAATCTGTCTGACATTAATGAAATTCTCGATTATCTGATTCCCTCTGTTAATATTGTTGTTAACAGCAATATTGATAAAAAGACCATTCAAAATATTCAAAATGAAAACTTTATGCAAATTCTTTATAAGAATACAGTAAATATATTTAATAGGGAATCAAAATATAGAGAAACATCTATCAATGACCTCTTGCAGTATGAGCAAGGCAGGAAAACAGTCAAGGCACACATAGTCCGTATGAGTCCCGAAGACTCGCAGAAACTATTTCAGGAGACTTTTGATGATGTTGGGAGTGTGTCAAATTTATATCTTATATATGTGTGGAGGATATACAAAATTTATGAGGTAGAAGAAGGGAATACACCGGAGTCATCTGTGACGTCGCTCACAGAAGTAATGAAAAATTCAGGAAAATTTTTAAGCATAGTTCCAACTAAGGACTTATTATCCAAGGAAAGAAAAGTTCCCTACACTCAGATTGGGAAAAAACTTAGAGCAGAAGAAAGTGACACCATGAATGATACATCAAAAACATTGGTGGATATGAGTTTTGAATGGGCAGATTTTAGGATTGGTCAGCTCTATGAAAATGGAGTTGTATTTTTAACAAACATGGACAATTGGGCTGATCGTTTACAGGAAATCTCGGCATCCATTGAAAAATTAGAAGTGAAGAAGAAAGTTAAGTTTCTGCCAACACTAGGATCAACCTATGCACTATCCCTGCAGGTGAGAAGACATAGTGGTACTCACAGGAATGGTTATCTTACTTCGGTAGTTTTCCAGCTCTGGATCTAAGGATCTTCTATGCTGAACTCCACGGTCCTGTGCGGGTCTGTGGTGCCATCAAGCACTCGAGTTTCTGCTTTGTAGTCATCATATAATGTTACAAGTCCTTCCCATGATTTACCCAATCTGTTTTTAAAAATACAGTATTTATGGTTGGTGATGTAACAACTTCCTTGGGCAAGCTGTTCCAGATTTTTACTGCCTTTGGGACATAAATTCACATTTGGAATACTGTAAAGCGATAGTATTTACTGTGTATGTCTATTTTTTATTATGGGAATTCTTTAGTGTGTAGTATAGAAAACTAAAGAACAAGATCTTGGTTTAGAAACATTAGTAGTTGTACTGTATTTGTTACACAGAGTTTGTGAATTATATTTTTTCTTTTAAATTAAAAGCAAATTTTATTCATTTTATAAGCTGACAAAAACATTAATAGGTCATACTGTACTGTATCTGCATGATAGCCAGAACAGCTAGAGAATAAGCATTAATGGACTTACCAAAAAGATGAATAATAATAATTTATATTTATCAACAGTTACACAGAATATATATATATATATATATATATATATATATATATATATATATATATATATATATATATATATATATATATATATATATATATATATATATATATATATATATATATATATATATATATATATATATATATATATATATATATATATATATATATATATATATATATATATATATATATATATATATATATATATATATATAGCATGGCATAAGTGTTCTTAACGGTGAAGAAGACGTGTCATACATTCGAGTACGAGTCGTGAGATCAGTGGGTCCTGTGGTATGGGTCTATGGCATAGACATGGGGAACATACACTTGTGTGATGCAGCCCAGCTCATTCTTCTCCCTGCCTACATCATCAACTTCCAACCATGTGGCAGATTGGCTCAACTGCCGGGTAAGTTGTTGTAGTTTGCTCGTTGTGAATCACATCCTAGCTTCTTCTGTTATGAATTTACTGTAATATGGTAAGATCTGTAAGGAACATAAGTGCAGAAAATGAAATATTAAGTTAGAATACAGGGTAGTGTGTCATATGAAGAGTTAAAATACAGGGTAGTGATAACAGGTACAGTATTTTAAATTCATATGTAAATTAAGTGTATAACCTCATCCATGTAATAATTTTTATATGCTCACCATAGGTTCTGAAGGACATATCATATAGTCAATATGTATGCCACACAAAATCAATGTCTCCAGTAACTAAGCAAGACTTCTGTATAACTTCTGTAATCAACAACTTGCTACTCAACATAGAAAATCTTACAGAGTATACCATTCGTTAGTCTTGTTTATTAACTCGGTAATTAAGAATAAGCCGAGCCTCTTCCTACACAGTGGTGCCAGCCCCAAGTGTGACTGAGGTAAAGCCATCCTTGGCACTACTGGTGGCTCTTGTTCAACGCGCTGACCTGGCAGAGCAACTTTGTAACATTGATATTCAGTAAGTTGGTATTTTATGTACAGTACAGTACGGTATATTGTTTTGACTGTTCGAATGCTAAGTTTTACCTCCCTTAAATACAGTATTCATTTTATGTTATTTCTTATGGAATTAATTCAACTTTCAAGATAATTTAAATATTTTTTCCAGTAAAGCTTCCTAAACTTGTCATTCTTTAGTTTAAGTTAGATATACAGTATACAGAGTCTATATCTCTTGAGTGGTTGCAATATGATTTATAGTTTAGCAAAAATAAATAAATTGACAAAAAAGTAAAAATATGTTTTGTTAGATTATTTCACTTGGTTTTCAGAAAATTAACTTAGTACAGTACAGTGTATATGTGTATGAATGTGGAGAGCATGTTGTCAAGTGGTCTGTGGAGGAGGTGTACTGCTGGTGCCTGATGGATGATACTTACTTGTATGAAGCAAGTAAGGAATAGGATAGCCAGGCTGTTGTGGAAGCGGAGTACAGTACTATAGCAGAACGCATCTCTTTCTGTCCTGAGAGTAGTTGAGTGAAGGCAAATGATGGAAACGTGTGTGTGTGTGTGTGTGAGCGTGTGTTCTTGTTTCTGGCTTACATTTACAAGTGGTAAAAGGCTTGAAAGAGTAAAAAAAAAAAATAATTGTATAGAATTTTGAAACACACTGACCATCACAGACACATGGCCATCTGGATGCAGCTTAAGGCGTTGACACAGTTAACTCTTGATTTTCTGGAAGCAATCATAAATGCGATCCCAAGGACTCATCACTTATCTGACATCTGCTTAGTCATCTCTGGTACAGTATTCTGACAAGTATCTATAGTCTTATTACATTTGTTACAGGTACAGTGTTCTTTCAGTTTTCTAGGTATATCTACTGTACTGTGTCATTAGTAATGGTGTAAACTATGAAATATTTTTACCTCCCCGTAATTGGAATATTCCTCCACATAATAGTGGTGCTGTACTGTGTTATCACTGGCAGTGTGTGTGTCTATATGACCATCCATATTGATGTCCTCGCCATTGTTTTATATTTTTATCCACCAGATTACTTACTGGGATTAACATCAAGGAACACCAACGAGACAGCTTGTATGGCTACAGCATTTTCAATACTCATCTCTGCAATGAAAACTTCATCAAAGATACGTCTCCTTTTGGCAAAAGAAGGAGCTTTTACAAGTAAGTTTAGAACACTTCCTCGGGCACTCCTCACTCTCTCAGAAACTTTATCTTCCCCTTAAACTTTGGGATAAATTCATATATAATAGATATTAATTATAGAGTATGTTCTGTATTTATTTTAATGACTTGGCTGTGTACCCATATGCACACACATACACACATTTATGTATACTACCACACAGCAATACTTTACCCTTCACAAGAAACTTGATGAGATGCACAAAGACATCAGTCAGGTGTTATAAGATTATGTAACCCTTAGAAACACTTGATGGCATAGTTCACAATATTGTACTATTTTAACATCATTTTGGGTCATTCTCTCTCAGGCTTGAGCTTTTAGTTGGGCAGTTCATTTCATGTTGCCTATGTTATTTTATACATAGAGGAGTTAGCTTATATGGGGTTACAAGATGTATGTGGAAATCCTTTTTATCTTCCCACTTATTTGCCCCAGTGTGTATATAGTACTGGTACACATGTTTTTATTATTATTACTATTATTACAGTACGTATTGTTATTATTACAGCGATCATTATATTGCCTAATCACTTTCTTTTTCTGCATTTGTTTTGGCAGCTCTGTGTGATCTAGGGGTCAGGAAGGGGGAGGAACAAGCTTGGCAGGTCATGAAAATTTTACTAGGAGGTGACATAACCATGAAGATGTGGTCCTCCCAGTCTAGTAAAGTGTCTTTAATTCATCACAAAAGGTAAATGGGAAAACATCAAAAGTTACATCAATATTTAAGTTTTGATCCTTGTGTTCTTTTTATGCCAAAGGTTGTCAGTATGTTACTCCACTAGATGACCAAAGTCCCACTCATAAAATATCAGTATACTTTTAGAGGTCCACAAAAATGGGAGGCAGAGAGACCACTGGTGCCAGCAGCTAACTCACCCACCAATGGGGACAACTCTCCAGCCATAACGAACATGGTGGCTATGACTCTTCCTGATTATAACTGGGACTTGGAGATGCGCAATACCATCAACACCAGACAGTTTGTTCCTTACAGTACTCACAGAGGCTGGCAGCGGGAAAAGAAGGAAACACTTTCTCCAAATGTTGGTGAGTTTGGGTTTGTGGTGCAGAAGAGGCTAATTAGTACATAGAAGTTGATATAGTAAGTCAATATGAACAGTCATGCCTTTCACCCCTTGTGTATGGGTCCCCTCTGTGGGAAATTAAATCGTGTGGCATTAGCGAAATAAAATATTAAAAGTGGTGTCCCCATATTGAAAGAGTTAGTACAGAAAATGGACAAACTACGGTAGTACAGTAATCAGTAATGGTATTTCAGATAACACTAATAACTTTTACTGAATATGTAACACTTCTTAACTTATTCAATTTAAAATATATGCTAAATACTGAAATACGTACAACATATTTTAGAAGATTCCTCAATATAAACTCCTTTAGTTATCATGTTTTAAATGATCAGACTTTTAGTTGTAGCAATGCTAAACAGTGATCAGTGTTAGATAAGAGCAATATAAATTCGGTTTGATGTAAAGTACTATACTTGTTTCCTCAACTGGAGAGAATGACCACAGAAAACTTGAAAAAAAAAAGGTCATACCATCATTGCTCATTAAACATACAGTACCACCACATAATGATCACATGGTTCTGTCTATTGTATTAGTAAAATTTTAATATACAGTCTTAGTTGTATAAATCTCTCCACCAAAAATTTTCTTCTACAGGAGAGTTGCAGTATGGTCATGTGTTAAATGTGAAGAATGATGAAACTCACCACATCATCCTGGACAAAAGTGTACCAAACATCAGGATGAACACACTCCTCCAGGTACTGTATGGTATTGTAGCTGTTGTCATCATACAGTACCCATACATAGTGACTCAAAGATCCTCGGTTAATTTGTAAATTGACAATAAATAAATGAGGATTATTCTTTTTACTTTATAAATATTTCAGATTATTTTGGGTATGCTGAACACAGGCTTGGGAGGCAAAATATACATAGGTCTCAACAAGTCTGGGGTCATCCATGGGGTGAAGATAAACCGAAACCAGCGTGACTGTTTTATGCTTGGTAAGACATTTCTGAGAATCATTATTTCCTTCTCTGTCATTCATAAACAGTATTGAAGGAGCATTTTATCCTCTGAAGATACTTAAGCTGTTTGATTTCTCATCGTTTGTGTTGATGGTTATATCTCAAAGTTGACTTGATGTTGGATTTACTGTAGTTGTGGTCTGCTATCCTCCTCATTTCTTTGCTTAGGCGCGAGACCATTTCATTATTGTTATACTGTGCATAGCTTTTATTGTGGAACTCATCTCTCATGGCTGCTAAGGAGAACAAATGAAAGGGAATGAAGAATCAGTATGTCATCTTGAGGTTGCCCATTTCCTTAGTACAAGTCAATTCTTGCTGTGAGTAATACCCAGCACCCCACAGCAAGGTGATGATGCTGATTTGGCAGGAAAACTTGTAATATTTATTCATATTTGTCTGTCTTCCCTTACAGGTTTTTTAAAGTTGGTGACTTCAGAGATCTTCCCAAAGGTTCTTCCGTGTGACACACTCATCCAGTTCCTGCATGTAATTCGTTGTGGAGTTCTCCCTGTTACAACGCAGAACCTGACAGCTGAAACACCCGACCTCAATGAGTCTGACTACTATGTTATTATTCTTACGGTAAGTTTTATACATCCTGGTGCACTGTTTTGGTGGCGCCTTGGGGTGAAAAGGTTACTGTACTGTATAGAGAGTAAGAGATACAGAAGATGTGGGGGAGGAGGTGATCAGGTTCTGCTTCAGTGATATGTACAAATGTATTTAAATGAATGGGATGTGAACAGTTGTTGAAAAGAATGTACTGTGTAATTCAGAGGTGGTTGGTAGGTGAGAGGAGAAGACTTAAGAAGGAGATGGAAGGAAGGTGTTAAGGAAGAAGTGAGGTAATGTACACCCAGGAAGCAGAAGTACAGTATGAGTGAATTAGCAGAGTCTGGCATAGTTTTTTTTTAGAAGGGTGTACAGCTGATGAATGGTGCGGGCATATGTGAAGATAAACCAGATTTGGGGCCTTGTTGTGGAAGAGCAGGTCCAGATAAATCAGATTTGGGGCCTTGTTGTGGAAGAGCAGGTCCAGATAAACCAGATTTGGGACCTTGTTGTGGAAGAGCAGGTCTAGATAAACCAGATTTGGGGCCTTGTTGTGGAAGAGCAGGTGCAGATAAACCAGATTTGGGACCTTGTTGTGGAAGAGGAGTACCTTAGCAGAACATATCAATTACAGCATTGATGAAGAATGAAGGGTAAAATGTGCACAGTATATGGACGTGTATTTGTTCATGTTTCCAACCACTCATCAGTAAATAGAAAAGGGCAAAACACAGATGTGATCTAAACTTAAAATTGTGTATTTAAATATAAGGTTATATAGCCATCTGCAAAATGCTAGTAGGTACCTGTATATATCTTTTTTCATATGAACCTCGTGATTCTTCCATCTCATGTACTATACTGTATATTGGATTATATTTACAGGTACGACCACTGTCCAGTTCACCGTACCGTTCCCGTGATGACCCTGACCCAATATTCCTGCGTGAGGGAGGCGTAACGAGCACCCTTCGTGGACACCGCCTCAGCCAATTTATGTCGACCTTTACTAAAAAGACTCAAGAGCTGCAACAGCAGGTGTCTCAGGAGAAACAGTCATTGCTTAACCTAATACTGACTAATGAATCATAGCAGTCGTGAATAACATTACTTCCGGTGAATATTATTTTTTTGAGTTTTATATACAGTAGTGTATGTTACTTTATTTAGTATTATTTTATTTTTTTTAAAACTGTTTATTTTGCAATATGACAGGCAAGCATGTTGGTAATTTTGCAAAATAACTTGTAAACAGGCCAACCTAACCTAATAGTGTAGTAAGGTTGAATAAGGTTAGGTTATGATAGTTTAGGTTAGGTCAGCTTGTGTAGCACGATTAACAGTTGCAAATTTCTGTTCTTTTTTCTTTCTTTTTTAACTTTGGACTGTGTGCTGTCCTAACCTTACCTGTTTTAATTTCTAACTTATGTACATGCTGGCCTAGGATTTTGGTTCCATATCTTAAAATTCCAACAATTTGTGTTAAATATTGAGCATTGAAGAAATTTATACAGTAATTAGATAATTTAAAATGTGATATACACCGTGCCTTTAAGTTTTGAAATTCTTTTATAATTTTTATATTTTCTCATTAATATACTGTACATATATATTAACTTTTCCATTTTATGATTATTTTCATTTTTCACAAAAAAGGCATTCTATCGACCCAAGAGATGCCTAACCTATTATTTGGTATGAGGCCAAAACATAGATTTTGTTCATATTTCATACAAAGGTACTCTTAACACATGCTGGTTAAGGATCTGGGTTAATTAACTCTTTGAGGCAACTTTAGTTTGTTGCATAATCTCTTAATATCTCCAAATTTTCTTTTATTATTCATTACAAAGAACAATTCTTACTTTTAAAGTCACAAGAACTTAGAGAAGTTTCAGATTTGTTTGAAGTCTAGATAATTTATTGTTATTAACTTGAAGTGTTCTCTATATGTCATAATGATCATAATAAACTCTTTCTTAACCAATACAGTATAGAATTATCATAAAGTCAAATACAGAAACTCTTCATTATCATTATATTTCAAGTATATTTCCTGGAAATTTAATACAGCACTGTAATGATAAAAACTTTATCTCTGGTATGTCTTTAAATAATGTTGTTTTTAAATCACATTAACTATCATTACTTTCTGCAAGTTTTAGTTTTTTAACGAGTAACTTTCTTCCTTCCTCATTGGTGAAGTAATCCCGGAGGGCATCCAGGGCCCGACGACGATGAGAAATACTGTTCTTGACACTACTGTCTAACTCGGCGAATGTCTGGTTGTAACCTGATGTGAAAGAAATTTATGCCAGGTCAATTTTAATGAGGTACCCCACAAGTAGGATAACTGTTCTTATATTTAATTCAAATACAAAACCTGGTAATGAAAGGAAAACTATTCACATGAGATCTGATCTAAAACTAGTGAGGTCATTATTAGCAAAGCTACAGCCCAAGATCACCATTTGTCTGAGCACCTGATATAAACAAGAATAGCATTGTAAACATGAAAAAAAAATTGTTAGAAGTGTTTGGATTTGCTTATGATACTACTTCAAATGAGAAGATATACTACATTAAATGGTATAAGATGGAAGTGAGTAGAAAATATATACTACACAGTATACCTGTAGTAAAATTCTTTGTTGTGAAAATTACATACAAAACTATAGAAAGCTAACAGGCAGAATAAGAAAAGGTAAACTGCAACACATCCAGGCAGTTTTTTAAAGATTAGATACCCTAATTCTTCCTGGGGGAGTTACATTAGTGTTAGGGTGGTCAATCTTCCTCTGAAATAAGCTGTGGTGTCTTATCTTCAGGTGATCCCTTATGATAACTTCCATATTAAAGCTATAGGAACATCAATATACAGCTTACTGATGTTCTTAAGTAGTGAGATTCCATGGGCGAAGACTTACCTTTGGGTTGAAAGCAGGGATCCCAGCCAAACTTGTTGTCACCCCGGGGCTCCACAATGGTGCCTTGGGTACGCCCTTGGAATAGAAGCACCTCATCTTTTGGGTCACCAGAGGAAAATGCAAATGTACACACTGCTTCTGCAGACTGTAAAGAAATTTATCTTTTTATCTAGATGTCTTTATATCTTGAAGATAATATCCCTTTCTGGCCCTAAAAATCCTTTATCTGAAAATGAAACTACATACAGTACTGTACCTACCGCAAAGGTTCCAGTCTCTGACAAACGAAGGCTTGGGCACGGTGCAGTAAGAGCATAAACAAAAATAAAGCAGAGTTTGTACAGTGGGTTCAAACTAATCCTGCATCACAACATGAAGAGTACAGTATTATACTGTATACCTGAAAGAAATATCTCATTCCATATTGTGTAAACTTGTGCCGTTCTGACTGAGAGATGAGTCCTCACTATGATGAATACTGTTTAATGAAGAACTACCAATTAAAAGACCTTGAATGTGTGCATCTTCCCATATGTTATGACTCACCTTATCTTCAAAACCCGCCAACAGCTTGTGGAGGCCACCAGGCTTCAGCTTTTCTAAAAACCATTTGATATAGGGACCTGGAAATAGTTTAAACAAGCAGAATCAGTACCCTGTCCTGGGGAATGTTAAAAAGCTTGAGAAAATGAAGCCACAACATGAAAAATTTATCTCCTCAAACACTCACCATTACAGAGACAGTATACATGTGAGTAATTTTGCTTTAAACAATATCAAGACTTTGTTATGCACCACTTTTATACAGTATTAATATCAAGGTAAAGCACCAACTTAACCTTCGTTTAATATCTAGTTTAGGCTCTACCTTTATATTCATTATAATGCTCGTGGCTAAAGGAAATAATTTTACTTCAACTGTTTCTGAATAAAGATTTTTAAAGTAAATTTGTAATGAAGAATTAGATGAAATTTAGGAATTCAGATACTATATCCAGAATCAGTGATATACAAACATGATTATATAGAGAGAGATGTAAGGGAGATAAGTACTATAGTGGTGTTTGGTAGGAAAACAAATGCATTACTTGGGAGAGTTACTGTAGTTACAAAAGGAAAAGTGAAACCAGGAAATCCTACTATGCAGAATGAGGTATCAAAGTTTGTGTTACTTAGAGAAAGACAACCAAAACTGGGTAAAAATGGGAGAATTCAAGAAACAGGATAAAGGGTGAAGGTAAGATAGAGATATTGGGTGAGGAAACCATTTAAAATTTTAGTCAGATCTATGAATCATTCAAAAATAGTACAGTAGTGACAAAGGAGCATGTGGTGAGGTAGGTTAGTGAAGAGAGTTCAATCACATCTCACCTGAAGCTTTAGGACCTGAGGAACTAAGTAGACTACAAAAGATTTCGAGCAGGTCCACAGTAAAGATAATGTATGGTAAAGTACATGAAAAAAAAAAAGAGAGAGCTAAGCCACACACCTGGAAGACCACCAAGAGCGTTAAAACAGAGGCAGGTGTCCTCCACTATAACTGGGGCCTTGATCAACTCCCCTGCTGCTTTACACTTGTCACGACTCACATCATCTGCCTCACCTTGGTACTCTGGTAGGTCTATCTTCCGACTCTCAATTCTGGTGAGAACAAGTGCGTGTAGTACCGTACAAAAGTCAGAAATCAAGAAAAGACATGGAACATCTGAAGATTTGCCCCCCAGCTTATTTTGTGTTAAGATTGACCACCCTAGCAATTAACCTAATGTAATCCCCCCCCCCCCAGGTAGCATAAGGGTGTATTATCATAATGTAAAATAGGCTAGGGGTTAATCTTCAGTTTATCCTAAATAAATTGGTCAATATTTTTCAACCATCTGTCGGTGAACCAAATGGAGTATCCAGACCCCCTTTTTCAATGATCTGCCAAAAGAAAGTTGGATAAGACAGTTTGAGATGTTGAGATATTTTTAAGAACAAACAGCAGAAAAAAGATGCATGCAAAATAGAAAAAAAAGTAGTAAACTATCCTTATACAGGAAATCTTACTTACAAGCACATATGACTATAGAAGAAATAACAGAATATTGGGATTGTAAAAAAATCTGGGATACTGTACAAAGTTATGATCCGGGCCATAAAGGGTTTTCACCCTGGGAAAACTTGAAAATTCTAAATTAGACTTTATTTTACGTAGATTAAGATGATGTATCAAAGCTGAGATGGTATGTAAGTTTTCCTCTTTAATAGAGCCATTTGTGGGGAGCACTGATGCAATTTCTGGTATTATTATTATTGTCTCGGTCATCCAGCTAATTTTAGGATTTTAAGCTTTGGAATCGGTAGTTTAGACAATTCAAAGACCCTCTTCTTCTATGGCATTTGCATTGGAAATTTATATTTTTTTAATAGTATTTTAACCGATAAAATTACCAACAATATTACTTGCTTAAAGTGGGCAGGGATTTGAAGTAGAGGGAAAGTGTCGTAAAATACTAAAATGAACATCAAACAAACCTCTGAAAACCTTTTATCGATTAAAATATGTCTTAGAATTGCCTAAACTACTTATTTCAAAACTTAAAATCCTAAAATTAGCTGCATGACCAAAACGATAATTTATCCAATTTTTTGCCAGATAAATTTTATGAAGCAGGCTGCAGGTGTCATTACAATTAACTATCAAGATTACAAGGAATATTACCTGAAGGGGAAGGAATCACCCAGTATCGCCAATACTTCCTCCAGTTTCTTGGCATTGCCTGTCACGAAGACTAGAGGACGTGTTGCTGCCATAGTGTCTTATATGTGCTGTATTCTGAAGAAAAATATTTCTTATATATTTTTCTGCTCAACAAAATATATTAGCATAGGTGTTCTTTTTTAGTATTTTACCCCACATTTTCCCTCTACTTTAAAGCCCTGCCCAATAGTGTTTGTAATTGTGGGGGAGAGGGGGGTAAGGTAATATCTCCATAACGGCTCATTTGCGACAAAAATAAAGGACAGATTGATTCGCTTATTTGCAGAAGACAAATGAGAACAAAATGCTGACCAAGACGCCTGGGTAAAATTTTAGTTTCGGTCATCCCTGTATTTAGAAATGCAAACCAAGTGATTTCTTGCAGATAAGAAGGTCCAAATCGTTCAAAACACAAAGAACCATCGGAAAAACATAGTTTGGTTATCCTATCTAACCTAATCTATCCTGATTCCTAAGATTTCCCGGATGACTGAAACTATAATAATACCGACTTGGTCCAGGACAACACTATAGAGACCAAAATACCCACAAAAGAACTCACTGCATTAATAAACTATATAAAATGAGTTACTGGTATTATAATACACATACATTCCTGCATTAGCTATTTTCTCGAGAGTTTGTTTACAAACATTTGGGCCCAGATGACACACGATGATGTGCAGTCAGGGGACTTGTTGTAACGGGCCGAGTTTTCTCTTTTCAATAATTTACCATCCAGCTATTCTTTCCTGTTAGTATTCTATTTATTCATATACTTATATGTTCTGTGTAATACTCTTTCCAATGAGTACCCTGTTTTATATACTTATCCTTCTTCAATTCTTTATATATATATATATATATATATATATATATATATATATATATATATATATATATATATATATATATATATATATTCTTATGTATTCTTGCTCATATTCTGATATGTTCTTTATCTCTATATACCTTATATTCTTATACAAGTAACTCTTATGCTTCTCTACTTATGTTTTCCAAGTCAATGTTCTTTCCTTTCTGAAGTATACTTTGTTTAATTCCTTCTTATACACGGGTTAGTCTGGGGAACCATGTTATTCTTTGTACAACACTTTTTATACTTACAAAGGGTAGCTGCCACCACCCAGACTTTTCATTAAATAACATAACTCATGGAAAGTTGTTGGGTAGATGTCTAGGCACGTGAGTAAGTATTATTTTCTGGGAACCAATGTTTAGAAGGAGTAGAGTGGTGATACTCAGATTACTAACTCAATATTTATTAACAAGTGAGTGGAGAAGATGCATCTTAAATTCACTCAGGCTAAACAGAACCGCATTTAACTTATTAAATCATCAAACACTTCAAGAGCTTATTACCTCATCCAACACCTCCAAATACTCATTACTTTATTAGACAATTGGGATATCATTACCTTGATACATGAGATTCCGTACTATTATTCACAAGCCATCACTGGACCCTCAGGTCTTACTTTAACAAGTAACACATTACCTCTTCACTTCTTGATTAGAGCATGATACTCTCAGGTTATTCGTTCATGGTTACTAAAGATGAATACATAACACATTGGACTAACTCCACAATTATAGTAACATACAATACCTCCTGTTAGTTCGCAAGGAACCACCTGGTACCTTGAACTCTCATTCAGTGGTTCAATACTTAACCTGGGATGACTATAATTCTGCTAGTCATCCCTAAGCATGGATATTAATACGGCTCCATACATACAGTATAACCAAGAACAGTGGGTAGACCATGATCATATGACGGAGTCAGTGGGCCAGAGTTGTTTACAGGCTCGCTCGCTACCTTGGAGCGCCTGGCCCGGGAAAAGTTGACTCGTGGCGTCTGCCAAGGAATCTCGCCCTGGGATTCTAATCTCGCCACCTTAAAGACGTCTTTCGAGAGACATCGTGCCCATAGGCGGCTCCCGAACCTCAGGAGTGTTGCTAACCCCCACAACAGCGTCTGTAGACGTGGAGGAGAAATCACAGGAGTGATTTCCCCTCGCGCGCCTGCATATGTCCGGGCCTGAGGGCATATTCCTACTAGAAAGGTAAATTTCACTAACAATAGACCCTCTATTCACAGTAGTCGTTGGACACCTAGCTGTGACCGTCAGTGTCACAGATCAGGCTAATTTTCTACATCTATATTTATGATTTAATCAGAGATTGAGTTTGTCAGTAAAGAGGTGAATTGAAGTTATATATGTGTTCGCAACTCTATTGACCTGACCGCAAACCACATCCCCGGTCAAACGGCCGTTAAATCTGGGAGAATTTTGAGTTTGACAGGAACTGTTCAGAAGATGAATGACTTTCTTAAATAGACAACTGACACTAACTAAACTATGAACATCAGATTCTCTGATGTCGGGGCGACAAAACAATATAACTTCAGTAGCGATCAGAAACCCATGGATATCCCCACGGACGACCTAAAATACGCCACTCTAACTGGCAAACTCAACACTCGCTTACTTGACACGTCTTACTAACAATAAGGACAGTTGAAGCGTTCAACCCCACTCACACTGGATCTTGAATGTTCCAACTGTAAACAGACATGTCTAAGTTGACTCAAAACAAAGGTGTTCTCTCTCACATTCAAATTCATTTTATAGAGAGGTTGGTTTCAGTAAGTCAGAGAAAATGGGATAACGGAGGACTGAGGCGTCTTGAAGTGATGAGAAAACGGACTCCTCAGATGGAGGACTCAGAATAAAAGCAGAGGTACATGTTTTGTGGGCTATGGAGCGTAATATGAATCATTTGATTTTGGCGTTAACTGACGTGTACGACCGTTGTCGTTACATTGTTAATGATAATAAACTGAGTTAATCGTTTTATTATGGTAAATTACTTCTGATAACCTAAAATGTACTTAACCGAGTCATCCGTGTTAGAAATGATCACGGGTATTGGTGGTACGGTGAGCAGTGATAAAATGTGCATCTCTCACGGGTTCTTGAGCTACACGCGCTACTGCGATATTATTCTATGCATCATTTCCAATATATTCTTAAATATTTTATTTTATAAGTTAATTAAATGTGAAGCTTTGATTTCGAGTAATGGATCATATCAGTAAACAGCGAGATTGTAGAAAGAATGACATTAGTGTGCTATTTAAATAAACCGCGCTCACTGGAGGATGAAAACCTCTCCAAATACGAAAGAAAATAAAAACAGGATTTATTTTTTTTACACGAATACCTTTGTAATTACACCAAATAGTTGAAGTAGAGTTGTATCTATGTTATAAATTTTGAATTATAATAAAAATTTACTAAGGATATGTGTGAAATAAGCTTATACTTGCATAAACATCATGAACGTTTTTTATAGCGAGGTTGAAATTTCCAACAATGATATTATTATGAGCAATTAGAAAAAGGATTTATTATTATTCTAAGAAATAGAAATCATTTATAAAACAGTAAAATCACTGTTATTTTTAAGTAAATATGGCAGGTATGGAAATAAGGGGTGTGGGGTGAGTGAGGTTTGTCCTGGGCGGCCGTCATGGGTGAGGACTGCTAGATAGGTGGTGTCGCGGTGAGTGAGGCCACATATAAAAGAACGTCGCAGCCGCGCTGACACGGCTTCATAGGAAGCCAGTTTTGCTGACCACGTAGGATCTGTGTTACACGATGGCCCAAAGCGCGACGTGCGTGGTGAGTAACATGGCCTGGACCGTGGTACAGGACCCGGGTGCTGGTGCAAGAGGACGGGGAGGCAGGCGATGTTGTCCCGGCCAGCAGGAAGACGAGGCCATGGCAGCCACGGAAGCTTCTAGTAGAGGATAGCTTGACTAGCTGCTTGGTGACGTGACCTGTTGCTGCTGCACCTCCCCGGCCTCTGCTGCTTTCCTTATTACACACACACCCACCAGCACAAACATATTCCTCACACAGCATTGTCGCTAACAACACCAAACTCTGCTATCTTACACCCAACTGATTGAGCAATACTGATAATTGTCTTATTATATTATTTATAAGTATACATAACGTACAGTACTGTATGTACCTGTTCTTCGTAGAGTGCATGCCCATATATATATATATATATATATATATATATATATATATATATATATATATATATATATATATATATATATATATATATATATATATAAACTATTGTTATTAATTATTGAAATAAAGTTAAGTAGAGATCCAAGTTATTGTTATACGGTACATATACTATATATTGTGTGATGAGCTGTATAGGTCAGTAAGGCCAGGCGAGACTCCACAGTCCAAGACAGTTAATATGTCAATCAGCTTGTTAAATTTCAGGATGAATTTTGCTGAGGAAATGCGGTATTTTTAAAGTAGTTCACGCAACAATCCTACCCCAAATCTTTTTATCATATTCGAAAAAGACGTCTAATTTAAGATAATTTTCTTTTATTCCATATTACATTACCGTCGGAAACATGTAATAACAGAGATAGCACATGCTAAGTCATTTTCTGTTTAATTCCATGGTAATTTTATAGGACTGCCCCACGAGCAAAATTTATTGAAATAAATACAGGGGCTCCCCTACTTACGAACTGGTTAGGTTCCTCAGGTCTGTTCGTAAGTCCAACATTACTCTTGTCAATACTGAATACTGTATACAGCATTGTAAAAAAAAGCTGTACAGACAGCTATACCCCAATAATACTCGACAGTATTTCTTACCAGACTTCAACGGTATTTTTAATGTATGAATAGCATGTATAGTAATAAATAAACACTCCCCATGTTTAGCCTTCCGCTGAATTAAGTTAAGGCTTATAGGCATGCGGTGCTGATGCTGGTCTTCCGGCCACACACTCAAAAGTTTTTCCATCTCTGCGATCACCGAGTCTCTTGTTTAGTAATGATCGTGGAATGCATTGGCACAGAACCTTTAATATGTTGCATAATGTGCTCTTTGTCCTTCAAAATTGTCTCAACAGTCGAACGATTCATCCCAAGAGCATTTGCTATGCTTATAATTTTCTCACCTCTTTCACAACGCTTTATAATGTCCACCGTAGTTTTCAACGTACAGTAATAGTGAGACGCTTCTTACTACCACCATCACCACTGGGATCACTTCTACGCTTCCGAGACATGTTGGGTTCAATAATATTCGTCAAAACCACAAATAACACAACACCGTGAGACAGCAGAGGAACACGACAACAACAATGGCACTGGGGACACAGGGTGACGCTGAACAGCCAATGCCATCTGTTGCATGGCGGTTGAACTTATGGCCCGGCGCGGTTTTCAAATAGGCAATTGGACATACGGACAGGTTTGTTCGTATCTCTGAAAGTTCGTAACTGGAATGTTCATAAGTAGGGTAGCTCCTGTATATAAAAGCACCATATTTTCACTGTTATAGTATAGTGGACACTGTTGTAGTTTGTGGAAACAGTTAAAAATTGGATAATTTAAAAGTAAAGTTACTTAACTTTTGTGGGTATGAAAAACAGACCTAACCAAACAAACCTACCTGACCTTACCGGACCCCCAGGTATTTTAAACAAAGAACTTACTATGATATGGTGGAATTTGAGGCATTTTCTGGACATGATATGATACGGCCGCATCGACGCTATGCATCCCGGGCGGAGGTGTGATTTACTGTGTTGGCGGGATCCACAATGAATGATTATCATATCAGAACTCACTGATCAAAATAATGCAAGAAAATAAACAGTATGTAAAGGAACAATGCCGTGATCTTTAAACAATTGAAGGATCTCGTTGTCTTTACCCCCAAATTCACAAATTACGTCCGTGTAAGATCGGCGACAACCTTCACACGACATGCTGAAAAACAAACTGCCCTGGGCGTGGGAAAAGCCCCCTCAGCAGACAGAGGCCTCGATACCACTTGGGAGATCATCTAATCTGGAAAGTGTAATTGGTAAATACTGAGTTTTATTACTCTTGAATTTAACCAAGTTTCTACCTCCCCATTTGGAGATGCTGCACTGATCCGCATTGATAGATGTAATGATATCGGCTCTAGAAACAAGTCTAATTTGAGAATTAGGGGGAAGGGGAAAATGTGTTAAGATGAATGAAGAATAGAATCATCAGCATAAGAATGGATAGAATTAGTTGTAGTGTGAAGTAAATCATTGATAAAAAGAAGGGAGAGAGTAGGTGAAAGAACAGAACCCTGTGGGACACCACAATTGGTAGAGAAAGAGCGAGAGGCCCATCCCTCGACAACAACTGCCATGGATCAGTTCGCTAGGAAACTAGAAATTAGAGAACAAAGTGGGGGAGAGAAACCATAAGAGGGAAGTTTAGAAAGCAAAGGCTTTTGCCATACCCTGTCAAATGCTTTGGAGATGTCGAGGGCCAAGACGAAAGTTTCCCCGTAATCCCTAAGAGAGGATGGTAATACAGTAGGGTTTTTATTTATTTTTTCAGTTGCCAATGCCATGAAGGGTAATTTATGAAGAAACCACAACCACCAGAAGGATCATAAATCACTTGTAGTAGGCTGGGTATGAAGGATTAGAGATATTGCAGGGTAATACACGAGGAAAAACTGATCATATGACACTTAAATGATGTCTATGTGTGCTTTGTGCATGAAGGGATTTATTATTTGCTGTCAAAAAGTTGCTGTTTACAACCGACCCGCTCGGTACATACTAACATCTCAAAAACACAAAATTACACCATAATGCTTCGAAAAGTTGATTTCATTGGTACAGTACCAGATATCAAAATAAGTACTTCCCGTTTAATATGGCCAGGGGTCCATCCCCTGGTTAGGAAGTTAGGTAAGGTTAGGTAAGTGTGTGTGGTTGGTTAGGTCAGGTAATATTAGGTTCGAGTAAATATCACCTCCTAAATACTTACTATATTTAAAAAAACATTGTGAAAAAAATAAATAAATTGTAAACATTTGGTGGTAGAGGTGTTCTCCATAAAGACCCAGCCCAGACTCACTAACCTCTTAATCCTCGAAGAGTGGCAGGTTTGCTGCCTAAGTACGGCAGCCGCACTGTTTATATTCACAGCCTCTGTACAAATATTCTCAAAATTTATCTTATCGTGTGTTTTCCTACTCTTAGCTTCTTTCAACTGGCTCTCGGGGACTCCAAACACTATTATGTTGTTTCTGTGCTTGAAAAGTTCCTGTTGTTCCTCCTCTCCCCTATCAGTAGGTCTGCTAGTTGCCATCTCTTCAGCACACTTCTTCAGAGTCCTTAGATGTTGAAGGACCTGTTTGGATCCTGCATTACTTTCCGTCACTACTCCCTCCATTCTCAGTTACTTCCTCAGTCTTATCGAGGATCTCTTTCCCAACTTGCTCTAGTTTGTCAACCAACAAGGATCCAGCTTCATCTATTTTCGTCCGTAAGTTTTTCGTTTCCTTATGATTTGCAATAGTCTCGTTTAATTTGGTTAGGCAGCCAGGGCAATACCAGCAACAGCCTTCGTGCTTTACCGCCTTCTGCAGCGTCCTAAACTTTGTTGTGGTCAGACCCCCACAATCCGTCCTAGACACCATCTCCTTGCAGTAATTGCATGTCAGCAAACTACTTGCTGACCCTGGGGTTTGAACCCCTGGTTCCCATTGTCTTTACCTGTCCTGTCACGAACTGTCTTCTTACTTATACAGTATCTACTTGCACCTGTGGGGCATGCAGTGCTTGACAGTTGTCCCCAGTGTCAATCCTGAGGGAATAGGGAGGCTGTTTGAAATGAAAGTCACCAAAGCAATTGTCCTTAAGCAGCATGAAAATCCTCTTATAGTGATGCTCCACACTTTGTAGGTTAAGTTAATTCATAGTGACATCTTTCCTTGTTTCAACAGAGGGGTTAATGTACACACTCGAGCAAATATTTGTGAGATTCTCGAGGGAAAATATCAGTGTTGGTCTTTCCCTTACTTCACATAACATTTTCTGCAGCTGGTTATTAACTTCGCTAAACAATTTTGTATTGTAAATATTTTTAAGGAGCTCAAACCTTATGATATTTGAACAAAAAACTATACTGGTACTGTACACATGTAAATTACATTGCTGATGTCTGAGCCTAACAAATTTCTAAATGAAGTAAAATAATGCATATACAGTTGGTATACTACTTTATATTAGGGCTCACCATTTTTTGTATAAGCAAATGTCACTCGGCTTATCCGATTGGTCACGTCTTTGCTATACACTGTTGGCAATTACTGGGCATGTACTGGCTCCAGAATGTATCTGTACTGTACCTGTGCCATTGTTGGTCATGTCTGGTCTTGAATGAGCTCACACTGTTCCATCACAATGCTCTCTGACAGATGATTCAAAGAGTTCACAATCTGCCAGAGGGTGTCGTGACGGCACTTAGCGTGTGCTCATTCAAAACGAGTTGACCAACACTGGCACAGGTACAGTACAGATACATTCTGGAGCCAGTACATGCCCAATACTTGACATCATTGTTGTCCAAGCTCATTAAATATTCTATAGTGTCTTGTTAACCATGTTGAGGTACTTACCAGTCTGATAAGAAATTGTAAAGGATCTTGGGGACCTCAACTTGTAACCCACATTCTTGTAACTCCAGTCCAGGGTGTATAATGGAGTGATTGAGGACGTTATATCTGGCGTACGAGAAAGTTTCCTGGATGAAGGCATAGATGAGCAGGTGCTGACAGAGCTGCGTCAGTTGTGGGAGCAGAAGTTACAGCGAATGAATGTGATAGATAACTCTGAGCCTGGTTCAGCGTCCTCTCACCAGCAGCAACAGCATCAGCAGCAACAACAGCAGCAGCAGCAGCAACAACAACAACAACAGCAACAACAACAGCAGCAGCAACAACAACAACAACAGCAACAACAACAACAGCAGCAGCAACAACAGCAGCAGCAGCAACAACAACAGCAGCAGCAACAACAACATCAGCAAACACAATCACAACCAGGTATGATACAGTATGAAGATTGTATAAGGTTTGTTCAGCATTGTCTTTCACATAAGAACTTAAGAAAATAAGGAGTCTGCAATAAGCCGGTTGGCCTGTGCATGGCAGCTCCTGTCGAGAGTTACTTCCACTCTCTATCATCCATGAATCTATCTAGCCTCCTTTTAAAACTTTCCAGTGTTCCAGCACTTACTACAAAGTTGCTAAGCTTGTTCCACTCGTCCACCACCCTATTTGTGAACCAGTCTCTTCCTATCTCCCACCTAAACTTATCCAACTTAAATCCGTTGCTCCGAGTCCTATCCTGCTCGGATATTATAAGAACTTTATATATATCCCCTTTATTGATTCCATTCACCCACTTAAATACTTCTATCATCTCCCCGCACTCTTCGTCTTTCTAGGGAATGCAAGTTAAGTTTCTTTAACCTATCCTGATATGGAAGGTTTCTAAGTCCCGGAATCATTTTCGTCATTCTTCGCTGCACCGACTCTAGTGAATTTATATCCATTCTATAATAGGGGCACCAGAACTGAACCGCATAATCGAGGTGCGGCCTGACTAGCGCAAGATATAGTTGCAATAAGACCTCTGCACTCTTATTACTTACACTTCTAGATATAAAACCCAATACTCTGTTTGCCTTATTTCGAACATTAACGCACTGTTTTCTAGGCCGTAGGTCCGGGCTTACAAGTACCCCAAGGTCTCTTTCACAAGTCGACTTCTCTAGGTTGATGTTGTTAAGGCTGTATACATTGTCAGTATTTGTTCTTCCAATATTAAGTACGCTGCACTTGCTGGTGTTGAATTTCATTTGCCATTTTTCAGACCACCCCTGCAGTTTATTTAGATCCTCCTGTAATGCATTTGCATCCTGCCCTGAATTAATCTGCTGCCCTATTTTGGTGTCATCCGCAAACTTGCTTATGTCACTGCTGATCCCAGTATCTAGATCGTTTATGTAGATTATGAACAAGAGTGGGCCTAGTACTGACCCCTGGGGAACCCCACTGGTTACACGGCCCCACTCAGATTTAACATCATCTACGCTGACCCTCTGCATTCTATCGGTGAGCCATGATTTTATCCAATTTAAAACTTTCTCCTCGATACCATGAGCCTTAATTTTTCTCAGAAGCCTCTGATGCGGTACTCTGTCAAATGCTTGGCTAAAGTCTAAGTAAATAACATCGTAATTTTCGTCATTATCTACTACCTCGAAGACTCTCCTAAAAAAACGTCAGCAGATTTGTTAGACAAGATTTTCCCTTTGTAAACCCATGTTGAGAGTCGTAGATTAATTTGCTTTTCTCTAGATGCGATAGGATGCTATCTGCTATAATTGATTCAAGAAATTTCCCCACTACTGACGTCAAACTGATCGGCCGGTAATTTGACGCTGATGCTCTGTCTCCTTTTTTGAATATGGGTACTACATTTGCCTGTTTCCACAAGTCTGGCACAACTCCGGTGTCTAATGATTTTGTAAATAAATTTACAAGGGGTCTGCTAATCTGTTCCCTACACTCTTTCAAGACTTGAGGGAAAATTGCATTCGGCCCTGGGGATTTTGTCTTCTTTAGTTTATTTATCTTCTTAAGAACATCCTCTTTTCTGATAGTGATATTCTTTAATTTATCTTCTTCCTTTCCCCTAAATATCAGTTCCACCTCTGGAATTTCCTCGCAAATTTCTTCTGTGAAAACTGATAAGAAGTAGTTGTTCAATGCTTTGCTTATTTCTCCACCGCCATTTATCACTTCTCCCCTCCCTGACTTTAAAGGCCCAACTTTGTCCTTGACTTTTGTTCTATGTACCTGGAAAAATCCCTTGGGATTCGCCTTGGATTCTCTTGCTATTTTGACTTCATAGTCTCTCTTTGCTTTCCTTACATTTTTCTTTCATAGTCTCTTTGCTTTCCTTACATTTTTCTTAACATTCCTAGATAGTTCATTATACCTTTCCACCACTGAACAGAATTCTTGATACTGTGTTAACTGAATCTAAACTTCTTGCAGTGAAGACAGACATAGGGTGATCAGAAAGAGTCCGATGTGTAAGAAAAAAAATAGTCAGAAATCATATGTAATGTTCCATGTTATGTTTTCAAATGTTTGTTTCTTTTATGAAATGAATGAAATTGCCATACTGGTATTGGGTTAATTGATCTTCCATTGAACCAAGATCCAGCAGATTCTCGAGAGCTCTATTTTTAGTACAAACTTCTAACAAAATGTCTTGTATCACATTTTCAGCTGCACCAGCACAGTTAGTAGCAAACTTAGTGCCGGTTCAGATCACAGTGCCAGCTCAGCAGGCCGGGGGAGTGCCAAAGACCATCACCATCCATGTGCCATCATCAGCACTGGCTAATGGTGTTGCCGGCCAGCAGCTACAAGCCATCCTCAGCTCACCAACAGCTGCTCAAACATTCTCCTTGGAGGTAATAAAGTACAGGAGGTGGGGTAGAGATAATACATAGTGAGGGATAGGAGCACCACGTGTATAAATATATGAAAGGTGTACTGTACAAGAATGTGTGTCACAGTTATGGATAGGAGGGTGAAATAAAGAGGAGGATCTTGCAGGGAAATTAACTGAATTATTTATGAATAACAAAGAAAGGAAGGAGATAATGGAGACAGAGTTAGTGTTAGGCTGAACTTTTTATTTAAAGGTAGAGGATGTTATCTGGAGATGAATGTGTTACAGCACCTGGCACCAGTGTTAAATACTTGTGATTATGTTAGACTATCGAGACTCATACAAGAGGTGCTTATGATGGTTTCAGCAGTAAATATCTGTGACTCCTGCACCACCTTTGTTCTGTGCTGTCTGATAATAATTGAAGAACAGTTTTGTTTAATATGATTGTTATCCCTCACAGGCTTGTCGGGCTGCTGAGATAATCCAGCGTAAGTTGAACACTGCCTTAGAGAATAATGGAATTAACCTGCCCCCACAGCTACAACAGTACAGCCAACTTGCCACCACCCAGGTACTGTAGGACCAGTCCTCCTCTGGTCTTCTCTTTCCATGTTTGTTTTATCCTTTCATTAAATTGAGCTTTAACAGGGAAGTATTTATGTAAGAAGCTGTAAAACTGTGTCAAGATCACAATGATTGATGGAGTTATCTTTTTGGGGTACAGTATGTATCTCCCACTACTGAGAGAAAAAGATTTAAAAGATTTTAGGGAGCTAAAACAGCCCTGTGACCACCACCATGGCATGAATGTGTGGAAGGGTGAACAGTACCGTAAACCGGGGTGACTTGGGACATGGGGCGAGTTGGGACCAAAAAATAAATAAAAATGCCGTGGTGACAGCTCGTAAATAGTTGCACCAAGCAGAGCATGTTTGGTACCAAAATGTTGCTAAAACTGTGTATTTTACATGCTATTGTCTTAAGCTACTAGAAACTGTTTATTTAATAAATGGAAGTCAATATTCAGTCAATTTTGTTTCAAACAAATTCATATGTTGACAGACTTTCTCTGCTGCAAACATATCAAAGTAAATAGAGGAACATATATCAGTGAAAAATATTAAAAAAATTTGTATCTTGAAAGTTTATAAACAATCTGGGGGCTCTTGGTGAATTTTAAATACTGTATCTGAAAATGACACTTGAATGTTGATATGGAAAAATTATTAACAAAGTGGGTGACTTTTGGACAAAATGTCCTTATTAGAGGGAATGGTGCATATAAGTGAGGTTGAATCCTTTAATGTGTTCAGATAATTCCATATTCTTTTATATTTTTATGTAGTCATGCTGAAAGTAGAGCTATATACAGTCATCAAGGTATATAATGCAGGTAAACATACATTTTCTACCCAAAAATACCTTAAAAATGGTGCTTATTTACAGCCTTGCCACATTTTTTCTTGGTGGCCTTTTATTATTACTCTTGCTGTGCTGTTTATACTAATGCATAATCTTTATACTGTATATAAACTCCTAATACAACCAAATTGCTTGTTAATATCATGTAATAAAACTACTTCCAAAAGTATTTGCTCTTCCTACTTATTTATTGGTGCAGATTCTTGCATATTTTTTTAATGTCCAAAGTCACCCCCATATTGTCCAGGAAGGCTCTAACCACCACAACCATTGAATTAACACTGGTACTATGGGCTGTCCAAAGTCACCTCGGCCTCAGGTTGACTTTGGACAACTAAAAATCCTTTCTCCACAAGAAAGGTATGATGTTTGCAGATTTTTTCTGTACATAAGAGTAGCCTATTCAAAGTACCTAAATCTTACCCAGCGTGTGCTTTTAGCCTGCAATCAAGGCTTGTAGCTCCAAAAAACCTCAAAAATTGTCCACCATCACCCCAGTATACTGTATGTACTCTGTAGACTTTGAATAATGTATAACTAATTGATTCCAAACAATCACTCTTGGTGTGCAGGTGGATGGACCTAATGATGAGCCATTGGGGATGCCTCCCAAGAGCATCAAAAAGACAGCCACCCGCCCTTCCCAGCCAGGAGCCACATCCAGTAGCCACAACATCCAGCCTACTGTCTCTGCAGATAGGAGTATAATGGACACGATACTGTATGAAAGGCTAAAAGCTACTCAGGTTAGTGTTGAGTTTACCTATTTGCACTATACTTCTCTAGGGACTTATAAGTTTCCCCGGCAGTTGTGAGGTGACTGTTGGTTGCAGGTGGTAGTAAAGCAGTTAGGAGTGATTTGCATGTAAGGAAATCATGACTGAATTACAGAGAAGCTTGGAACTTTTAAAAAGACTTATTTTAAGTAGAAATTATGAATTTAACCCCTCGAGTATAATGACTTACCCCAGAGTATTATATCTTGACCCCTTGAGTATCATCTTAACCCCTTGAGTATTATGTCTTAAACCTTTGAGCAAGTTAACCAATTTCTGCAACCACTTAAGGAATCAAGGAGAAAATCCATTGAAACATCATACAGTATAGGTATCCCTCGTTTAACCAAGGGTTGCGTTCCTGAAGACCTAATGTTAAGCGAAATTATCACTAAATGAGGAATAAGTGGGGATGCGGCTTACTAACAGTTACAAATTTTAGTAGCCTCAGAAATGCCCGTAAGTATTACCGTAATTCCTTGTGCGTTCTAGTATAAACAAACTCTAACCAGTCCCATCACCATTATTGCCTCTCCTAATGTCTAAACTACCATCATTACCACCATTACTAATATCACACTGCATGTTGTCTACTCCCAAGTTTGTTTACAAGAAATGAAGATCACTAAACTGCACAAAATCTCCAGTTTTCTTACTCCCCAGTGAGTAAAGTTATGGCTAAACCGAATTTTGACCTAATTTCAAGGGAGGGTTACCTGCGTATGTATTTAAATGAAAGGAGAAGTGTATATACAGTACAAGCATGCTGTAACAGGTTGATGGTGCCTACGGTACTGGAGACAGCTCATCGGAGATCTCGGATGACGACGATGATGATGATGATGACAAGGATGAGGAGGATGACAAAAAGTCGCTGGATGGTGAAGAGGATGAGGATGAAGGTGATGGACCAGAGGAGGTGAGGATGTTGCAGTTGAGAAACACTTGTGTGTGTGTGTCTATCTCTATTGTTATCAAGTCAATGTCCATCTCAACAATAAATCTCTCCATTTATTTACTGAATTGAATTGAATTGTAACAGTTTATTTAGCCAGAAAAATACAGATACAGAGTGGATAATAATAACAATATTAACATGACTGAGCCAGTTGAGCTCTCTATGAGGCACCTGATATATACTATACATTTATCTCAAGGAAGTATTATGTAACATTTAGTATCATCTGGAATAGTACAATAGCATGGTAGTAATAAGTTATTCATCTTATCCAAAGTTGTACATTTGAAATTAGTTGTAGTCACGTAATAAATATTACTGTATACATGTGATGCTGTGCTTGGTCGTGAGCTGATGGCGGATGTCAGGTGCTGGCTCATGACATATCAGTCAAATTGCTTAAAATTTAACCTCGCATGTCGAAAATAAATTGTCTACTTTTCATTACTGAATGGCTTTAACCAAAATTGAAAAGTTTATATCCAAATTGCACTCAATATAAGTAATTCATCTTACTAATAACAAAATTTGATATATGAATTCAATATCTCCAGAATACCATGTATACACCATTGTAAATACTGTACATAAGCATCTTCCTCCAGTCTTGATGTTCTTGGTGAAAAAATTACCTCAGTAGAAGTGACCACTGTTGAATTAATTAGTGTTTTTTTTTTTTAAATACTTTTGGAGGAATAGGGATTACAGTTTGAATGTAACTGTAGTGTGTGTATGAAGTGGCTAAGAAAGTCTTCTTTTCCAGGAGCCTCTCAACACTGATGATGATGTTAGTGAAGATGATACCTCAGATATGTTTGATACTGACAATGTTGTGGTGTGCCAGTATGACAAGGTGAGTTTCATCACACACACACTGCTGGTATGACAGTAGCTCTATGACTCAGGTCTGTCTGTCTGTCTGTCAAAATCCAAAATTTCAATTCTTGTTATGCTGTCGGGTATGTTGTCAGTATTCATAATAATTATTAAGTTATGAAATATCAATGTATAATATGCATAGGCTATATAAACTATAATAAGAACATAAAATGTATATAGTACTTTGTAGTTCTAGATTTTACAGTGTATTGCATATTCAAGTATACTACACATTACATAAAATATGTACCAGAAAAGAGACACTTGAAGAAGTAGTCTCTCAACCAAAGCTGAAACAAACACTTGCCTGAAACCCTCCATTACCACATGAGGAATTCTAAAATGCTGGGCATATTTTTGTGTCCCCATCTCTCTATATATCCACCACTTTTTTGTTTTGTAATACTGTAATTTAAAATTTGCTACCATCATAATTATTTATTCTTTTTTTTCGTTTTGGCAGATAACTCGAGTGAGGAATAAATGGAAGTTCACCTTGAAGGATGGCATCATGAACCTCAGAGGGAAGGATTATGTCTTTCAGAAAGCTACAGGAGAAGGGGAGTGGTAATAATGAGACTCCACCAGACACTTGAGTCTTAGTGAGTGAGGAGTAAGAGTTAGGAGCTGAAGGTGTGGGAGTGTGGACACCAGTACTTGGCTTAAGAACACTTGGGCTGTGGTGCCTCCTGCCCTGCACCAGTGAGAGCTAGATTATATTGGGAAATATATTTCCAGTGGACTCCCTTTCATAAGTCAATGGAAATTATCCATGGACCATGCCAGGTAAGGTCAGATTGTGTGGAAAATCTTGGATCTTGAATATACTCCTCAAACAAATGGAGTAGCAGGTGGATTTAGAGCCATAATAAAAGTGGAGTCAGGAATTTGAAAAGCATTGATGAAGGAAGTCTTAAATTTTCACAACATTGTCTGGAGGTTTTCATACCAGTCGGTGTTTAGTTCCAGAAAGTTCAACACTAAACTTTTATAAACTGTTACAGTAGCTTAAGGTCTTTGAATTATGATTAACTGGAAACTGTTGGAATGTAGTCTTTCCCTTCCATTTTGTAAGGGTTTATAAAGTAAAAGATTATTATAAAGGATAAGTATATATATATACTGTATACAGTACTGTACTCAGAAAAACTTAAAACTAATTTAAAGAAAAAGCTTCAGTCGTTGAAGATAAAGTCCATATTTTATTGTTTTCTTGCTTTTAGTATTATGTTGTGCTTTATTTTTAAACAAGAATAATACACCTGGAACCAGAATATCACACTTCATTAATCATTCATATGCCCCAAACTACTCCAATATATTTTCCCACACACTAAGAAGGTTTTGTGTGGATGTTTAAAGTCTCTATTGCTTTATATACTTATATACTTGTCATTCAGGACTGTAACAGTCATAACTGTTGAGCACAACTAGCATCTTACACTTGGTATAGCATATCCTCAATTTCGGTGTCATGCACCAGCAAGATTCATGGATAAGATGTCTTCATTGCCTGTTCTTGGGTTCCTCAAATGTGAATGGTATTTGAATAGAGGAGTGTCCTCAGATTTTTATGCTGTATCTCTGTATTTCTGAAAGGAACTCTTGTTGTCTTAGTAACTTTTTGCATTTTTACTTCTCAAAAATTGGTAAAGCAGAAGATCCATTTGTCTCCAAGCACCACTACATTATGGCAGAACACATGCATGCCTATAGGAATACACATCAGAAGTAAGGAATACTGCATAGAATTTGTGAGTAGGAGTTAGATTTTTGTTATTATTTAGAAATGCATGTGTGTGTGTGATAAGAGAAGGCGTTGGAGATTGGGTGGAAGAAGTGGTGTGTGAGTACAGTACAGTAGTTTAGAACAGTAGTAGTGTGAGTGAGCATGTGGTAGCGTTCATCAGCCAGGTGGAGCTGTAGCTAAAGTTTCCTTCACAAAGATAGTAATCTATGTTATTGAAGTGTGAAAGGGTGTGTTGAGTGAGGACAGCGAGTATATGTATTGATTATCTATATTTATGAGTTGAACTTGATGATAATGAAAAAAAAAAATGGCTGTAATAGTTTGTACTATGTAAAGTTTGAATCTAATAGATAAAACATTTTAAATGATAGTGGATACCTCACATGCTGTAGTATGTTGGAAGTTGGTTATATACATCACATTTGCAGATTAATTAGCATTTATCAGTGCCATGGGAGACTAAGGATTCAGTATAATTATTGGGTAGGGGTTTTAACATGATGAAACTGCATGTGCAGGAAGATATGTCATTCTATTAACATAAATGTTCAGTGGCAATAGAAAACAGTTGCCAGCTGTCTAGTGGGGAAATATTCCTGACTAAGAAATAATTCCTTTAGGGAGTATTGTTACTACAACTAAGTGAAGACGATGGCATGTTGTATAACACACACTGATAGGGGGGGTGTTAATGTAAATAATGGCATAAAATTGGCCTAATATTCACTCGAATGTCTGCATTTAGCTTCGACTAGTTCTTTCATAACGGCTTTTATTTTTAGTACACAAATGAAGACAGACATTATAATAATGCTGTCAATGTTCCTCACCTTGTCCCAGATAACATAACACTTGGCAGAAGCTTAATCATGGATGTAACGACGGGTCTTAACCAAGCCTTTCATTTGTTATAATTAGAAATCTTAAGTGACCATTTCAACATGTTTATTCAACCATGGAATTTGTTTTTGTGTACAACTGATTTATTAGTGTGTTAAGGGCAATTGCAATAAGATCATAATTTTTCAATAAAAATGGTTCCATTGAGAACATTTCTATTTATTTTTATTCCATTCACACTCATGGGATGGGTCAAGGTTCTGTTGAAAAATAAAGGAATAAGTTGTTAGGAAAGATGCCTTGTAGCTGGCCACAACTATAATACAAAGTGTAATATAATAAATGATGAGGTGCCATTTTATTAAAGGAATTTTTATTTCCATTTTCATGATTAATATTGAAGACAGTACTTGTCTCTCAAGTACTGTACTCGTAACACTTAAAGGAGATCCTGTTCATTAGGTTACAATATTTTAGTTATGATCACATGAAATGGCTATGCAGTATACTGTATATTTTATTTCTTAATTGTATTATGTGCATATTTTGTGGCCTGTACTATTATATCAAAAATATAAAGTTTAGTTGGCAGAACTGACTCGAGAGACAGGGCCAGTCCCATAACCAGGTAGAGTTGGTAGGCCATTATTCTGTTGTGGGGGGCCAAGTATGCTGTCAGCCATGACAGTGCACTGGGTTAAAATAACCATACTCAACATTGGGGTTGCCACCTTACAGATTGTTGGGAAAGACATAAGAGGATGTTTTATAAACTGAACTGTACATACAACTTTATAGCATAGAGAACTACTGGGGTTCATGCCATGGCCACTATGACCTTTGGCATACCATTTTTTATGTCAGTCTCCCCATATCCTTTGGTTTCCTCTATGGTCGTCAATTCGATTGCGGGGTAATTAGTGGTTGTAAAAACACTGGAAGATTTTAATTATTTTTTCAATGGTATGTACCTGCCAACTGTGTTTCTGATGTGCAATTTTGGTGTTTTTTGTGTTATTCTGGAAGTACTGTATTTAATTGGTTAAATCCCTTAAATTCCAAGAGAAACGTATATTTCAGTGTAAATATTATTAAGGTATACCGTTTCAGGCCCAAATTGGATTTTAATGGATTTAACTAATTAATGGTGATGGTGACGATGTAAAAGATCTGTTCTACTTTGGTACTCCTCTTCCACAAGGCTCCAAGTATTCATTTGGTTTACCTGTCACTTTGCATAAGCCAGCAGCACACCCTTCACTAAAAATCAACTGTTGTGACCACAAAAGTCTGTTGTCTTCTCTCCTTCCTACCATCTATGTCTGAACTACATATTGTACACCTTTATACCTATATTACACTTCTCTGGTTATATTAAAGAGGAATAAAAAATCATGTATTCAACATTTAATGTAAGGCAAAGCAATAGTTTCTGATTACATTTTTTCCAGTTTTTAAACACTAATTACCTCAGTAACTTTGTCTACTCTTGACAAAGGGACAGAAACTTATCAAATGAAGACATTTTTATAAAGCATCTTTGGTTTGCTAAACATCATATAATAAAATAAATAACATTTGAGAAAACCTTTGGCTTTTTCACCTACAAAAAACATTTGGTACTTAATATGATACTTAATTTACTGTCAAACAAAAGATATTCTCCAAATACTGTTTTTTGGGGAAGAAAAAGTAAATTAACATTAAGCAATTATATTACTGTACTCAAGTACTGCAGTAATAAAAAGCTAGCTCAGTGGTTTAAGCAATATGAGACATTTTAATAATTTGTGCATACCCACCGCCATCAAGTTTAATGTGTATATATTATTGGTCCATCAGGGTATTAGTTAATGCAGTAGCTATCACCAATATCAACACCACTAAGGAGTTATCATCAGCCAAAAGGGAACTGTTTACCATGGAGTGTATTCTCACCTAAAACTGGCCTTTACTTTAAACTTTGCTTTCTGTCATCTTCTGAGTAAGCTGTTTGGCAATTAGACAACAACATGCCTTTGACTATCTGCCTCCTGCAATAATTAAAAAACACAGCATGGTGGATGCTTCCAATAATGTGAAAAGGTTTAGCTAAGTTTAGGTCTACATCTGACGTAAGTTATGTTGCCCGCCTTGGTGCACACAATAATAAGATACAGCCTGTTAGCCCTGCCTCTCCCTTGAGTTTAATGTAAGTTGTCAACTCACATGTTTCCTTTACAGCATCGTAACCTCCACTACACAAAATAATACAGTAAATGGAAACCAAATTAAATTAATTTTCAGTGTAAACTTCATTATAACCGGGCACTATTAATGAGAATATATCAAGATCAGGCAGGGACTGTGTGCTGGTTGGCTTAAAGAAAACCCATTCTAAAATTAATTTAAATTTCAACAGCTTAAGCTGTGGTCACAAGTTTCTACCCAGAATAAATCCAACTTAGCGTTGATTTTTCACGAGAACTCAAGTTGTCTACAGCAACAACTTCTTTGTTGTCGAAGTAGGACGATACGGAGCATCTGAAAATCCACAGTATGGTAGGTTGACATTTACTATAGTCTATTGTTTTAATTAAATTTATACCGTTCTTATTTTTTCGTATTAATGTTAAAATGTACAAAAATATACAGTGTATTTCGATAACAAAACAAGCAAAGAAGAATACATCGTACAACAGGAATTTCATTTGACTCTTAGAGTACATTACGTGCATCACTTTTGTAAACAAACATTGCCTGGACACTACAATCTTTGCTTCTTTCATCTTGGTCTACTTTAACAGGACCACACATCCCACTAAAGCAGTTACCATAGAAACAAAAAATGAAGCCATCCTGCTCTCCAACTGTGCTCAAACTAGCCGCATGAGCTGGGCGCCTGGCCAACGTTTCCTTTTGTCGGTGTGCGGAGCGTACCATTGACTTATTGCCTGTGGATGAAATGCTTTTGTGGATTTATTGCACGGAAAACTCTAGTGTGACCGTAGCTTTAATGTAGACCACGTGCCCTGGAATTAGCAACTGAAATACTAAAACATATTACAGCATAAATGAATACTTCCTTACTCTCTCCATAACTAATTTAACAAGTTCAGAATACTGTACTGTAACTTTATATGTAAAAGTGAATTTTTTTATTCCAAGAGAAATTAATATAATTCTTGTATGCAAACAATAAGATTTCAGTTCACCTTCACCTTCAAATTGTTTCCATAATGTGACATTTAACTGATTTTGTACTTATTCTTCATAATTATCCACTTTTTGGTTTAAAAGTAAAATTTAACTACCTACTGTAACTATAAAATTTTTATAAATTTATTCTTTTTGTTAAAATTGATAAGCACATGGGTACGGTTCTGGTTGATAAAAGTCTTAAGTTAAAAGTTCTGCACACTTAACAAAAACAGTCACACCTTATATTAAATATAATATTAATGTAAAACTAGAGAATAAAATTGGTGGTGCATAAAGCATCTGAGTTGCTGCTAGCATGTCAAGTTACTCCTGGAATTTGATGAAACATCAAAGTCAAATCAGAGTTGTTCTCAATCTCAAAAACCACAAGCTATAAGAGGGTACAGTAACAGTTACTTTAAAGAGACTTTCCACCCAACAATCTTGCTTTGATAAATGGAGGATATAGTTGTGGCCTCTTACATAAAACTACAGTATTATCCAGTAATCTTTTATGTTTTCTTCTCACTCATCCTATTTTCATATACTGTAATGTACCTTTTAGTCATTACGAGTAATGCCCTCTTATTTCAAACTTAATATGTACTGGGTATGTTTTTTTTTGTGAACTACAAAATTTATCCAGAGAAGATTAGAACCTCGCCCTGTCCTGTTCCATCAAACAGAGGCTACTCGATCATCAATATAATGCACTTGTTATATGGAACTAAATGTCATTACAGTTTTAAGAATGGTGAAATAATAAACTTAAAAGGGTACTGTTATCGCCACTCACAATTGTGCGTGCCAGCCACATGTTATGTGAAGAGACGGTTTACAACTCGGAATAGCTTACTAAGCGAGTTGGAGCTGGTAGCAGCTGCGTGATCGCCTGAGGGGCAGACTATCGCCTTCTACTGTAGAGGCAACATCTTGATTCTCGACAGCCAACATCTTCCTGCAGGACATTATATTTGTTCTCGTTTGTCTAACCCACGACCCGAAAACGTAAGTGTGATCTGTTGAATCTTCTGAGAACTCTAACTTTAATAAGTGTATTTATGTGCTGTATATTGATCATATTATTCAAACTGTCTCTCTTGATGTACCAGCAGTTGTTACATGTAAGTTATATTTAACAGGTTATGTACTGTATATTGATCATATTATTCAATCTCTTTATGTATCAGCAGTTGTTATATGTGAACTGTATTCAACAGGTTTTGTCCGAATTATACTCATCGCGTCAACGACGAGGGTCTTATTGTCCTGCACAGGTACTGTACCACAACCAACTCATTTTGTCTTGCCATCACTGCATTTATGGCTGCCACAGCAGGCCAAGGTAGAGGCCTTTTGTATATACTCACTGACAAGATGCCTTCGAGACTTGACTAACTGGCCACTCGAAGAGCTTGGCTAACTTGGCCACTCGGAAGGCATTATGAGTTAACCCATGACAACCATGTAACAGAACCGGTGAGACATGATAGGTGTATCCCTTTCCCCCCTCTCAACATTTAGGAACCATTCGGGTTTTTATAAGTAAATAGGTTGGGAATTTTTTCTTCACTTTTTGCAACCCCTTCCTACTATTCTGTAGAGCAGTTGGAGTCAAAAGCAACACTGATTCTCCCTCATTCACTTTCATATTATACTCCTCCTAGCTGCCTTACCAGGTGTATTTTAATATGATGTCCAATTTTCACAACACTAGATAATTAGGTGATCTTACTTCTGAACAAAGAACAGGTAATGGGGCTACTGATGTTAACTGTTATTTTTGTGTTACAGTAACCATGGTAAGTACTGTACCAGTATATTCTCTGCCAATGCTTTAACCAATTGTGTTGAGGTATTCCATAAAGTTTAAATTAATGAGTGTTAATCCTAAATGAATCATCAGTTACATAATACTGAAAACAGATTACTGGATAAAGATGTAAGACCTGGCTCTTGATATGCTACTGGTAACACCTTCCAGGACACACACTTGGTCAGTGCCAGATGGAGCAACAGTGATGCTTCCTAACAAAGGTTCACATTAAACTTCATAAATTCAAATTATTTTAAACCCAGTTAATGTTTCAAACTGCATTTATTTATTAATATAAAAACCTTTAGTTCTCACAATCAAATATTTTAAAGTGAACCTTCACAAAACCCAAAGACACACAGGTGATGAGTGTGCACCATTACAGGGCCCCCTAGTCCTGCTCTCTCTTGAAAAGAATTTATAATTATTGTCACTACTGTGTTAATGACAAGTTTAACTAAAGACAATTAACATGTCCACTTTAACAACCTCTGCACATTACATCCGAGATAATGTTGGACTGAGATGAATTTGATTCACTACAGCACATGACACGACCTTTACAAAATATTGTACACCTGTCTTCCTAACCAAGTGAGGCATCACCAGTAAGGAGCTTAAGAACATACAGTACAGATAAATAAAACAGAGAAAGCAGTACACTGCAGTGTCAAGGTTTACCGACACTTTATGCTATCAATAATTGGTGAAAATCTATGCAAAGCTTATCACACATAATAATTATAAAATTATAAATATTATATCAGTAATCCTCTTATCTTTGAGATTGACCTACAACATTTGTTTAACCTGATTATCCCTACCAAAGTACAGTAACAAATATGAGAACAGGCTTATCATTATTACCAAGGCTTAGCTCCAAAGTTCATTTCAAACTCAGTGACTTAACTACCATAAATTATGATCACAATCTCGGTAATAATTTTTTTTTATAAAGAATGGTTACCTCTTGTGTACAACAAAAATAGGTAATGATCCGAAAAAATTATATAAAAAAAACTTATTCTTGGGTTAAATGTACAATACAAGGCTCAAGAGTCAATGAAAAACTTGATGCGTAAAGTCTACAAATCCCCTTTCTTAATGAGTAAGCAAAATAAGTTATCAGTATATTTACACTACACATTTTTTATATCACAAATATATTTCCACCTTGTATACCAAGGAGTGATGATGGAAGCAGGGAGTAATGGTTCCACGATGATCATACTGTACTTGGATCAGTTGTAAAGGGTGAGTATCACAGACCCAAATACTGTATCTACTTCAGGAGGCGGAGGTGAAGGGTTCTGAGGTTGTCAGGCTGGAGAACCACTTGTATGGATTCACTAGATACTGAATTGCTGACTGAGCCCGGCACCTTGACACACCCAATCTGCACCAGGTCCTGCTCAGCCAACACCTGTCCAACACAAAACAAAATATCTGGCTACACAGTGAAGTAATATAGAGGTTTGTATATCAATGTGGAGGTTAAGGATTCACTTTGTGTATTGTGTAAGTTGAAGATATGAACAAGTTTGTGTGAAGTGTTTCGACTTGTTTCTTTACCCCTTTATTGTTACTTATTATAAGTGCTCTCCTTTATTACACCCCTTCCCTTAAAGAGGTTTCTGTACCCCTGGAGCCACATTATTGGGATTAAACATAATACTGTAGCTACACAGACAGACAGGATACAACAAGCATAGCATATACTGCTTCCATCTTTAGTTCTTAATCTTATCTTTGGCTGACAAATGATTTCAAGCATTACAATCACCTGCCAACAAACACCCTCTTTACTGAGATAAAGGGGAAAATTATTGCTTGCAAACACCCACTCAGGATACTCACTAGTCTATCTGGTAATGGAAGTTTGGCACCCCCCCACTTTAAAAATACCTGGATTCTACCTTGACTGTGGTGGATGTATTATACTCTCATGACAGGACTTTACATAGTATAGCATTCTGGTAAAGACTGTTTTTGGCATTACTGACCTTAGAATTGCACACAATTTACCTTAGTGAGCTGAGGAGATGGGAAAGAGGAAAAGGCCGTGGTGATGCTTCCTCCGGGTTTACTGATGGCCAACGTCCGGGTGATCTCATCCTGCCAGGCAACAAAGGATTAACAGAGACAGCATAAAAGTCTGGTATATACAGTATAAGTGTCAATTAGGCAAGAGCCCCTGTGCCTCCCTTCTCTTGATGCTCCCAGGCAAGACGACTGTATCAAAGGTTTGTACTTCACTGATAAATGTCTGAACTATTTTTTTTCCATCCATGTTGTCTTCTCTATCCTTCTACATTTACTAACAATACTGTGAACCTTCTGTCATTGTATCATTCATCATGTGCTCCACGAGTCCACCAGTCCAATATCCCTTCATTCTGAAGTCTTTCTTTAAGTGTCTTCATCTTTTATACAGTATACCGGTAAATATTTCTTATATTTTCATGCTTTATTGTATCAATTTCCAAAGTTGGTTTCATATTGCTTAGGCTATTACTTTCAACTCTTCATTTCACATTTATCCATGATATGTGTGGGGGAAATAGGTGGCACACAAGGGATGTTTTGTCAGTTATCATTTGAACCCAGCATCAAGCTTTGAGTTTTGTGACTGTACCCAACTGTATCTAAATTGGCTAACACTCTTAATATAAAGTAGTACGGTACCTGGAGAGTGGCAAACTCTGAACGTAGACGGTTAAGTTTGTTGTTATGGTTGATGAGGTGGTATGCGGGAGAGGCAGAGTCGGTAGCGGGCTGGGTAGCTGGCTGCCGCTTGCTCAGATCCACCACCTTCACACCAGTCATCATGGCATTCACTTCCTGCCAACAAACAAAACATTAATATATATATACTATATGTATGTATATATACAGTGTAGAAAAATTCAAACAAGGTCAAGAGAAAAACTCAAGAGTACAGTAAATCCTCGATAAATCAGCATTTGATAACTCAGAATGGATATGGTCTCGGAATGTATTAGTATAACTCGAGAAATGCCAATATATAAAATTATCTGGCAAAATCTCGGCATATCTGGCCACCTGCATCACCTACCATGCATGAGTGCAGCCTACAATGATGCTTTATTCTTCACCTGCAGTGCTGGTAAGTGCTACTTTTTTACATTTAGTAATTACATGTACACATATACAGTATGGGTCGATAATTTGTTATTGCATTTTTGTAGGAGGGGGGGAAGTGCCTTGATAAGTTAGAATTTGGGATAACTAGGCAGGGCCAGAGCCCCATATGTGCCAAGTTATCGAGGGTTTACCGTGCATCTCACCAGCCTGATAAACATGCCATACTGTATAAACCAAGATTTAGGCAGAAAACACTTGGTAGCAGCAGCTCAAAACCAAGTAAGACTTCTAAACCTAAATCTAACAGAATATCAGATCACTACACTTGTAACACTGTATCCACTTTAATCATCATCTGCTTATTGAGGTTTTCCTATATTATGTACAACAAAAACTTATCTTACCTTCTGCAGGTGTGATGCCCGTCTCTTCAAGTGATTAATGTGATTTATTGTTCCTTTGCCATCTGAATCGTCCTTACTAACATCTCGCTTCTCTTCACCAACAAGACCTAATTTCTGTACCTGAAAGTTACATGTATTTAGTATATAAAGTTTCAAAAATGCTGGATTAGACTTTGGAAGCTGTTTTCTAGTACAGGACTCAGATGCTTGATGAGTGTTGCAAACTAAAAACTCCATCAAAAATCTGACAAGAACTACACACAATCTTTTTTTTTTTTTAATTCAAGGAGAATCATATACAATTTTCCAAATGTTTACCAAATCATGAAAAGGTTTTAACTGCATGACAGCATTATTTGACCAACCTTGATGGGTCTCAGAGAAGCCAACTGGTGCTGCATGTGATGTGCTGTAACATAATGGCTGGCAGCAGTGGCATGGTTGAGGGCTGTTCTTAGGTCTGAAATCTGTTGCAGTAACATGGGGGAATCCCTCACCATACCTCCTCCCACTGCTGGTGCCACTCCTCCAGAAGGCGTCGTGGGGGATGAGGGTGACACGCCACCTGCACGACCATCAAATACATCACAAACTTCCATAGAATAATAGTTTATATTTTTAACACATAATATCCTAAAGTATTAGACAAACATTAAATAAATGTCTAGACCTTAAAATTTGTGAATGCTACCAATAACTACATAATGATGATATTAAAAGAAGTTTTTCCTGCAAGTGTATGATATACCTAACATCATGTGCTACTCCAATTTACACTGGGGTAAAAAAGTTTACGTATATTCTATCCACAGTTTAGCTTTTCCCAGTGTTTTGACATTAATGTATTGCTTCACCTTCCCCTCCCACAGTGTACAGTAGGCTACCTCCCTCTTCCCCTCACAACAAAATACACAGTACAATACCAGTTAAGGGTGAGGACTTAGACAGCGCCTCATACAGGGTCTTCTTGTTGAGAGCCTTGAGTTTTTCTCGCAGTTCTCCCTTCTCAGATTCTAAGCTCTCAATGTCACTCTGGAGGTGGTCCATCGTTTCATCGTACTCCTGAGAAAAGATAAGCAACAGTTAAATATGTAGTCAAAGCCAACAACACCCATTTTCAGAATTTAGGCAGCTGAAAGGATAATTACACTTGAATGGTAAACAGACTGGCTCTAAAACACTAAAGAAATGGTCATAAGACTTTTAGCTGTGGTAAGTATACATACATTAGTTTCTATGTGGGATTAAACCGAGACTACAATTGAATAATAATACCAATAAAATTACCTTTTCTTTGCGTCGCAGCATCATCAGAGTATCATCAAGTTTCCTCTGCAGTTTTTCTATGGTTATGTCGGCATCTCTGGTCGCCGTGGAGAGCTTCTTCTCTGCAAGGTCTCGTCTCACGGTCATCTCACTAAACTCTTCATTCTTCTGCTTGAGGGTCAGCTTGAGGTCCTTAATATCCTGCTCCTTGTTTTCCAGCTTATACTTGATGTGTTCTGTGTCCTTCATCTCATTCTTGCGAGCTTGGGCCCTCAGAGTTACTGGTGGAACTGACTGTCAACATAAAACAATACTTCCATTACAAAGACAAATATAACAACTAGAAGCCTCTATTCGGCCTCTCACACAAGCAATTTTTTTTGGTCGCACACTTAGAAATCAATGTAGTTCAATGGAACCTTTCACACGGCTACCCATTGAACTCCATTGATTTCTAAATCGAGTGACAAACAAAATGCTGATATGAGAGGCCTTACTTCTTTTTTATTTCACTCTCAATCCACAAAGTCCTAAACAGGATAACTCTACACTCTGCTACACTGCTGCTGCCTCATAACATTTACCTTAAAAGCCTCCTGTCATCTGTTAACTCACACTACATCACAACAGTACACATCAGTTTATTACCCTCTCTTCCATTGTGCCATCAAAGTCATACTCTCCCTTTTCCAGGACATTAGCAATGCGGCATATCTCATTCTGGGTGCGTTGGAGTGACAATCTGATGGACTCAGGACCCAGGTCTTCTCCACCATAGATAAGGTCTGTGGCCTGGTGTGTCAGCTCCTTAAGCTTGTCACCAGTGATGCCATTCTCAGAATCTGTTGATGAACCCAAGAGTAAATACACTGAAGTAATAATAAATATTTCTATTTAAAAAGTAATCTCTAGCACCTTTCAGAGAATAAAACTATGTCATTGCTGAAATGAACAGGTTATTTTCATGCAAATTTTTATATTTCAATGAATTACTTGGTATACTCTAAACGTATCTGCCCCCCATCTTACAGATACTTCTTAACCTTACAGTATTACCCCGCTTTACGCGGTTTCACTTTCCGTGATTTCTCATTTACGCGGTGCCTCGCCAGAACCGAACTTTCACTTTCCGCGGTGCATCTACCCATATACGCGCAGAGTGTCTGGCTCGACGCTATTTTTAGATTCGACCCTCCCGCCTGGGCAAGCCGCACGGTAAGGTTGCGCAGTGCATGTCTCTGTTGCGTTATCAGTGACGTCATATGACGTATCGGACTGTGATTGGCCATGCATCCTTACCTCCCTCCGCTGCTAGCTGTGATTGATTTAAAGTAATATGGCGTGTCCACCCGCGGGAGGGAGGGAGGAAAGACGACGCTTGACCTAACCACGGCAGTTTCATCCCTCCAGGCCACACTGTGTATACGTGCATCCAGTGTTCTGTGAAATGGCTTCCGCTGGACCACCGCCACCAGAGAGAAACCTTTCCTTACCTGGACCCAGCCGCCCTAAGCCAAAGAAGATACGACGTTCCCTGAGCTACAAAGTGAAATACCAGATAATTCAAGATTTGGAGAAAGGAATACGTCAAGCTGATCTCGCGCGCCAGCATGGAGTCAACGAATCTACGATTCGTACTATTAAGAAAGATGCAGCCAAGATCAAAGAGCACATGAGAATCACAAAGTCTGCAGGTGCTTCAATGATCAAGTATTGCCAGAACAAGGTGCTGCTAAAGGTGGAAAATTTGCTGGTGAGTTACTTGCTTCATCAGGCGCGACGCAACATGGCGGTGGACACGCAATCCGTTCAAGAGTACGCACGTGAACTGTACGCAGCAGTGTCACGTAAGATGGGAATTGCAGAGCCCAAACCCTTCAATGCTTCCTCTGGTTGGCTGCATAGGTTTAAGAAGAGGAACAATATCACCAACATCAACATTGGTGATGAAGAAGCGAGTGCTGACCGTGTGGCGGCTAGAGATTTTCCTCCGTTCTTACGTGAGGTTATGGAGGAAGGGCAGTACACTGACGACCAGGTGTTCAACATGGACGAATCTGGCCTATTTTGGAAAAAGCTGCCTACCAAGACCTTTGTTGTCCAGTCTGCCAGCAAGATTCGGGGTCGGAAGTTGCAGAAGGAGAGCATCACCGTCCTCTTTACCACCAATGCCTCCGGTACCTGTAAACCAAAGTTATCGGTGACTCACACAGCCCGCAAGCCGCATGCCTACAAGAACGTGGACATGAGCAAGATTAATGTCCACTGGCTGACCGCACACAAGGCGTGGATGTTCTCTGCTCTGTCACTCTCCTGGTTTGATGACTGTTTCATTCCCGACGTGAAGAAATTCTGCGAGCAACAAAATGTTCCATTCAAGATTATGTTGCTCCTTGACAACGCACCAGGACATTCGCCCCTTCTTATGGATCGTCACCCCAACGTAAAAATGGTCTTCCTTCCTCCCAACACTACGTCATTAATCCAGCCCATGGACCAGGAGTTGATCTGCAATGTGAAAGCTGCGTACTCTGCAAAGAAGTTCAAGCTCCTGAACGACTCTACCAACACCAAGGATGAATTGCGTAAGCTGGGTGACACCGATAGCGAGAGCAAAAGTGACGAGGACAAGGAACAAGAAGTGGTGACTCAAGAAGTTCTCGTCAAACAGTTTTGGAAAAAATTTAACGTCAAACAAGATGTAGACTTCTTGGTGGAGGCATGGGATCAGCTGTCTATAGCTGCGATTCGTCACGCATGGAGGCATGTGTTGCATGGTATACCAGGTGAGAGGCGGAGTCAACCTGTGACTGGTGAGGTTCAGTCTGTGACAGTGGCATTGGACCTTGCAAGAGAAGCTACACACAGTATTACAGCTGAAGGCTTCTCCGAGACCACCAACGAAGACATCCTGGAGGTGATCAGAGATCCTGAAATGACTGCCGACTAGATGTTGGAAGATGATAACGTCAGTGAAGAGGAAGGTGGTGCGTCAATCCTAGAAGAACACAAATTAACGCATAGTAATATTAAGGGTGCCATCGAGTGTGCAGAGAAATTAAAGCTCTTCCTTTCCAACGACCCTGACGATGACCGCTATGAAGTCTTCCATACCCGGCTGGTGCAGGCTATGGAGCCGTACATCAAGGTGTATCAAGACAACATCAACACTAGCCGTCAAAACAGCATTACCGAGTTCTTCACCCGCAACCCACCACAGCGAGCCAGTGAAAGTGACTTTGAGGGATTTGTCAGGGAGGCCCTGACAACTATGGCTGATAGTGATGGTGATTCACCTAGTAATGGTGATTCACCTGAGGGCCAGTAATCTGCCCTCTGCCTCGGAACCAGCCTCCATCCCCATATGCCAACCCATCTCTTCTACTAACGTACTGTAAGTGTTACACCCAACCTTTAGTTTTCCTAACCTAAAGTCTTCTATATTAATTGTGTGTGCATACCATCATAAAGTTAAGATAATATTTTTACTACAACATAGTTGTGTGTCGTCAAAAAGTGGAGTTTGGGGGTCGGGCTAGTCTCTACTGGAATTAATCCCATATGTTCTGTTGTTCACTTTACGCGGATTTCACTTTCCGCGGTACCCTGTGGGTTCAATTGACCGCGTAAATCGGGGTACTACTGTATATTCTTTCTTTCACTATGTACTGTACTGTCCTCTCCCCAATTGAAACTCTGACTCTAAATGTTACTTTAATTAAACAAGTGTCATTATGTAAAGTTCATAAACACGAAAGCAGCACAAATAATGTTTGTTAGTCAGATCTCAACAGCCACTGCTGTGCTGCCCAAGTGAGGTAGCCATATGTCCCTCCTTTGTGGTGAGGTTCAAGTGGAGTAATTTTGTGGTCCATAATACCACAAGACAAGAAGGCCTTCAGTACATTACAGGCAGAAATAAACCTATATCTGTATGCATGAAGTAGGCATATTGAAACGATTGCATTGTTTATGTTTATAAATACTGTAATTTTCTTTTTATTGAACTTTGTTGTGACTTTAAAAAACTGAAAGGTGTCTGAGGCCATCCTTAACTATTAAGGTCGAGACTACAGTATACAATATATCTTCCATAAATTACCTGATAACAAAGATGCCTGTTGCAAGCAAGCCTTTGTCACGTGATTCAAGGCCCTGGCAGAGTTGTTCATGTGTGTGATGGCTGTGGTAAGAGCATCCTGAACTTCCTGGGGGTAGCTGAGAGGTCCTACAGAACCATCCTGAGGCATGCGTCTGCGGATCCTACGCACGGCTCCCTGGATCTCTTTACTGGCCCCATTCACGTCCTTGCACAACAATGCTACTTCACAAGTTTCATGTTGAGGCTGGGAAAAAAATATATTATTTACATAAATCATACAAATTGTAATAAACACTATAATAATTACTTCATCATTTGTAATCAAGCATCTATTTACTGCTAACCTGCTCTAATATTCTTCTCTTAATTTTTCAAGTGAAACACCTGAAGTACAGTATACAGTATATCTGAACATCATAAGTATACAAAATACGTCATAAGAATCCCTCATCATTAAAATGTAACACCAATAAATTATTGTTTCTTTTACCTATCAACTTATCAATGAAAACTTTCAACAGTGACCAGTTTACTTAAAACTGAAACTAAAAGTTTTGCTTCATTGAGGCAATATCTACAGTGGGTTTTGCTGTCATTATGAACTGTACAGACACTGAGTCTCAGTATCAAAAAATCTCAATTCCATTTCAGAAACGGATAATTTATATTCCAATTTCATTGTGCTAAAACAATTTTATTAAATGCAATACTCTACCTAATAGTTAATCTGCTTGACAGTAAATGATATCTATATGTACTGTACTGTTACTGTACATCCTGTTGATGTTGCTTAACAGTGAAAAACAAGAGGGGAGGGATCCAAGACTCCCTATGTTCAACACCAAGGGGACCTACAGTACAGTACACCAGAGAACATAATCTGAAAACTCTAACAATAAGACACAGGACCAGCCATGATAAGAACAATTTAAGAGGAACTGGAGTACAGTATAACAGACAAGACTTACTACTGTAGGGAGGTTTACTGTGGAACTCACATGTAACATTGTGGTGATGGTGGCACTGTAGGTGGAGGTGGCATCAGTGGCAGACGACAACACTCTTGCTGTGTCGCTGAGGTAGAGGGTCTGGTCCATCTTCTCTGAGGAAAGGTGAGCTGGGTACACGGACGAGAAATACGAGACGGTCTTCTCCAGAGCTTCTGTGGGTATGTTCTCGTCCAACTGTGTAAATACAATGTTTTTACAAAGTTAATTTCTAAAGTGTAATCTCAGTAACCTTACCCTACTTTACAATAATTATATAAATAAATAAAACAATTTACAGTATACAAATACAGTACTGTACTAAATTTTCTATTTGTTTATTGAACCACTTTTTCTCTACATGTGACAAAGAAATGCATCACCTCCAGTACACACAGGTTGTCTATTTGTAGAGCAAGTAGGTGCCAGAAGTACGTAACTGTTGTCGAATTTCAAAACAACAGGGTACCAGAAGTATACACACATTGTCAATTTACATGGCATCACAGTACCAGAAGTCCATTCCAATATACAGAACAGTATATATATATTTTTACAACAACAGAAAACTAGAGGAACACACCCCTGGTCTATATGCTAAAACCCCTATACCATCTACACTAATGGTAATGATCTAGACACAGGAACCAGGAGATGTAACATGAGAGGGCACCCTGTATGGGTCAGTAATGCACATCAATGCCCCAGGCCTGGGGGTGTCCGTCATACCAAACAGTGAGGTTAAAGGCGTGAAGCGCATTAATTCCTTAGTTTATAACCTGTTGCGTGATGTATACCTGATCCTTCCTGAGGAGATCAACGTAGAAGTCCACGTTGCGTTCGTGAGAGGCCATATCCGGGTACAGCGTTCCTAACTTGAGGAATATATCCACATTACACGTCCCAAGCACATGTTGGTACTGATGAAGGAGTGTCTGCAGGAGGAGAAACAAGTCTTCCTTAATGTTTTACCAGTATAAACGGAGAAGTTTACAAGGAGAAATATTTACGGTGGCAGTACAATGATTAGCTATTAACAATTTACAGTGGCAGTGATCAGCTAATAACAATTAACAAATAAATAAAGTCTACAGACCTGAAGTGTGTAGAGGAGCTGTAAGAGGCGGGAAGAGAAGGCATACTGCTCCACTGAATGAGTCTTGAGCACAGATTTGCGGTCAATAACCTCAGGTGACGAGTACTTGTCTCGCACACCACCCACCACAATTTCCGCCTTCCATATCATCCTGGCCACGAGCAACAGCACCAACACTGCATCGTGGTCACCTAAAATATGAAATTATCCACATTGTACCAAAGACTTATATATTCTACAATTTTTGATCATCACAGAAACCAACAACACCTTTCAGGGATAAACAATGACAGGATCAAACTCTGGGGTTAATACATTTTGGGTCTAACATTATTTAGCAGGTAATTTTTTCCCCCTAAGATTTCAGAGACTATGAAATAGTCAGTTATGTTTACTTTACAGCAACACCAAGAAACACACAAAACATTCCATAAAGTAAAGTTTGCTCTCTAAAAATAAAAATAAAAAATTCTCAAGGTAGATTCTTTTCATAAAAATATTCTGGTGAGATCATGTTAAGGTCTTTTCATATTCTAATTCACTGTACAACCATATCCAATATTCTACCAAGGATTTTTGTCCCAGCATCTCACTGTTTTACACTGCAAATATAAAGTTATGAGTCAATAAGAGAACCATTAATCCTGTACATATGACCTAACACTGGACAGAGTAACAAGGTTTGGTGTTTTATTCTGGCTTCTGGTCCTATACAAGATCTCTCACCGACTCCTAAAATTGTCCTCGGTAAAATGACTATTCATAGTTGTATCAATATCCTGCCAAGAGAAGCACCAAGTGTGACCGCACATACCTCCACGAGTCATGAAGTTGTCAGGCATGTACTGGGTTAGGTATGAGACGTGCTGGTTTGCCTGAGCCACCTCAAGACGCCGCAGCTCCATGTCAATTGCCTTGCTGTGAGCCTTGGTCTCCGTAAACATTTTCTACAAAAAATTTAAAGACATTACATTATCATTGTGTAATTAATCCACTCAATGTTTTTCTTTTTCTTTTTTTCTTTTACTTCTACACTATTTTTTCTCTCCATTAAAAATATTGCAATGAGAAGCTATTTACATCTTATATGTACTGTATATCTATGAGAACAAACCTTACAAACTAGAATAATATATGGAATGAAAAAGTTAAAGTGAGATGAAGCTGCAGCTGACCAAACACTGAAACACAACAAATTTGAGACATGTAAGGCTGTTCCACCAGACAGTAAAGAATAAAACAATCATTAAATACCTTGAAGTCAATAATCTCTGACGGTGTACCAATGGGCTTGTTGGTCTCCTTCTCCAGAGAATGACGTAAATCTATGTTCTGCTCCTGCTGTTTCTGTACCAATTCTCGGAACTTTTTGATGGTTGTGTCCTGGTCAACAATCACTTCGTTGGCAGCCTCTCGTTCCCTCAAAACCTATTTTAAAAAAAAATAATTTTTTTTTTCCAATGCGAGAAAATATTTAACTCCGGTTCTGCTATTGACATTCTGACACAAATACTATTATGATGATCGCACTATGTGTGCATATACAGTACACCCAGAACCTGAACAACTCCCATCCCATCAGGGTCTAGTTCACCTCTCTTATTTTACTATTGGCCATGTCCAGCTCTTCCCTCAGCTCAAGCTCCAGTTCCCGGGCGTTCTCCTGGAGCTGGTCGTTCATGTCGTTGATGGCCTCCAGGTCCAACACGGTCTCCAACAGCTCTGCCACCTTCTCCTCTAGGTTCAAGTTGCGGTCAGTCAGCATCTCCACCATCTCTTCTGCTCCCAGGGCAGCATCAACCTGGTAATGAACAGCTCCAGTCATCACCAATACTTAGGTCTATACAGCGAGGGTATTCAGTCTCTCCCACACAACCTCACGTGAAATCACTTATTGTATCTTAAAGCAGTTACTGGTATGACATACAGTACTGTATATAAAAAATAATGGTAACTGTACTATAATAAACTTCCCAGAGCTAAAATCTTCTCCTGAGGCTCACATCACTCTGTGTCATCTTCACCTTGCCTCAAAATCATTGAGCTGGTAACACGTGCATAATCTTCCTGAATGAGTCTACTCTGCTTGAATATTCTAAAACCACTTCACTTTACTAAACAAATCGACTCATTAGTGACATTTATATCTTGTCACTTTCAGAAACAATTTTAGTAAAACTATTCCTGGCTTCATCTCTAAGTACAGTAGTTACTTTCCTGACTTATCCACAGACACTGTCACATGTCCTCGCATCGCCGTTACTGTCAGACTACAAACTATAATTATTCACTGCCAGGAGTAATATATACTCTTCGACATGCATTTTCTCTAACTGCTGTAACATCCGTCTTCTGGTATGGTCTTCCCCTTCCCCAACATAGCCCTAGTTTTTTTCCTATTTGGTTTACTCATTGCCTCATAAAACTAGCATCAGTCACCTGCAGTACTGTATGTCTTTTTCCCTATCATAAACCACTCTCAACATCATACAGTATAGTCTCCCATCCTGACCATCTATCTCCCCACTACTATCTCTTTACACCAACTATTTAGTGTATTGTGTAAGCATACCGTGAAGCAACAAACCTGCTCCTGAAGATCCGAGATAGTCTGCTCCAGCTGGGCCGTCTGTGAGGCCAATTTCTCCTTGGCACGTGAGAGGTCTGTTATTTCAGTCTTCTTTGTCTCCATGTCCTTCTGAATCTTTTGCAGTTCATGTTTGTCATGTGCAGATAAGTCGCGCATTCTGTACAGTGGAGGGATACACTTGGTATTAGTAAAGTATTCATGTTAAAATCATCAGCATAGCACCTAAGACCTCAAGTGATGGTGCAGGAACCTTTCTCAAAATATTGCTTTATCTATCAGCTCTCTAGACTCCTTTAAAAATCCACAGCACCAGTCTTCACTCTCTATTAAAACAGTTGTAAACACTGTCCTGAACTGACTTGTATAACATTTGAGGATTTTTTCCCCACACTTCTCAGTTACAGGTACCTAAAAAAGTCTCGAGATCAGTGCGTTCAACAGCATCAAGGTCCATCACGGTACTCACTTAACAAGGGTTTCCCGAAGACGGCTATTCTGTTGCTCGAGCTGCTTGACCTGAAGGGAGGAGACCCCAGATTCACCAATTGGTGCAGTTCCACTCATCTCTGCACGAAGAATCTCCAAATCAAGCCTGAAATATAAAAATTAAATTGTCAGTTCCAGAGAATATAATTTTGAAGCCACACTGGGTATATTAGTGCAAATACAATGCAAATGGGTAATTTGGTAAGTACAAATTATGTATGGATAAAAAAGTATTCAGCTTCAAGTACTGTACTTTAATTTTTGTAACTATGATCACTCACGTCAGCTCTTCAATCCTTTCTCCCGCCTGATCCAGTTCCAGCTGTAGAGTCTCTGCCTTTTCTTCTGCCATTTCCTTATCAAGGGTCAACATCTCCACATTCTCAGACAACTCCTCGGTGTCTTCCATGTGGCGATCTCTGGTTTCCAGGGCTTCCCGAGCTTCCGCCTTTGCTTTCTGGATCTCTCGCTGTAGCTGAGCCTGAGGTCAAGATTACAAGTGTGAGAATGTTATGTTTTCCACCATCAACTCTTTCAATCAACAATTAATGGTACAGAAGTCAACACTCATCTTCTCAGTCAGTTGCTAGTACAGTACAATATACACTTCTTCCAGCTTGTGCCCAGTACAATGATTTTACATGTATAAGGACACACAAACTAACACGCAGCAGCAGCACAGTTACTATGATGGATGGGAGCGGTTACTGACCTGGGACTCCATGATACGAGACTTGAATTCCACCAGCTGTTCGTATTGCAGCTTCATCTTCTCCGCTTCCTTCAGCTTCTCCTTGTCTTGAGCTCGCTTCACTGTTGATGTAGAATTCCAGAAAAAGTCATTATATGGGTCAAACTATACCAATTATAAGTATCCAAACTCACGACTTTTATGGAAATGACAACTGGAGGGAAGTACAAGGCAGGTCAAACAATAAGAAATGTGTAGCTGTACTTCCTGGGGATGGACTGTCAAGTGAGGATGGTGGACAGTGTGGCAATGTATGTGAGTAGAAGATGAAATGGTCACCTAGAGTACACCGTAACACCTCCTAGCACACAACCTCACCTCTCAACGTCTCCAATTTCTCGTTCAGGTCGTGTATCTCCCCTCTGAGGTTCTCCATCTCCTGCTGGTTTTGGAGTGCCACCACCCTATCCTCCAGGGTTTGCATGGCACTCGATGGCGCCCCGGGGGTGTACTGCGGCGTTAACGTCTCCACAAAGCCCGTCTGGCATTTGGTAAAAAACTTCTTAGAACAGCATATAACATTTCCCTAACAAAATATCCATCCTATAATGTACAAGAACTGTCATGATTCAAGTACAAGTAATAACATGTTGTATGTGGTCAAAAGTTACCGAAGTTCAGAGCTAAACGGCAGAAACACAATATTTGTACCACCTCCCCACACTGGTCTCTATACTGTACCATAATGCACCTGTACTACTACTTATATTGAAGCGTATTTAATCTCACTAACATAAATTTATCAGAGCCTGAAATATCTAATTAGTATTGCACTAAAGTTTTTAATATATATATATATATATATATATATATATATATATATATATATATATATATATATATATATATATATATATATATATATATATATATATATATATATATATATATATATATATATATATATATATATATATATATATATATATATATATATACTACAGTAAAAGTCCAAAAATCCGGATGCCAGAAATGCGGACCACCTGAGAATCCGGACTTTTCGAAAACTCACTTAACTTTTTTTTTTTTTAGCTGGCTTTTGTGTGTATGTGTGCATGTGTGAGCGCCACAGCTGCACAACGACAACAAGCGACCACGCGGTAGCCACTTTAAAACGAGCAATCAAACTGTGACAACGTATGTAATTTTGAGTCCTACTCTTTCCATTTACAGAGTACTATACAAGCCCATAATAATGGCTCCTAAAGTAGATAAACTTCGTTGTGTGAAGAGAAAGAAGAACACGTTGAAACTGAGTGACAAATTTGAAATAATTAAGAAACTAGAACGTGGTGTGAGCAATACTGTTCTAATGGAAACATACGACATTGGAAAGTCTACAATTTATGATATAAAAAAGGCAAAGAATAAAATTTTAGAATTCACAGCTTTATCTTTAAAACTGCTCGTTTTGATAAATGAAGCATGCTATATTTGCTAATGAATAAACTATCAAAATGTACCTGTTCATCTCTTCTTTATTTCTCCTGAAATTTGAATTTCAAAAGTACTGCCTGAGAATCCGTTAAATCCGAAAATCCGGACCGAACCAATCCCCAAGCAGTCCGGATTTTTGGACTTCTACTGTATATGGCCTTTTTTCCAATGATAATACTATAATCCCCCGTTAAGAAGTGACACTTGACCTATGTACCCATCCCCACCATAGTCCTACAGTGTTGGGTAATAGTACAAGTCATCAAACACACAAACACTCCACTTGTGAGTTCTGTGATTTATTAAGAAACCAATTTTCATAGAGCTCATAATAACACAACCTGAAGCCTCACACAACCACCACCAGAGACAAGATGCTGAGTAACACAAGGCCACACACACACCCACACAAACACACTCAATATTATATACATCATGGGTTTCAATTATTGTCAATATTGATGGAAACACTTGACATGACATTATAACAAGCTTTATGTTCCAGGATCTACAGTTTAATATAGAGATAATATATGTAACTACTATACAGCATCACTATCTTAACATCATTGGTTCAATGAGTCATATTTCAGTACTAGGGGGTGACACACACACACTAGTCCAGTCCAGTCAGTTGTTGTCAACCTCCACACATAATGGACATAACGACAGTAGCAGCAATAGTGTCCTCCAAATGCTACATCAAGTATCTGGAAGTTGTATTATATGTTCCATCATTAAACTAGCATGCTAAGTCATCTATGGGTGTACTATACCAATAAGGAAATACAAATCCCTGTCATCTATACTTCACATCCTGGAGTTCTAAATTTACTATTTTTTCCACTATAATGGAGAGAAACAAATTGTAGTGATCAATATGTCCCCCACTGTGTAGGCTAAATGACTACTCTTTCACCTGATCAATAAACAAAATAACAATATCTGGATTATTACTAAAGTATCCCATAAACATATCATTCAAGGAGAATTTTGGTACCACATGTTAGGTAATTGTACTTTGATATTTTGAGAAGGCAAATTATATATCTGTCCCCCCCTCCCCAGGTCTTATACAGCCTGGAGGAAGATCAGAGGAGTACAGTATGGTGAGAGAGATTGTAACAAGAGAGGAGAGACCAAGACTCTTCTCCCATCACTGTCTGTTTTAGTGTGTGTGTGTGTTTGACCATGGCTGCTGGTAGTGTCTCAGAATACACTACAGTTGACTAAATTAAGTGTTTCAGTATAATTTCATTTATATGTAAAGACAAATTAACCAACCAGTTAATAAAGAGACAAATCTGTTGATCAAACTAATAAACTAGTCATTCAGTTGATCAATATACAGTAGAACTAAATACAATATTAGAGAATGAATGACACTGAATGAGGGAGAATGTGTTGCGTTTCATTCTGGTCATCCTGTGCCATGACGAGAAAGACCTTGTTAGAATGAGATAATACAAAAGAATGATGACTTGAAGCAGACTTTCAGCTGGAGAGACAGATGTAATGAGTAATGTAGAGAGAGAAAGAGGACTATGTGAAAGAAGGGTGAGATTTGGGGTATACAGGGGGAACTATGAGCTAACATTACCTAATAGTTGTGTGGGATGGACTGAATTAGTAAAAAGGGTACATACTATATACCTCAGAGACAGGAGAAATAAACACCAAAAAGAAGAATGGATTGAATTAGTGAGGGGATGAACGTCCAGGAAACAGCAGTGTGTACATGACTGGGGAACATAGTGTTGTTGAAAAAATTTAGGGGAGAAGGACATACTGCTGATGGGTGATCATGACATACATGAAGTAACAACAGTAAACTTGATGGACACTTGAAGGTGTTGTTGTGGAAGATAAGAAGAATAACAGAAGTACAGTTCACATGTATCAGGAATGAGTGAACAACAACAAATAAATGGAGGATGTATATGTTTGTGATAATCCTGGACACCATTTATTATGACCACAAATGGAATGAAAGTGTAAAAATTATTAATATATATATATATATATATATATATATATATATATATATATATATATATATATATATATATATATATATATATATATATATATATATATATATATATATATATATATATATATATATATATATATATATATATATATATATATATATATATACACACACACTGTATATCAGTCTATAAATTTATCATCCATATTCCACCTAAACAAGTGGATGAGACGCACCAAACCTCATGCAATAAAATAAGAGTTTACTGCAAAATCAGAAGTAAAGAAAGCTGAACTACAGTATGTCTACTCATCCTCAACTTACAAGTGAATGGAATGAATAAATAAATCTTTATATCCTCATATCCACACACATTTCACTCATTAAACCAATTAACTCTTATGTTTTAATAAGATCAATACCAGATGGAGTTAAAACCTAAACAGAGAGAGATTATGTAATGGTTACTGAGAGTGTCTTGGACAAGTGGAGGAGATGGTTTAGGCTCTGACAATGTAAGGAGAACTCTTACCTCTACACACAGATACCAGCAAGAGAAAAATTAAAAAATATTCAAATAACTCTCTTGTGGCCTCTGGGTCACTCATCAAGACCTGAAAGATTGAGATCATCCCCAACAACACACCCCATGATAGAACCTGCTTTATCCACATGGTTGTCTGTGCTCTGAGGTATGAACACTGTTGTTGGATCAGTGTAAATTACTTTGAGGGACAGATATTCACCCAGATGAACCAGGGTTGATGATGCAAGCTCCAACACCACCCCAACTTTGCACCAAAAAAACCCTAAGTCAACCACCAAACTGGGACGAATTTTGAGAGTTGGTTCACTTGCCTTGAACCTCTCGGTCATAAACTTGGATTCCAAACTATCTCAAAAGCCAAGAAAAATGTAAGTTTCCAGTTCAGACCTAAGTTTAAGGCCACTGGGTCAAATAAAATGAGCCACCTCTAGGGTCTTGACTCACACGTTCCTACTGACTCCCACTGGATCTTCAAGGCTTGGTCAGATCCAGCTTGTAGTGAGCACCATAAACCCTGACTCAGATGGACAAGTAGTGGTCCAATAACAGTGTCACTGCCTCACCCCACTGGGCTCTTGTGTTTTTCCCTTAATTATAAAATGGGAACTCTTACTTCAATCTTGTGTTTCCTTGACATGAATGATAAAGAAATATGAAGGACTAACAAATCTGCACAGGACTTTAAGCACTGTCCAAAACAATCATGGGGTACAGACATAATAGTATAAGTATAAATGAAAACTAAAAAAGTAATCCTACTGAATTGTTCAATTATCCATATTTCAGGAATATGAAGAAACAAAATTAATTGACTAGTGAATAAACAGTGTGTATAAAAGTTCAAAACAGCTCTCCCTGGTGAAAAGAAAATAGTGTTATAAAATACTGGACATGACTAACACATTAAAATAAAAATAAAACAAAACAAATCCAAAAAATGAAAAGGAAGATCTGTAGGAAAATAACTAAATGTGACTATCATTTTTTTTTTTAATGGAGGGAATTGTCAAAGTAAGTGAACCATTTCCATACAAAAGTGAGAGTCCTACATGCTAAACTCTGTTCTTTACAGTACTTTGTGAGACACACTGGTGAAAGTTCTAAAACACGGTAAAGGTTCTATCAGCTGTGACTCCCTGCGGTGCTGTGGGTTACGCAGTTTGTACTGTGGTGAAATTTGAACTTGAAAAGGGGATTCTCCACAAAGAGTTCCCACACAATTCTGTACAAAGATAATAATAATAATCCTTTTAACATTACACAACAAACTTCACCACAATAAAACCACTACATAATTTGGTGAACTTCCTTAGAATACAGAAGAGAATAATGTTCATCAAACGAGAACAAACTAAGATTAAATTTATAACCTTGGTGAGATACTGAGAGAATAGAAGAAGGGCATCACACACACACACACACACACACACACACACACACACACACACACACACAGATAGAAATGATAAGGAAAGGAATTATGCAAAGGTGGTGATACAGTACAGTAGTAATCACAATGTCCGACAAGGAACAGTTTAAAGAAGCATAAGAGGACTAGGTACCACAACAGAAGAGATCAAGTGAATTTAGAGTTGGTGAGAATAAAGGGTAGTTATGTTGCACTGTGAGGGGACAACCATCAACACAGAGAGAGACTTGGAAACATACAAATGGTATAGACAACAGAGGTGCAGCAGGTATAAGGTGGTGAAGAGATACTGTACTGTACGTGAGGAGACGGAACATGTTGGGGGGGGTGTGTTTATCACACTACTGTAGCTCCACGTGAAGTTAAGTGATTTATAGGAAAACTATGAGAAAAAATATTCGTATTTTTCACAGATAATTTCATAAAAAAATAAATCAGAAAAACTAAGACTGAATGGCCATACTTTTAAACCTGGGCCATGGAAATTTGGGAGAAAACAGAGTAGAAATTGCCAATAATGTGAGAGGAAAAAAATATATACCCGTACCTGTATTATCATTCTTCAGTTAGAGAAAATTGGATAAAAATTCTTAACCAGTCCTCTTGAAAAGTTACAGAGACTTATTAAAAGATAAACGAGTTACCTAAACTAGAGGTGACACTTGTTTACGTTTTTCTACATCATCACTAGTATCAAGAACACAGGACAAACCCAGCCTTGTCTCGGCATCAAACCCAAATGAAAGTAGCCGTAGTTTACCATAAGGACTTGTTCTCAGGATGTCATGTATACAGCACAAGAGAAGAGTCAATACTGTACACATATCTTTGACTTGTGTGTTCTTCTCAAAGTTAGTCATGTGTTATGTCTGCATCATCTGGCACCCCACTCTTCATTAATACTAAACTAGATATGCACAACTAAATCACAGTGACAATGGTTTAAAAGTAATAATCCAACAACAAATATCAAGTATTCCTACACAGTAAAGATCTACCTGTTATCTAAAGTACAGTATATAGAACATTTCACTGGTCATTACAATTAGTAACATCTAAACTCTACCTATGTTAATTTATTACCTCTGTAAATAAAGAAAACTAAGAACAAACAAAGATACAACATAACCCTGTACATTAATTAACCAATATATTCATTTACTAGTCTCTTAACAGTGTCTTAATTATATATACTGTATACATATGCATACTGTATACATAATACTGTATGCATACTGTATACATAACACATACTGTATACATATCTAGGGGAGGGAGCATCTGAAACCAAACAATAAGAAACAAACAACAAACTACATGACTACAACTGAACATCTTGGTCACTTTAGTTCTGCTGACCAAGTTCAAGTCTCAAAACTTTGTCCTAACTTGTCGTGCAGCACAGTGTTCTCTCAAGTTCTACATCATCAATCATAATTTTGTCCTGCAATAACCTTTTCCTTAAATACTATACTGAGCAACATGTGACTCTCATCAACAGGATCATTAGAAATAAAGATGAATATGACTCAAATATATGGTAAAAGAAAAAAACAAATATACTGTATATAAATAATCTTAAAAAGGTAATATAAATTCAAGCCATAATTACTCTAATCCCAGATTTTGGATGAACCAGATAGTATAAACAGTCAGGTTCTTCATCATATAATTGTGGATGATCCAACTTGTGGCTATCTATGTAAGAGGAAGTTCTGGATCAATAAAACTTGTGATTTTCCAGGTGCTGAACAATCAAGCTGGCAATCAAGAACTCTGCGTCAGTACTTCTAGCGCGCGCACACACACACAGGAGAGGTGACACCGTCAACACGCACCACAACACATCCCACTCCAAGTATATATATAGTATCAAATTTATACTGTACTCCAAACTCATCATTACCTGTTTTTCACTGTATATAAGGAACATAAACAACATAATGATCATCAGACGACATTTGATATTAATGGAAGAGGAGTCGGAGGGGGAGGGGGGGGGAGAGAGCATGCAGTAACAGAACATAAAAAGGCTGTGATGAAGCATTTGGGTGCACACATTCCCATTGGTAAGGCTGAAACAGGAACCTTCGTAGTGAGTGGACCAACCAACCCTTCCACTTAGTATAAAATGCCCCGTATCACCACCTTAGTATCTGAGGCTGCCAATCAATGCAAAAAGAAGAAATAAGCACCTGATTTCACTTTCTGTAAGGAAGGAAGCTAGGATGGTTCCTCGTTCTTTCTTGGTATTATCATTGGTTGGCAGATCTATGGGCGGGCACCTCAACCAGTCAAGATGCTGCATAATAAAAGCAGGGTTTGCCGTATACAAAGAAAAACCAAAACAAAAAGGAAAAAACTGTTGGCCAAACATCTACAGTTGCTCATGCAGTATAAGAAGCTGGTCATGCACAGTTAGTGATGGTGACAGTACTTGTTCGGTCTGACAGGCAATGTCACAGCCTTCGACCGTCGGCCCCCTGACTGGCGTGCCCCCAGCTTCCCCCGGCCCGGTAGCCGAGGCGGGGGTGCGGGGGCTGGGGTGGTTGACTTGTGACCCTGAGCGGTCCATTGTCCCGCCCCTTGTGCCACCTCCGCTCGACCCACGGCCAGAACGAGGACTTGGCCTGGCCTGGAACAATACCACCCTCCTCATTGCCGTACATCCATAGAAAAAGAGAAGTTCTTTTTTTTTTCCGCTTTGTTATATGGCTGCTGGAAACATCAGTTTTTAAAAGATCTCACCTGGACGACATTGTAACCAAAAATTTCCAAACTTTGGCGAGAAGTTACACCATCGTGAGCCTTGAGGTGCCGTCTTACAAAGATCATTTTCCTATATTTGCAACACACAAAAAAATTAATCACTTGAAGAAAGCTGCTGATGCTAATATTGGCAAACATATATAGAATCCAAAAAGCTGAAATCAGAGAATAGATGTGAGGTATTTGAAGGAGCCTAGCTATCAGCAACAGATATATATATATATAGTATATATATATATGTGGACTACAAAAAGTTTATACTGTATAACATTTTCTATAAGCTTAAGGAAAGCTTAATGATACTTTTCAATGGGATACCTTGTAGTACTTGAGAATATATTTTCATGATGTGATATTTTTTGTCCAAATCTGTACTGTACTTCTCACCTACACACTGGACACACACACACAAACACACTTTTAGAGTACAGTACACTGTGCATGTCGCACATTTCTCATGACAGCTCATTGCTAATGTTTATCAAGTTCATCTTTTTAACTTGCTATTCTTCATATCAAATTGTTCTACGTGGGGAAATAATAAGCTTCCGACTTCAAAGAAAACTATGTACTGAAGAACACTTACAATCTCTTCCTATCCAAACTCCATGACAGACTACAGTACCTCACCACACACCTCTACTGTTCAACACAGCTCGCCACACCTTACAGCACAGCTCAGCCCCAACATCACTTCCTCACTCAACATCAAACACAATAAGACAAAACCATTAAAGGAGCTTTCTTATACAGTCTAGAGGTCCATCTCCTTCTTATATAAACTTATAACAAATATTCCTGAATCCTTTAATACCGGTAATAAAACCAAGTATAATATTCAAGGGATAGTGGTCAAATAAAGGAAGGTAAGTGTAGATAAAGGCATTAAATTAGACAGCAGGGTAATAAGCTAACATCACCCCCCCCCCTCCTCCTCTCTCTCTCTCTCTCTCTCTCATCCATTACTCAACTCTCCCTCTATATTCTTTCATGCCAATACTGCACTGTAAGGTTAATTTCTATTCCATTTTATCATATTCTAGTAATACCTGTACAGCACAATTTCCCCTGCCACCATTACAAGCACAAGCTCTCTCACTACATATACTAGTACTGTACTGTACATATACATCCAACTTAAGTCACTCGAGACATTGTTTCCCAACATATGTTTTACCCAGACTAATCCATCTAACCATTCAGTACTATGATGCTATTTCCCACAGCTCAACTCTAATGCTGCATAAATTAACAGCCTTACTAAAACAGCTTAACAAGCTGTCCCATTTCCTTAACTTAAAAGTGTCCAAAACACAATATCAGTGTTATAAATTTCTTTAATAAGTTATTCTTCACATTACCTTAGCTACAGCAAGCATGAAGGAACCACTAAAATACTGTACTGTACATGTAAAACAAATACAGATGGATTAATTGTGGTAGTTGTAGAGGAAGATGTTACCAATACTTTCTCTGACCATGCTCAGGATCAGCTGATGTTGGTCTACCATATATTCTCTAATTCTACAGGCAACACTTTAACCAGCCTTTGACATTTTATTCTTTTCTTTACATATATCTTTCTCTGTTATGTAGTGGTGTTCCATCTTACCCTCTTGTGTACTGAGTGAGGCAGCTGTAACATCTTAGTTTATTAATACAGTGCAGTACAAGACAGTGGTGACAGGTTCATATCTGTGATGGCTACTCCAGTACAGTCAGCAGAATTCTTCACCATATACCATGAAATAGAGTTTTATACTTAACACTCTTGGCAGTTTGGAGATGAACTGTAACAACTAACTAAAGAACGTATACATTCCACACACTATTTCACACTACAGGTCCCACACTCTACCTCTCACACTATTGACTTACAATGTACCAACAGAGACACAAGGAGGAGATGAGGTAGAAATAATGAAACTTGTCTCGGCAGATAGCCATAAGGAAAAATTGAAGCGAATAATAATAATAATAATAATAATAATAATAATAATAATAATAATAATAATAATAATAATAATAATAATAATAATAATAATAATAATAATAATAATAATAATAATAATAATAATAATAATATGGTAATAAAAAGTGAAAATATCAACATAGTGTGGGAGGATGGAAAGGTGGTGGAGGTGGGGGGCGTGGGGGGGCTGCAAGAATGTGTAGCCATATCAGCATAGGAAACCCCATATATAGACCTGTATAAAAAAACGAACAGAAACAGAGCATATCAATAAGCCAGAGGCAGAACAAACAAATGATGCTGTACAGTTTTTCCCAGAGCCGTGTACAGTAATTCCGAGGAGGTACTGGTAGAAAATTTATCTTGATCTAGAAACTAAACACATTTATAAGAATATGTTGATTGGGTTCATAAAGCATCTTGTTCCAACATTTTTTTTTTGGGGGAATATTTCTATCATAACATATACTGTATTATTTCTTTTAAATAAATAGGTAAGAATTATAGAGGCAGTAAAACATGACGTCAGCGTGGATGGCAACATTTTCCGAGACTCACAAGATTCCCAAAACAAAAATAATAATCTGTCATTAAAGTCCATCACCTTTCTCATACATACATTTTTATCACTTTCGTTTTCCTTTATTAAATTTCAAAACTGGAAAAAAAAAATTTGTTTAAGGAAGAAAGTCGTTAAAACTAAAAAAAAAACACAATAACTGAGGTCCGCCAGTGAGTCTTAGATTGTGCACACTGTTATTAAACCCATGACCTGAGACAATTCCATTAGCCTGATCACCCTTATAGAAGTACTGTACTAGATCACACAATGAAAACACTCTGCAATTCAATGTAATGTAAATTATGTACAGGGCTAAGATAGGGTGCAATGAATAATACTGTATCTAGAACAAGTATGTACTGTAATTTATACTAAAGACTGAGGGGGGGGGGGAGGAGGGGCAGCTGCACTACAGAAGGTAATACTGTACCAAGGAAGCAAAATACAGAGAAAGGGGTGTAATACTTAATAATAATCAAGGAGCAGAATACTGTACTATACTGATACTCAAAATAAGGGGAGTAGCAAATACCTGTACAGTATAGCATATACAGAGGCTACGATGACATACGCAGGAAAGATAATACTGTACAGTACAGTATTGTATTCTAAATGATAACAGACGAAAGATACTAATTCTCAACCCCCCAAAAAAAACTACGACAAAAATATAAAAACTAAGATTGAGACAACTACAAAACTCCCCAGCAAAGTTAGAAATGGACTCTGTATACTAAATAAAACTACAGTAACTACAAACACTACAACTCAATAGCTTTTATCATATTACATGCAAAGTTACAATAAGATTTCTTTGTTTGGATAAGAAATCTTGTATCTAATGAACAAACTAATGAAAGACAGCATCCTCGAGCCTTGTAACCAACCTACACAGGACCGATTGAGTACAAGACCCCCAGCAACAGGTAACCAGATCAGAGCACCAATCCCTTCCTCCGACTCTATAAGACTGCTAACTGAACTATGACATCCACAAATAAGAATAGTCCTCCTCATGATGTCTCAAATACTAGTTAAATAAAGATGATCCACATAAGTTCATGCTAAGCCACATAATAAGTTGCTACCCAACCAAATTTCTGCAGCACCAACTACAGCTGTCACACGACAACGTAGAAGTCACAAATATATATGCATGTATCTGTGTGTAACATCTACCAGGGGCAACTTCAATCCTACTCAACACACCTGGAACACTCAAGGCTTCTATATATATTTTTCTACATATGACAACTGAGCCCCAAAGGCAAAAATTGGAGTTGGATGTTTAAGTAGAAGATGGTGTGAACAAGTTTCTGTATGATCAACATTCCAAGTTGTACCTCTAGGGAGCACCCGAGCTAGAACACCACCAGGAGGGAACTGAACTCGAAAGAAAACTAGTAAAATAAAATACCTGGAATAAAATGTCTAATCATTTGGTTGTTTGTGGTCAAGCTGTGCTGCATCTAAATAAAGAAATAAATCCTACTGTTATTCCAAACATTTTCTCAGTGTAAATAGAAGGAATTCCACCTCTCACTGGCAAAGCTGAAGACAGAGTGTGACCATAGAGCCCAGGTGTGCCTACAATGTACAGCTAAGATTGACAAATGAAGTCCAAACACCAAGACCCTTGTACCTGTATTCCCAACCTAAAACTTGTAACAAATCCAGGCGAGCTGTGGATTACTCAAGACAAGTGCAGTTGGTAAGCCATTGTGCAAGTAGAAATCAAGGGATGGGATGCAATATAACCAGATTCTACATTCAACTACATGATTCACTTAAATCCCTAATATTATCACAACACTATCCTCTAACTCGAACACTTTCATATTAGCAGCCAGGTTCATCCCTTCTGTTACTTTACCAATTATCATCTTTTCAATTCTGTTTCTACTATACTGGTTAGTACATCTTACTTCAACTAGTCAAGAGGTTGATGTCACCTCTCAATTACACATTCATCTCTTATTGTCTCTCTTCTTGTGCAGAAAACAATATCGGACATCCTCATTCATTCTATGCTTTCAAGTACTGTACAGGGAAAATTCCTTTCTAACATAAGGGTTCAACTTGCAGGTTCAAAATAATCCATGTTTTGACATACTTGGGAGTAATATAGAGGTAGTTCTAAAAAATAACTAGGGACTGGGGGGCTAATAATCTCACATACCACTTGGTACTGGTGACTAAAACTGGGTAAAAGTATCGTAAGTGTTGGTCTATTTTGGTAACCCAGACACTCCATTCTCTCAATACAGGTCTCCAGTCAACTGATGGCCTTGTGATGTCTTCCAATATTTGTTATTTTTTATTGCCTTCTTTAGTCCTTGCTTCACATTCTTCACTCTCCTTCAACATTCTCACATCTCTGAGTTTAAGGATTTACAAGATTCTGACATTTTTTCTTGATGCTTCACTGGTTCTTCCATTCATGTATTATATAGTAACAAAAAATCCCCAAATTTTGCGTATGTACCGGGTAACTTTATTTCAAGTGTGTCCCTACATAACACCTCCCTAATATAGTGCATCAGTGAGTTTTAATGTGACCACTAATAAGAATCTGTCATAACTAAAGACACTAACTTGACACCAGAATAAGCTGTAACATTATAGGTGAACAAGAAACTGCTGAGGATGAAGTACCTTTTCTCGTGCTTTTCTGGGAATAAGTTAAACGTGGTCCGAGTGATTTCAACCCACAGGTGAGAAATGTACGTTTACACACCAAGAAACAAGTACTGTTATTAGCATCTTGACTATCATCTTATACCATCACCAAATATAGACAATACAAATGCAATGAACCTCACAAAAAAAAGAAAAAACGAAGCCATTTATCCAAAACACACAGAGTCTTCTATACTGGTTGAATACTTTATAGCTATAATCAACTACATATACTAGGCTCAATCATCATCAGTATACAGTTGTGTAACACAATATGTCATCATTACAGGTATACTCTAGTTCATTGTTTTTTCTACAATTCAAAATATGTGGAAAAAAATTATCTCTAGCGCTGATTTCAGGAAAGATATTGTTTTGAATGTACACATGTTATATAATGTACTATAAAAAAATAGAGAGAAAAAAACCTCTCGTACATCTGTCAAAATCACGATTCATTTGTTGTCTTAAAAATTTTCTCTTCAACTGAGGCTGAAGAGTGAGTAGAGCAAATACAGTAACATGTCCCAGTGTGTATCTCTACCTTCTATGGTCACTTATTCTTATTTCATACTATACTTGTGAGGGCTTCTGCCACCATTGTGTGATACCTCAGATACTTACATGGTCTCTGTTGTCGGGTAAACAACTGTGAACTTGTGGTTGGTGCGGGGTGGTCATGTGCAACTCATATGAAAAAGCAACTAGTAGTAGTAAATGTGATGTGTGATCAGAGACTTTGAGACAAAACAATGTAGCATCGTCTAAACAATTTTAATAACTGGTTAAGGAATTTATAATTATCAAAGTTTAATTAATATCTTGAAGGTAAAGTAGTAGTTATTTTGGGGATCTCATCAGTTATATTTCACCCAATAAATGAGGTCTCTAAACCACCACCAATTATTGTAGCTGCCCCTCAGAATGTGTTGGTGTTGTGTGGGGGAAGGAGCTGGGTGCTGAAACAAGTGATCAACTATTTTACTGCAGCAGAAGACAATACAAAGTCTAGTTGGTCAAGACTTACAATATATCACTTAATAAACATCAGTGTAAATTGCTCAGATCAATGTACAATATATAAGGGAGCAGATTTATTCTCCATAATGATTTAACTGTTAAATATGTTAAGTTATACTGCCTGCCTTCCTTGTATTAACAGATATAACATTATTTAATGAGAATTGATTTAAAATTTTAAAAATCGGTCACTTAGTAATAATTTGCTTCACCCTTACTTTCCTCGCAACAAATCTTTAAATACTAACCATTATACATTATTTTACATCTCAAAATTGCTGATCACACATTATTAAAATAACATAACTAAATAAAACAGTGACCAATATCAGTACTGTGGGCCGATGTTTACCTGTGGTGGAGGAGGTGGTGGTGGTGGTGGTGGTGGGAGTGGCATGACGTGACCACACACAAACACACACACACTGTCAACCCTCACCAACACAAAGTAACGCTAATTTTCCTGCTCTCATCTGCAGGAAAATCAGCAACACAGAAAAAAAATGGTGAGACTGACAGTGTGTGTTTGTGTGTGTGTGTGTGTGTGTGTGAATCACACTCATAAAAGCAAACCTGTTTGATAATCCATGCAGCTGGAAAAAAAATCTTCGAGGCTTGCAGAGTTTGTGATAAATAGACAAAAGTTGGGTTTGTTTCTCTTTACACCGAGGAGAAACTTAAAGCATCTCTCGGTGGGTCCAAAATGTTACACTGCGGAGCTTTACACTGAGCTGAAAGAGTCATTCCTTGGGTTAAAGCTGTAAATGAATGCAAACAGCGACCAAACACAAATATACCAAATTAACCAATATATAAAACAAAAACCCACAAGTACAAAACTCCTCCCCACACACACATAATACCGATATAATTTCCTTTCAGTGTTTATCAACTTTCATTACTCCATCGTTAGTTCCTATCATCGTCAACACAAACTACGTTCACCACTACTCTGTTTCCCCTTGAGAGTCATCTGGCCCTACTAAGGTAACATCCTTGGTATTTTCTATTACTTTGTGTTGTGGTTCTTTCCCGTAGCTTTCTACAAGTCTTGCATCAATCTCACCTCTTCATTTCCTCCCTCTCTTAGGTTTCTCTGTACCTTGATCCACTCCCTAATTAACATAAATATAGTTGATGCTCATATGTTTTTTTTCCTCTTCTCTTATGTCCTCCACTGTCAGTTCATCTAACAATATCCACCCAGCAATCAAACTTGGTGATACACTACAGACCCTTACACTCCACCTTTGTAGTCCTCTACACATTATCATTTCCTTTCTATCTTTCTTCTTCACTTGTCCTACCTACAACTTTAAGAATACCAGATGGCTAACATACATAAAGATACCTGCCCTCACACTTCATCTGATGCTGTTTTGGATGACTAAATGTAACACAACAGACACATTCAGTGGTCACTCACACTGATAGGTGATGTGAGCAGGGCAGTCTTCCTCCACCACTAACTATTACAACATAACCCCAGAAGAGTTGCAACATTCACACACTTGGCAGTCATATTCATCTTGACAACCTTTATAGTTCTTTAAGTTTTGAAGACTAAAAGATCAAAGTTCAAGGTCACAACTCTGGAAAAAAAAGGCCACATCTGGCTTACGTGTCGTCTAGGTACTGAGATGCTTGAAGGGAGTTACTGACGTGCGGCTACAACTGAACTAAGATACAATCCAGCCAGTATATGTTTGGTGTTCATAGTGACGGGTCATTGGGACTTGTGACTCCAGTATGAAGAGTATGGTGCTAAAATAATGACTCCTTATTGCATGGCTGAGCTGGCATTGTATGTAGCAGACTGTGTATTAGGTGGAGTTATGAGGACAGGCAGTAAGAAAGGTGTTTGAGTTTAAGATGTTTTGATTATTCACAGATAATGCACTTGTTGTGGTAGACTGTGATGAACTACAGTAGAGGAGAAGCAAAAGTAAATAGAAAAGTGTCTTCAAAAAGTGGAAACTAGTGTACAACCCTTGACACAAATGAGCACTGGTTTTTCTACATACATGGGATCTGATTCTGAAATGCAGTGGAATGGACAGACGGTAAAAAGTTCAATTATTATCTGAAATGTGAAGGACGGTCCAATAAATATATCAAGCCTTCGCTACGGTGAGGTCAGCACTGTACTTGACAGCCTTCATTAACTGTACAATATATTCAAGTACCCATTTACAGCTGGGTGGGCTAGGGGTGCCTGGGATCAAACCATCAACCCTTAGGACAGTAATGTTTTCACTAGTTGTCTCATCAGTATTTCCAAGTGTCTCATGTTTAGCTAGACCTGACAGAGGCAATCTTACTTGCTTGACACAAGAAAAAGTAAAGATATGAAGAACTGTCATCAAAACCTGTGGGGGTGTCCTACGTGCAGAGGAGTGAACAGTTGTACTACTTTGCCAGTTTTTTCATTTTGTTAAGTCATAACGTGAATACTTTAGAGGTTTAAAAAACAAAGTATCAACATGAATCCATCCACTAATATCAGAAGGATACGTTGTTAACTGCTGACACTTATATACAGTAGTTTATTATATACTTTTTCTGAACAGCCAACATCTTTTACACGTCCATAGTACAGCACATCCAGCTTGAGAGAACAAACAAGTACCACTTGCCATATATAAATGCATTACTATAGAATTAGGTTAGTAAATATTAATATATTGTTGAGGGTTATGCTTGGGTCTGGGCTCCTCATGTTAGTCAAGTTGCAAGATGGTCACATATCAGTCATCACATGCCACATATGGGAGGTAATTATCTGGTTATATTTAAGAAATAATCATCAGATGATCAAATGGTTTCCTTAACATTAATACACCTGCCATGTTGTAATAGTTTATAGTCATGCATGTAGATCCAGTGGAGTGATCAACAAGATTAAACATATAAATAAATAGAGAGAATAACCATGATTAATGAATAAATACATTAACAATGACCACCATGAACTTTAGAGTGCAGTCTCCAGGAAGCTGTTATATATAATCACTAACAATTATCAGTATTTTGACAATGAACATACAGGGGAGGGGTGAGGGGGGGGGGTTGGTGAATAATTTAAATAAGGGAAGAGAAGGTGGACGAGAAAGTCTGAAATTTTCACAAACATCAAAGGAACAGATCCTGCTGCTCGTATCATAGAAAACATCATCTTTTTTTTTTATCTGCACCTACTTCCTCTGCCATCAGACAGACACAGAGACGACCAACTGCGGGCAGAGACGCGGCATACCACACCACAGTTCTTACCTCAACAAAGGCTGAAGGTTTCTTCATGTCAGCCCGTGGAGACGACTCTTTGCTGGGAGTCCTGTCGTCACGGCCGCCTCCTTTACCTGCACTCCCTATTGGCAACCTGTCAACATCATGTGTTAATATCTTCATAACTAAACACTACAGTATACAACATCACACACACCACCTGCTGCCTCCACCAACCTACTCATGTTCTTGTCTATAAAGACATCTCCACCCCAAGAAGATTTAATCTCCACCATAATAAAGTTTATAATTAAAATCATGTAAGTGAGTAACATTAAACTTAGTCATACAAACTACAGTACTGTGTTAATATCATCAATGTTATACACTACAGTGCAACACAAGTACAGCATTACATTACAGTAACTTAAACTTGGCATGACACATAAAGGAACATTAATCTATAGATTCTTACTTTAAACCTATTGAACAAGAACGAAGGATTAAAATGACACCTTTAATGTACCAAACAGCAGAGCCAATATGATGATAACACTTCACATGTATCAATCGCTGTTCAAGTTTCCCTTTTTAAGTCTGAAAGAAGATCTCAGTTGATGTAAAAATCTTATACATTAAATCTATAACTAAGAGAAGACAAAAGCCAACCAACACATCCCAAACCAAGTCATGATCTTATCCTCCACATGAAGAAGACCCAAATATTCCAGCCTGTTACAGTAGTCTTAATTATAACTAATGATAGAGATAAAATGTATATATATATAAAAAAAGAAAAAACTAAGGTTAAGACTCCTGCTAATACAGTAACACAGAGAGATGATGTTAATTTAAGTATTCCAGCAGGGCAGCAGCACCAAGCAAACCACCAAGAAGGAAGTAGAATAAAGAGAGACACCACACATACAACACCACCTCACTGGGTCCTCCTCCTTCTTGTGGTGTCTGGCTGGTAATGGTCATCATACTCAAGCATGTCACTTCTTGCCACATACATCGCGACTTATAAAGTATATCGGAAACATTCAATAATCAATACATATAAGCTTACAGCCCGTGTAAAATGTATCTTTCCGGTAAAGACAAAAAAAGAGAAAAAAAGATGCCTTAAAGATCATGAGCTAAGTTCAATATTGTATTTTACTTATTTACATAACCTGTATTCACACTTAATATGGACACGACCCAACAATATCATAGAGAGACTCCATCACATTCAGTCATTTATTCCAGGTACCAGGTGTATTCTGCTATGGTGTTCCTACATAGAAAAAAAAAATACTGTACCCCAAAAATACAGGAAACCACAATGAAAACTAGAGACCATTTTGGAGAGAATGTGTTGTAAGATATACTGTACACTATGGCAGCAAACACACAATAATCCTTCACTGGTGGAAATAATAATGTACAAAAAAAATTAAATAATAAAATCCAAACACAGCAACAACCTCATCCAACTAAGTTAATAAAAATTCATTAATGTCAAAGAAACAATAAAAATTATTAAAACTAAACTTAAATACATAAGATTATCATTATTACTAATACAAAAATGGTATACAATACTCTACATAACATCTGGTGTACATTAAACAAAACAAAAATTAAAACTTATGATTTCTTTCAAAAGTTTCAAAGTAAAAGGTAAAATGTACACCGCTAAAATTAGATGAGTGTATTAATGTTAGATGTGAGGGAAGTAGAGCATAATGTGAGCTGGGTTGTGTGAGAGGTGAAGTGAACAAGTAGATGTGAGGGAAGTAGAGCATAATGTGAGCTGGGTTGTGTGAGAGGTGAAGTGAACAAGTAGTACAGTACAAGGAGGATGGTGAAGGACACACACACAATATAAAATAGTAAATTGAAGAATATATGTTGTCAAAATATATCCAAACTACTGTACTCCCCCGGGTGTTTGCTCCGAATCATAACAATTATTGTCTTGATATATGTTAAACTATCTCCTGTATAAGCCCAGTGAGTTGGTCTAAATTAACTATGTCTCCTACACAGTACTGCACTGTACTGTATATTAAACCCAACCTTGGTGATCAAGTTAGTCACTTAACCTTATCCAACACTCTATTTTATCTATGTCAAGTTAAACAATCTCTTGCTCTCAATAATAAAGACAAATTTTTATCTTATTCCTTGAGAGACTGTCCAGCCTACATAATCAGCATATAATGATGAGCCTCAACAGAACAGCAGCTCAGTTTCTTGTGCCCAAAGACAGAAGGTTTTATGTCATCTGCATCCTCCCCAAGTTGGTGCCATTAGTGTAACTTCCCTAATACCTTGAGATAAAGTGTGAGGAAGGGGTGGGGGGTGTTGTGAGCAGTGTCCTTTAACAAGTCATTGACCTAACTTGACACACACATCATAGCTTCACTCAAGTCTTGTCAATAAAACTGTGGTCCTTGTATTAACACTCCAGCCACAAAATGAACACACAATAAAGAGGGACTCAGAAATGGTGTTTTAATAAGTGGATATTTAACAAATCCACCAGGAGATAAGAGTATCATGTATTGTAATTCTTCAATATCACTTCTGAAATTTTTTTGTACAGTATACACTGGGTGGAAAGGGGTTACTGATGTTACCTCAACATGGAGGTAATTATTGATGTTGTTCTAACATACCAAATACGAGACAGTTTACATTGGGTTAGGAGGAGGCTGGGCAAGATGCTGTTAGCTGCATGCAACAAACATTTTAACTTGTTATGGTTGTCGTCTAACAGAAGCTGATATATGCACATTTACTTGTTAAAGTTATTATCAGGTTGGCATTTATAGAGTAAAGTTTATACTTTCTTCAGACTTGTGAAGTCTGACACATCAGGATAGACAACACCATTACTGAAAATACTGAAAATATTGTCACCAGTCTGACCACTGCCCCTACAGTGGGCTACTTACATATGTCTGACTAAAATCAAAGAATTTATTCAACAATGGGCCCTGACTGTAGTGGAGGACAACTACAGGTGAAGGGCAGAACAATGAAAAAGTCACAGTGTAACACTATGTTTTGTTGTTCATAAAATGGTTCATAAGATGGTTCAGGGGAAGGGCAGTGTGAGTGATGGAGCTGATATGGTGGGGCAAGTTAGTGTCGAGGGGGGGGCCATGTCAGTTGGAACAACTCCGCTCAATTTAAAACCTCAGTGTCATGAGTTTATAAGAGATCACAGTAAAAAATGCTCCTGCTTTTCAACATTTAAAACATCTGGTTCTGCCTTAACCATAAATACCAAAAAACCAAGAATATGGCAGGACATAATGGATATGATGGATGGTTGTTGCCATACATGCATACATATTCAGTTAAGTCATAAGATCTCCACAATAATATAAATCAAGGAAATATTTATGTTATTCCAGCCCCAAGGAACCACATGTCACAAGCACGACAAAATGTACAACACACAAGTGGTTCACCCGGAACACTGTGGTTCACACGGCAGCAACACAACATAAGAGTAAGAGCTTAACTTCCCATCATGCCTGCATGCTACAGTTCAGCCTCACAGTAGCCACCATCTTATGCATAATGAACTTATAGCAAGAAGCAGACAATGCATATCTTAAGTACTCTGAGAATTCTTTAGTAATCAAAGTCCCTTCTTAGTTCTGCCTACTAGTCTATTACCATTAACTCGGTGACTACCTCTGGCCACAGCACAAGGCAGTGTGTGTGTGTATTGTATATCTTCCACCTCCCTATAATGTAATGTTAATGATGACTACCACACTTGCCCTTAGTCACCCTCCACACCACACAGCCTAGTCATCACTTCTCTCCACTTGCCCCTTTGTGTTCTATTCCCTTATAAATTCCTGTACCCTTTATCTAATGTAAAAAGTCATTATTTCATTATAAATTTTACCTTCATTAATACAGATACAGTCAGGTAGTAAGGACGAACAATGTACAGTTGGTAACACTCTGTATTTCCAAAAGTCAACTTCAGCCCAGAGCAGAGGGGTCATGACTCATGGTCATACTGTGTGGTGTGGATAAACTGGTCTGGTCATACTCTGGATATACCACGTACAGGGTACTGTATTGTATTAGCTAGCTGTCCCTTCATCTCCTCGGATATTCTTGGTGAAACACTGGCTCTAACTTTTGGTGACTCTGTAATTCTTAATCAAACAGGTATATGGTGGTGGTGTAGCATACAGTAATATGTGACTGTGGATGGTAATCAAAGTAAACACACTTGCCCAGGAGATGATGAACAAGACAACCTGCTTAAAATCTTGTGACTAAGTTACATCAGTCAGACTTGATTCTGATATGTTTACAGCAATTAACTGAAGAGGACATTTTGCTGGTCATGTCACAATAATCCTTCCACTGCTTGTGGTGAAAGTCATATATTGTATTTAAGTCATCTATGAATACTGATATCTCCTAAAATGTAAAGAACAGACATTAATAATATCTACATAATAATTCTGAATTGATGAAGACAAGAAACATCCACCTTTTACAATGAATGGTTAAGTTAGTAAAGGTGTCTATCTAAGTACCCATCTTAACACTATACAGTAGTAACACTTAAGACTAAGCAACCTTTAGATATGCCACCAAGTGAACACATGTCCAAGGTGATGAGACAAGATATGGGAAGAGGAGCAGTTGGTTTCATGCGTGCCAACTATTGTGTCAAACAAGGCAAGAAAATATACATGGAGCAACATACCCACAGCCCATTTTACTATATACAGCCAAGTTAGTTAGATTTTTAGCTGGAGATGGCAATGAATATAAAATTTTAGATCGTACTTGGCCTGTAGTTCATTCTTCCGGGAGTTGTTGGCCTTCAAGGGGGTGGGTGCAATGGGCTTACGGAAAGGGGTGGTCCTGGAGGAGGAGCTTCGGGGGCTGAGTGTGCCACCATCCATGGAGTCAATGGAGTTGACCGAGGGTGGCCTTTTTAATAATGACTTGTCTCCACAATCTATCTTGGATAACACTCTTGACAAATCAAGTTTGGGTGAGGCCCTCAAAACATTACTCAAGGACTCTGACTTTGTCAAGTCTGACTTAGAGCTGCCAAGCTTACTTATGTCAGTCTTGGAAGATTTAAGTGAGGTCTGTGAAGGAGTCTTAAAGAGGGGTGAGAAACAGGGAGAAGATGACACACTGGAGAGGGAGGGAGTCCTAGGGAGGTTGGAGGAGGCTGGGGTGGTAGGGGTGGCTGAACCATACACTCGGGGCTGCTGCAATTTACCAAGCATTGGTAACCTGCAAAAAATAACATAGAAGAAAAAATCATCTGCTCACATCCCTGCCAAGTGTTCCATTAGTGCTGAAAAGAAAGCACAAATATTCCAAAACATAATAAATAAGAGACCCACAGTCCTGCATTAACAAATAAAATCACCTTAACCAGAGAAAATTGAGAGCCAGTTAAACAGTTGGTAGACAGGAATGCAACATCAAGCCTTAACTTACACAGATCATTCCTTCATTTATTAACAATAAAGCAAAGTTTCCCAGCTGGGTTGAACAACAACATGCAATGCTGATGACACTGCCAGTTACCAACCCACCAGGAACACCCACCATCAACCACAAGCACGTTTACCACATGACTACCTCTGACTATAAACACGTTTCATGCTGCTGAGAGAGTCAGTACAGATATGAGCTCCAATACTTGAGAGAGTTGCAGCGGGGGCATGCGCTCAGGTCAAGAGATACCCTCATGACGCACAACTCTTCACCCCATCCAGTTCAAACTCATTCTGGCTTTACTTTCAATCTTTTTCTTAGTTCTAACGCACACTACACTGCACATGGTCTATATAAATAAACTGTTCATCATATATGTAAGTACTGTAGTGAGTAGAGACAATGTGAAAGTAATACCAGGACTGTGTGAATGGATTTTCCTGGTGACAAAAGTTTCATCAGAGTACAGTATCATTTAGCTCGAGTCAACATCCACAGTATGGACCCGAGTCACAATTCCTACCTCAGCCGATCTGGTTTTTGAGGAACAGGATTTCCAGATGGTTTCCTTTTCAGACTGAGAGCATGGAAGACAAGAATTAAACGTTACATTATGAAATTGCGACACATACAAGTGTAACTGTTAAGATGACTGATGATTGAGACTATAATATTGTATACATTATAACACATTTAATCAAGTGTATTGCTAAGAACCACATGTCTTAGTTATTCCTATTGCTAACATATGATGAATCATTTCAGGTAACTATATATATCACATACACTAGACTTATACATATATAAAAAAAAAAATTACTGAGTTATTTGCTTAATCTTATGCATGACAGTAATATATATATATATATATATATACAGGGTATATATTTTCAAGTCAAGATTTACAGGTAATAATTAAATAGTTAAAAGCTTTTGACTTACTGCTTGCATCAATTTTAATCACCTAGCCTAATATACAACCATAAATACAAGTAAATTACAGAACAGGACAGTGGAAGAGTCTTTATATTGTAACCTAAGGAAAAGTTTTCTTAAGGGTATTGACAATAGGGCAAGCAGTACTAGACCTTAGAGATAGGAACTGACCCCTCAGTTATCCCACACAGTGTAGATAATAAAACAATGTATATATTCTACTGTACTGTACCATTCCCAACATCCAGAACAGGGAAATCCAAGTAGAGGTTTTCTCATACATACACCAGGATACTCCAACGCTCTCTTCCGTATTACGTACTATCTCACTCATTCACTCACACATACAGTATGCACTCTTAACTGTCTTCATCATTTTCAAAACAAGAAAATCCCCATCAAGATATTTCTCAATATATTTTACCCATCAACAGATACTCGAACTCATTGTTGTGTTCATCGCCCAAGTCCCCACACACCTCTACTGTACTCTTCACTACGCTCAAAGGTCAACTCTCCTGTCATCCAATGAGATTACTGTAATTTTTCACATTTACAGCTGCCTAAGCCTTTTTTTCTTATACTTCCAATTGTTCAAGGAGATGTGCTGTCCTTATCCTTTCCTCACTGCTTGTGACTGACTCCTGAGGTACACCATGCCAGCAACAGGACAGAACTATAAACATGAAGGATCTCACACACACACACACGAATACACTTTTCTCATCATCCTGGTAAGTTAAACGAGGACCATCACTCACACTGTTCACTGTCACATTAATTCATGATATCAATCAAACTCGCAGTGAAACAAAGGCACCTGTACAACTAATATTTTTCACGGCGGAGAGAGTAAAGAGCGACACACACCCTCCCATCACTCACTCTCTAAAGCAAGGCCCCAAGGCCCTTCAATTCCTATCTTGAAAAACCATTAGCTGAATAAAAACCAACTCTGACATACTGCAGTCACTAAAATCCCATCCTGGACATGGGTAATGGCTTTTGCACCTCACAAGGTGTGGGATGACCGAGGTTATCAGTTTGTTTAACAATTCTAATCAAGGTAAAATAAAAATGCACAACAGCAGAGTAGTCAGCATTAAAATCTTATACACCAATTTGGTTGGATTGATTGCTAGAGAGAAAAAAGCTACAGGTTGGACAGTTGACCCTAAATCACTTGCCTAATTTATGTTCATATAGTTGAGCTACAGTCTAAGAGTTTAGTTTCATCACAAACCTTGAGAGGGAATCTGTTAAGAGGGTGTTAGAACTGCAATAACAGGAAGGATGTATTAAGACTGCATGAAATAATTAGGCTGGGAAATTATCTGGTGTGTCAGGTTACTGGTGTGTCAAGTGCTTCAATTAAAGAACTATCCTGGAGGTGAATCCATTCTCAGGTCGGGATAATGTGGTCATTCTATTCACTCTTGGTTGTTCAGCTGACTGCTCCAGCTCATTCCCAGTCATTATTATTAATCAATCTACAAGGATGTTCTAGTTACTCTCAAAGACACCCAAGACATAAGGCAAGTCTGTCACGGCAACACTCTGACTCACGGCTAACTTTCATACTCTTTAAAAACTATCTCGGGGAACACTTTATATTTTACAATAAACTTAAAAAATTACTGCAACACATAGTAAAGCATAACTAACAGCCTGCAATTAAAGTAGTGGACGTCTTTTTTTTATAAATCTTTAAACTATGACGGGAATAAAGCTTCAGATGTTGAAGGAGTAACATAATACAGTACTGAGAGAACAATACAACTCACAAGTTTCATCAAGAGGGGTAAGGTGCTAAGGTGTTCCTCCCTAATATATACAATGTACTGTACAACAATACCTACATTATCATCACCAGGTTATGGATATTTTCAATGATCATTGTGGGTAAATATCAACATAAATACAGTGCAGTACAGAATTGAGGGATTGAAACAGTATAGTATTTTGTTTAATAGATGTGGGGAAAGAACATTTTTACCGCAAGGTTTATATCACAAAAGCACCTCCTGAGACAGCCTACCTTATTAGAAGACATACATAATGTGTCACAAGGAAGCCCACCAACACTGCCCAAGAGGCCAGCACCGTTACAATGTGCTAAGTACAGTACATGTAGAAAATATTGCCGGTGCCATAGCGTCAGTTAACAAAGAGCTCTTCAAAAAAGATCTTCAGATATGGTGAGTTACCATTATTCCTATACAGTACAGTTAGGACACTGTAATTAACATGTACAGTATAAGATGGACAACATCCAAAAAATTAGCCTCATAAGTAAAGAATGGTTAGCTGATCACTGTGGAGTTGATCTATAGTGCTAACCACTGTCTGTTCTGATGGTGTTTCACACTATTAAACATGTTAAAACCTTCTATCAAGACAGGAACTATCAAGAGAGGAGCTTTGGTGGTACACATCTCACATGTCCTGGACACTGATGACCTGTGGGCTATCAAATAATTCCTTAAGAGATTTTTTCACTCTTGCAAGACTTCCCACAACAGCACCGGCGAACAATATCAATAAAACATAATTCTAAAGATACATCCATCAACCTCTGCTACCATGAGTGGGTTTTATCAGGTGCTGTATAATATTTTAAAACACTATACAGTCCAGTACAGCTAAAATGGGATTTCTAAAAGTATTAAAAAAATATATACAAAAAGTAAGATCATGTAACTCAACCTTGAATCAGTTTTGTCTCATATTAGCCCAATTTAGAATGAAGAATATGATACAGTAAAACAACCTGGATCCCTTTAAAGAAACACAAAATGATAACTCCTAAGTGACCTGGAATTTGGTTTTGTCAATAATATAGGTAGTGAAGTACAGTACAGTATATCTAACCTAACAAAGACCTTCAGACACAGAAGTGTAATCCTTGAGAGAGGTAGGTGTGTGTGTGTGTGTGTGTGTGTGTGTGTGTGTGTGTGTGTGTGTGTGTGTGTGTGTACATTAAGATCAAGAACATGTGCCACAGTGCTGCCTGGATAGAGATCATAAATCAATAATAAGTATAAATGAAACTTAAATTATAAAAACTGTGTCTGGGGTCAAGTTAACACATGATAGATAGGATGGTGATGAGATGGAGATGCCACATATGAATACAATATCGGAACAGCGCCTCCAGTAAGTACAGTACAGTAAAGTGGAAATTACATGACCAGGAAAAGTCACGAGGTGCTCATGGTACCAACTGACACGTGTAAATGAGGAACGTGGAGTGAAAACGTGATGCATCGAGTATGTCTACGATGTGCTACCAATATATTATAGAGAGGAGAGGCTAGTGGCGTGGTGTGGGTGTGCGTGCAAATGTCGTGGTTATCTATGAAGTGAGAGTAGAATGTGGGGTTATGAGAGTTAGGTACAGTGACGATATTTATTCCATTTCCCATTTATCAGTTTAGGGTAATCAAGTGTAAACAACAAAGGAAAGAGGAAAAAACCCAAAAACAAAAATGGTGTAATGTTTGTTAGGGTCACAATGGGCAACACCCTTCTCACATCTGACCCCAACAAGTATCAAACCTTGACTGCAGTTGTAAGAGGTAAGTGCTCCCACAGTACCACCAATTATCTTCAATATATATTCATGTAGGGATAAGGGAGTGTTCACATGTGTTACAGGCTTACTACAACACACATTGTTTATATTCTCTGTACAAGCAGCACCAGATTATATGTAGCTATGTATAAGGACACACACACACATTCCTCAATGAGTTTTAACCTAAATCACACGACATACCATCACAATCATCATTCTCACTAAAGCCTATTTAAGAGTGGTGGTGGAGGTATGGTGTGCAACCGTAGCATGTGCAGCTAGCATGCTCTGTTCGGGAGTTAGATCCACTGTGGTGTTTAATACTGTATCAGCTACTTTCAAGATAAAATGGGGTTAGCGGGGGGTTAGGGGTAATAAGAACCTCCCTAATCCATAGTCATAGACAAACCCCAAGATCACGGTGATAATGAGGTTAACTTTTCAGTATCGTTGCCAAAGTGGTGTGTGGGTAGTATAAGACTAAGATAATGGGTGTTGACTAAGAGTGGTGGCGGACATTGATTAAGGAGGCCAACAGACAGACAGATGGGATGGGTAGGGGGTGACAAGAACCATGGTAGTACCTCACATCAAAGACCAACCCCGGCCTCAGAGCCTTGCAGTGAACAATCCTCCATGGTGCAAAGAAAAAGTAATCAATTCTAAAACTGTGCCATATACAGGTCTGCTGTCATGCATTGTTGACTCTTTACAGAAATAGGAGGCAATTAATGTCTCAAAGAGTAATGGCAGAGACTGAGAGATTACCTCCGTTTAGGGCTTCTGTAGAAGTTAAGAGAAATGCGGCGACATCAACACATCCCTCCCATACTAGAGGCTTCAATGCATGGTCAATACACCTTTATTATCAATTTGCATTAGATATCTACTTTTTCAGTACTATGAAGAAAAACTGAAGAACAGTTTTTAATCAATGAAAAAGCAGAAATCATATATTCTTTGTTAGAAAAAAACAATAAGAAAAAAATAAAATAGAAAAAAATCCATCCCCCAAAATTTTACATTTAAAAGAGCCTCAGAACAGATATAATATGTTACTGGTGTATGTTGGGGATGACTGGTAAGCAAGAGGACATGGATGATACAGTAAAGTACACCGGCACCCTCGGACACCAACACCAACAAAAATGATGGGCAGCCACATCCAACTTGGAAGAAAAAATTAAAAAAATGGATGCAGCAGAAAACCAAAAAATTAACCTGAAGAAAAATGACCCAAATTCTTATTCATAACCTGAGATCAGAGCTACTAGGAGAGGCACTTAACCCTGTCGTCAAAACTTTGCTTGACTTTTGAGTTCACTGACAATGATAATGATCTCAAGCGACGTTTTAAGAATCGGGGTTTTAGTGTGGTGTCCGGCGTATGTGCATGACAAAACTGTGCCAGGTGCGCTTTTAGCAATCTTACCTCGTCGGCTCAACCCTCCGCTTCATGCTAGAGTCGAAAACAAAACAAAACTGTTAGGATGCAACACTGACAATGGCTTCAACTCTCAAGTGGCAACTGGACTTTAGAAACACACCACTGTTGATGGTTGACAAGTGATCATTTATGACCAATGCTGCAGCAGTAACAAGACAGCAACACCTTAACTGGTAGCAAGATCACCAGTGCCATTTTAGAATTCAAGCCATGTTCATTATGATGTAACAATTTGTTCTATTTATGATAATTACCTTATAAAGGGTTCAATAACATACAGCCATATCTCTAGCAGTCAATAAGGGTTAAGAGAATGGGATAATAGTGTTAAGATAAAACTAAGTCTATTGGCTCACTCAACAGTTTCACACAATAGTCTTTTTATCAAACTTAATTACTAACAGCCCTTCACTACTCTCACAATTGGACAGCCCCCCAATTAAACACATACTGTACAGAAGTTGTATATAAAATGTGGTGCTGTACTTCAAACTCTGTGATGCTTCTGCACTGGTGAGACTGACCAAGTGATAATGTGAAGTGGTTAGTAATTTAAGGCCTCATCCTGTAATTTACAATGGCTTGCTTTTTGTACTGTACTGAGCCATACTAATATGCACTTGATAGCTAATTTTCTTAAGGCAAACAGTGTACTTGTTCTAAAACTGCTTCTAACTAAGGTAGTCTTTTGCCCGCATCATCATAATATTGTGTGTATGATATAAGAGAACTGAGCAAACTGTTATTGGTTAACAGCAGTGTGAAGATAATGGAATCTGGTTAATACGAGTAGGACTAGATAGACTAGTGCGTCCTTCAAGGGGTGCGGTGGCAGAGAATGCGGTGAACCGCCATGAACTGCATCAACAAAATAAGTTCGACTCGTGGACTGGAGCTCATTTCATGATTACGCAGAACTTACGTTCTTTGGCAAGAACTTTTCAACAGCTGGAAACAACAGTTAATTTATTGGTGAAAATCTACGGAAAAAAGTGAGAGCCTTGATGACATGAGCCTGAGTCAACGCAGTCTGTCTGGGGCACTAGTGCTAGAGCATTCAAGGTACTGCAGGAACATTGTACAGTCATATTTTGGGGGATTGTGGATGTTGCACTCTGATGGTACCTTTGGTGACCCCCAAACCTGGAGGGTCTTCTCTCCAGCCGCTGCACACTGTCGGGCAGCATACGAGAGACAGGGAGGGCAATGTTAGAAAGTTGGGACGGCCAATATGGGGGGAGGGAGAGGGTTGTTATCGAGTGGTCTGTTCTTGGCAAGAGGGCAGTAATGATGAGACCGGGTTTGTTACACTTCATTTGAATACTCTACTATATGCCTAAAGTCATAAGGTTCCAAAAAATAAAAAAATAGATTTACTACAGTACAAAAATCTACAAAAGACTTGAAAGAGTAGAAAAATATATATGATAGTTTAAACAAGTATTATAAAAAAAATAAAAAATCTGAAAGAGAATGTGAAGATGTGGACACAGTACAGAATAAAGCACTCAGTAAGACACTTCATTGTGATGTACTGTACAGTCAATTAATAAAGTATCGACCACTCTGCCGTGCTTAACAGTATGAAACCGAAAGAAACTGTAAACGTACACCTGTGGTTCCCGGCAAGGGTTAGCTGTTATCGTTCATTTTCTATTCCACCGTCCTTGGGGTGGTCGATACTTATTTCACTGACTATACACCAACAAGGATTTATAGTCAAGAATAATATTGTACTTCTCTCCATATTAACAATGTTTTTAAATCAGCGGAGGAAATTAACAAGAATATACCTCCCACAAACACATCTCTGAGTATTTGTTTATATAAGATGACACTAAATACAAGACTGTTAAAAATATTACAAAGTTACATCGTAATTATTTGTTTTATCACTTTTTGAAACCTGTTTATAGAAATTGAAGATTTTCTTATGATTTTGTGTTTCTTGAAGCATTTTACTTTATTCTACTAACCCCACCTTCCAGTCCTAGACATTTAAGGCAATCAACTGTAAATAACTTATCTTTTTTATCCTTAACAGTCAGTTCTTTGACCATGCTCTTAAATCATGAGCAGTTTGGTATCACATACAAGTATTGAGAAAAAGTAGAAATATGCAGAAAATTAAATTGCATTCTGGATTAACATATCTAATAAAAGAGCCTTTATAAAATATGTGGACACTAATTAATAAATAAATTTAATCAAATTTCATGTTCATATTTTTTCAGGAGGAGCATTTTTTTTTTCAAACTACAGCTGAGAAGATTGTGAATGTAGCAGCAGATAAGTTTTGTGAGCTCTAAACAACAGCTTGATTTTGAGAAACACAAGAGTTACCCAAAGACACATACACAGGGGCACAGGTAGGAGAAGAATTTCTAATATATGAAGGCAGTTCTGTACTGAGAATAAGTATGTATGTGTGTATGTGTGTGTGTGTATGTCTGTGTTTCTGTGTGTATAATAATAATAATAATAATTAACGGTTTATTGAAAGAGCTTGGCAGCCAGAAGGCTGAAAATATACAGTTACATATTTGGGGAATGGGTTACGAGTTACAAATAATATACAAGTAACATAAGTGACACAAATAAGACATATAATAACTTAGATGTGTGTTTCTGTGTGTGTGTGTGTGTGTGTGTGTGTGTGTGTGTTTATGTTCATGTTCAGTATAATGTTCCATTGGCTGTTATTTTATTACAAGTTTTATTTGTCACTTTCTTAACCCATCCAAAGCCCTCCTATTAAAGATCAGGGTGGGTGAAACCATGAACAACACACTCTTTCTCCCCTGTTCACTGTCAATCACTTCTCAAGCTGCCTTACCAGATATGTTATATTCTTCCTCTTCCACAACTTGGTCCTGTGATATCAATCTGGTAGTGATATTTTAGTCCCCATACCTACAACCTCAACTAAAACATCTAACTCATCCATCCTTGATCACATCCTCAACACAAGTGGAATACTGTAGAGGGAGGAAGGAAGTGAGTCTGATTATTGTGAAACTTTTCTTTGTGTTAGAGGAAGAGTTTTGACTGAATAAAACAGGACCGTCTATTCAGAGGACCTCAAAAATATATCTGCTGCTAAACACACATTTGCAGTATACAGTACATATATATATATATTTACCTTAAGTAGACATAGTTTCTGATGACTTTCCTCTTCAAACAAGGATAATTTTTGCACACTGCTGACTATAAACAGTGTATGCCTATGAAGTATTTATATCAATGCTCCTCATTATATAAAAAATAACTGATGCTTGGAGAAATAAAAATCTGTTCATGCATAAAGTGATAGAAAGACTCAGTTCTGATAATCTTTGGTTGAGACTAACACTCTTCTGCCACAACTACAGTACGAGCGTATTATAGCCACCTCTCCATCAGAAGTACTGGGTAGTTATTGCGAGTTTTGGGTCATGAAATGTTAGTTTACCTTGACAAATTAATCATTCACACCTTGATATGAACCAGATTTATCAAAGGTAAATACAATCACTAAAACATGCAATATAAAGCTCTTTACTTATTAGACCAATTGCTAAACCTATACTTAATTCAGGGTGTTACAGTGTGAACAGTTGATAAGTAAAATTTTTAATATTATACCATAGTTTACCTTTTTTATTGCCATAACATCAGCCTCACTGTAACACAACTAATACAAGTTAACTACAAGGAGTACAGGACAGTATACAGTAAAGTACCGTGATGTATCAAACTTAAGACACCACACTACAGCCATCATTGATAATAACAATCTGATGAAAATGAATGGCCAAAAAATCCAAAATCCAAAATGTCAACACAAGTGATGTAGCAATGTTCATTATCCATTGACTCTTAGCATCTCACCAAGGCTGTACTGTATAGGTATTCCTTCTATGAATGACCAGAGAACTGTGAGCTTAAAAGTATACATACTCCTGTACTACACTTTATATTATCAGTTTGTATTACCAAGAACCTTTATGGAGTCTAGAAAATTCTCTGAGGCAAAATAAATGTAAGAAATAACACAAATAAAAAGCATCAACTGTAGTATTTACCCCTCAGTTACCACAAGATTATACTTATCAACTTAAATATCAGATTTTCACTCAAAAAACTTAATTAATATAATGTCTTTGGTTTATGCTGTTATTAAAGGCAGAGTACAGTGAGTTGTCCTAACAATTTAAGGAGAACAATCAATGATGAATTATATCCTTCAAATGGTATTTTTCATCAGCCTTAACTATGTATTCAGACATTTTTTAAACCAAAATACTATAAACTAAAAAGAAAATGAATCCTGCAGACAAAATAAGTGAACTTCTGGCATGATATTCTGGCATTTAAAAGACCTACTTGCAGACACCCAATAATTTCTTATATAACAGAACAAAAGAGTTTAATTTCAGGAGTACAAGACTACGAACTTACCTGGTCTTGGGTTTATCACTCGCTGGGGTAGTCGCTGTAGAGGAGTTGGACGCCGTGGTGGCCGATGAGCCGTCCTCTCCGTTTTCGTCGTCCAGAACTAACAGCTGACTCTGACGTACGAATATGCCGTATCCGTCTTCACACTACCAGACAGAGAACGAGGTATTGTACTGGATATTACGTGACAGCAGACGAGGTTACAGAGTCTTAAACAGTACGATAAAACACCATAGTTATATGACAAACCTGGAAGTATGATTTGCCCTGCACCGACCCATTGTTCTTGCCCTTCTTCTCGTCCAGGACCACACCAATCCACTTGCCCTGAGAGAAATGTGTGCCGCCCACATAAGCAATGGTCCCCAGCGTATCTGTTTAAAAGAAATTGTTAAAATAAAACTCTACAGGAAGATTTGAATGTTCTAGAAGGTTAAATTTACTTCAGTGTCTATCAAACTCGGAATAAAAAAGGAGATTGGTGGTGATGGTAGTGGTGACTGTACTGTATGCAGCATGACCAGTACAGTAATCCATACCTTTGCCAATGACTTCGACGCGCTGGCCGTTACGAAGTGGTTTTTCAGACATTTTGCACTATGACATTAATCCTGGAGCAAAAAAATACATTAGAAATTAATTATAAAGTGTCTCAAATGGCCATAAGTGTATCCATTTCACTCAACATTTTACTAACCAACTAACCCACTTACATACTAAACTGTCATAAACGAGTTAACTATACATGTGAACCAAATAACTTAAATATTACAGCAACAAAAACACTATTTATTCTGTAATGGTTTAACCACCACAAGTATTTTCAACCCTTAAGAGTCGGTAACGTATCTACAGAGCTCTATTGAACCCTTAACTACAAAAGTACATTCATGGTAACAAATAACCTGTATATTAAATAGTACAAACTAACGGTGGGTTAATAGTGAGGTAATAACAGGTGACAATAACACAGGTGACGAGAACAGCTGACAGTAGGGAGAAGCTGAAGGCAACACCCATGTCAAATTATCAACAAATTATATTACATTTTTCTCGTTCTCTCTACATAATATAACCCCCATCTACAGTACATATAACTCCTAATGGTTTATCTATCTAATGAACTTACTAAAATTGTACAGAACTCACTAGAATTAATATAATATACCTAAAAATGGGTGGTAAATCGATGAGCTGCTGAATGAATCACCAGACCACCTCGGTTACACTGACACTCTGACATGGCCAACTACTGTTACTACTCTATCTCTTCTGGTCTAATCACCATCATATAACTTTAGAATTATTGGTTTGGGATATTTGTAGACTATGTAGGTATATAATTCAGTATGTGTATAGAATATGTAAGTAGTGTGTGTGTATATATTATAGGCCGTGGAGGCATACACTAATCTTATGTCCCTAACAAAAGTAAAGACAATGGAGAAATATATATAAAGTGTAGATATATTATACAGTTCATTAAATATGTACATATTATGCAGATACCGGTACAGTGTAAAATGTACAACTTAGAAATACATTGAAAGAGAAATTTATCAGGAATAATGGTGCAAGTAACTCAGTAGTTAGATGAACTAGTAAATAAGTAAGTAAATTGGTAATTAATCAAGTAATCAAGTAAATAAGTACACCACCTTCCATACACCATCCAAAAGAGATAAATAAAATCTATCTATATAATCCATCCATTACCAATACCTGTGACGTCATTGATGGCTATTATTTTCACTAACATGTTTTATATATCAATGTTTATGCTACTTTACAGCATAATAATATATTTTAATAACCTAAAATAATATAATATAATATAAAATATATGAAAATATATAATAAATGGCGTAGAATATTCAGATTAATGGTAGTGGTAATACCTGTGTCAGTCTCCTTCAACACACACACATGTGGACAACAGTGTAGAGGCGATATATGACATTATTACACATTGTTTTACCATGAAGGCGAAGGGGAATAAGATGGATGGTGATAATGAGGAGATACGGCAGTTTAAGGCCATGAAACACCGAGAACATACGAGATTTACTGAAGGTGAGGGAGGAGAGGACTGTGGTTGTGAAGTATTTGATTTGGTTTTTAATTCGTCTATTTAATTAGACGAGTTTATTTAGTTTGATTTTCATTGAGAGTGGGTTTAATTTTTTTTTTCACTCTTTGCATTAGGGTACTGTATTATGCTGGGAGAAATATAAAAATGGATGAAATCATATACTAACTTAATTTAACCTATATTTTAACTTGCCTATGTCTAGAAAACTTAGCATTTGCCCAAGAAAATGAACAGACGTGACAGTAATCATCATACAAAACTGTCTAAAAACACCCAACATAATTACTGAACCGCTGAAGGTTACATGTCGTATATTAGCCTTAACTTTATCCTCTTCACCACTGATTGGGTGCTGGACAACTCGTACCCAAGCAAATTGTACCCATCACAACATGTCAACTATATAGTAGGTAGATAGGCAGCTACCAAACAGAGGTACTACCGCCTGGGAGGATGTTGGCAGCATAATGTGTTGTCTGTGGTAGACCCTGCTGCCATATGTGACCAAGTCCCAGGTTGATGATCTGACTTTCTGCCTCATCTACACACAGTTGCAGGGTCTCAATTGTTTCTCTTACTTGGACAACACAACATATATAATGTATATAATTTCTCACTCTTGATTGATTTTTTAAATTTTGTATTTTTTTGCGGTTATTATTTTTATTAGTTTTATTATTTTATTTGTATTAATTTGCTATTAATTTTATTATTATTATTATTATTATTATTATTATTATTATTATTATTATAATAATAATAATTATAATTATTATTAATTATATTTTCGTCCCCCCAGGCCCTGATGTGGGTCATTACCTGTGCCCGGGTGGGCTAATGCCCTTAAAAAAAAGTATATACTACTGTATATACAGGTATATATATATATATATATATATATATATATATATATATATATATATATATATATATATATATATATATATATATATATATATATATATATATATGGAACAATGGAACACCTTAGCTTTCATTTTTATTCAGGACATCTTCAGAGGCGACTGAATTACAGGGACTGAGAAAGGCTTATGTACATAGGGTGACCTTACAAACATGAGGTCATGACATTCACTAATCCACACACCACCACCACAAACATAAGACGAGCTTATAAGAAAGGGTGATGCAACTAGTCATGTTAAGTCAGGACAAAAACATGAGACCCACTAATCGTCTGTCCTACATCGACCTCAAATGCTTTCAAAAAATTTTTAACTTTGGGCCACTGACAAATAAATTTATGTAACATATTCTCAGTTTTGTACTGACCATCACTAAGGTTTATAGAATTCATTTCCCCAATCAAACTTGCTTCAACCAGTAGTCTTTCTGTGACACATGATAATTTATACACTTCTAAACTGGTTTCCCAATCTGTGGGATGATTATTGTTCCTTATATGAATGAAAAGTGCACTGCTTTCAGATGCTGTTATAATATTATACTTGTGTCGTTTTATTCCGAGTTGCAATGCTTTCCCAGTTTTGTTTCCGTGTGGTAGTGACTTTTTAAACGAATCTATCCAGAGTATCATTAACATACAATAACATAACTAATTGTATATGCGTTGGTCAATATTCTTACTCTTGGTTCTTTTATATCCTTATTACTACTGTATTTCATTCTTAACGTTGACATGTCAGAAGATGAAATTCCTGACGATGTAATCGTAGATAAAGCTAAAATGCATGGTATATATGCTAATAGGTATGGATTATCCCTTTAATTGGGTGTAAGTAATCTTGTGTACGACTTGACTTTTTTGGGTGCGATTTGTCTTGGGTACTAGATGACCCTAACCCTAGCTCTTAAGCTCCTTGGACGGTCTGTCACATCTCTGTTACGCACTGTTGGCAAGTACTGGCTCTTGAATGTATCTGAACCTGCACCAGTGTTGGCCAAGTCTGATCTTGAGAGAGTTCACACTCGGTGCCATCACAACACGCTCTGGCAGATTGTTTCAAGACTTTACAATTCCCACTCCAAAAAGTTTCTCACAATTTTCTGGACTTGTGGCTTTTTCAACCTTGACCTGTGCCCCCTTGTGAGGCGGGCAAAATTTGGGTATATATTGTCAATTATTACCGCCCTTAGTACTGTTCTCAGACATAACCTTTTTTTTTTTTTTGTTCATTGGGTTTATTGTTTTAATTCATTGGAGTCATTTGCTTGCTTATTTAGGCTGTTAGTAAACATTTTGCAGTTCATACCCTTATTCCTGTAGAGTTCTGTGTACTTTTTACTGTTGATGTATGTTTTATACGTATTTCTAATATACAGTACTGTATCTACAAAATATTCTTCATTTTGTCATTTAAGTTTTATTGCAATTACTGTACTGGTGGTGGTGATGATTTCCAGGAAAGTTTGTATTTGTAATAGGTGGTAGGCAATGATTATAATGAGGGATCTACTCAATTACTTCCCGTTATTAATTATGCATTGTGGCGAAGATTAGGCACCCCAGCTTATTTTACCTTAATGCTACTTGGAGGGGGGGGGTTAGGTTAGGTTTCGTTAGATTAGTTTTGGGTATATCATGTTAGATTTGGATGTTTAATCGTTAGGTGTACATAATTGGTTAGGGTGCCTAATTTTCATGTGATACCAAATTACAATACGTACTACCATGTAAGAGAACCATGAGATGTGTGTATTACTATGTCTGTATCTCATTTACAGGTGATCTAGAAGCAGTCTCTGAAACCCTCAATAAACACGATGAGAAAGGAAAAAAGAGGACGTATGAACAGCAGACACAAGAGCCACAGAAAAAGACAGATTGGAAAAAATTGAAGGCTGAGAAGAAGGAGCTCAAGATTAAGAGGAAGGAGAAGAGTCAAACTGGCGGCGAGACGTACAAGCTGGGCGTCGGTGCTAAAAAGATTTGGGAAGAGCTCCGCCAGAGTAAATGCCTGCCGGAGCGGCGGGTAGAACTGTGTAAACAGTTGATGGCGATGGTAAGTGGTAATGTCAAGTCGCTTATATTTGCTCACGATACTGTCCGAGTCATTGAGACACTTTTAGCGGTAGGCGATGAAAAATGTCGTACAGTTCTATTTGAGGAGCTGAAGGAAAGCTTGATAGAACTCAGTAAAAATAAATACTCTCGGTTTTTTGTGCTCAAGTTTCTGAGATATGGCACCAGGGCAGAGAAAGATCATATCATTAATTCTCTAAAGGGAAAAGTTGTCACATTAATGAAGAACAAGATTGCCAGTGATGTAGTAGAACTTGCTTATAATGACTATGCCAATGCAAAACAGCGATCACTGATGATTCAAGAATTCTTTGGGCCTCAGTTTCGTCTTTTTCACGAGGAAAACATACATTGTTTAGATGATGCTCTCAAGAAATACCCAGATAAAAAAGAGGCTATATTGAAAGACCTCCGTGACGCCCTGCAACCAATTATAGACAAAGGTGTGTTTACAAATACGATGGTGCACACGCTGTTACGAGACTTCTTGATGTTCTGTTCGGTAGGAGATCGCACTGCCGTGATTGAAGCTTTAAAGGAGTCACTGGCACCAATTATACACAGTCGAGATGGGGCTCGTGTAGCTATGCTCTGCTTGTGGAATGGCACAAACAAAGACCGGAAAGTTATTTTAAAATCATTTAGAACTCACTTTGTTAAGATAGCCACAGAGGAGCACGGGCATATGGTGTTACTGGCAGCATTTGATTGTGTTGATGATACTCAGTTCATGAAAAAAGCAGTTTTATCAGAACTGACGGAGGAGTTAGATCAACTCGTTTCTTCTGATTATGGACTAAGAGTTTTGAGGTATCTGATAGCTCCTCGTAGTCCAACCTTCTTCCAGCCCAGTGTGATTGCTGTATTGTCTCAAGGAGATGGTAATGCCACTAGTAAGAAAGATAATGACATTCGACAGCGAGAGTTACAGGCTGCTATTAGTTTACCCATCTTAAGACTGCTCATGGATAATCTTAAATACTGGGCCGTTAATCCAAACTGGACGCTTTTCATTGGAGCAGCGCTGCGAACCTTATCCTCACCCGAAACTCAGACCATCTTTAAGACGTTAGCAGACATGTGTGCTGAACCATATGTTCCTGGCACAGAAGGTCATGTTTTAGAAATCGCTCATACCACTAAATTGATCACATATGTTGTTAAATGTGACAAAGAACGGCATGAGAATGACAAACCAATCTTCAGTACTGTATTACTAAAATCAGCAGAAGAGGAGGCAGAAGGCTGGATAAACTCCAACCGAGGATGTTTCCTCCTTGTCAACATGATTGAAACCGAAGTACCTGAGATTGTCTCCTGGGTAAAGAGATTAATTACACCTCATAAAGACAAACTTGCCACATTAAAATTCAAAGGTGCTGAGATACTTCTGAAGAAACTGTAAGAATATATGCAAGTGAATATGTTTTGATACTCCATTGTGTCCAGTAATGGTGTAGCTCGAGTAGTTTGACACCACTGTGCGAGGAAAAAAATGGGAGGGCTCCAGTCTTGTGTGTTAACGAGGTGTTGCTACATGACCATAGAACTAGACAGATAATGGAGTCTTACTAATATGTCTTTATTTTCTGGTGAACATGTGATGTACATTCTCTTTAGATTGTTAGAAACGTAAATTTTTATACTGAAATCCTGGCTGACCTGTGGGTTTAGTTCCGACAAACCCTACGATTTTGTTATAAATGTATGGTGTTGTTTCTTATAAGTTTAACTAGTGTATTGGGTACTAAACATTACAGTAGTACAGAGAATCTGAGAAAAGATATAACCATATCTTCTCTTATGTGTTGTACAATCAAAGACAAAAGTCGGGTCGCGGTTTTGTCCGAAGATTAAATATAACTTGAGAAACATTATGAGAGCCCTCCCACAAGGCAGAGCACACCAAAAGTTTTAACCCTTCAGCATATGTTTTCACCAAATTACAAGACACGACTTTTGTCTTTCATTGTACATTATTAGTATTACAATACAAAGATATTAGCCAAACTGTGTGTGTGCAGGTGTTTGGAATTTCAGTTTTTGTAATGTAAATAATGCTAGTATTTTACAGCCAAACTTTGATAATATACATGCAGTTTGAACACTTTTTGATCTGTATATTTCATATTTCATGGACAGTACAGTACTGTATGAGAATATTACATTGTATTTAAAGGTCTTTTCTCGTGTATCATACCACGTTAATTTTGATAAAAATATAAAGTATTTTTGCTCCACAATTCAATAGTCCATAGAATTGTGGATCACAAATAGAAACCCCCTGGATTGTGTAGAACCTACCGTGTATATTTTCATGTTAGGGAAGGTCTTGTTATAAGAGTTTATGAAAGATGATGATGGAGGAATTTATCCTTTTGAAGCATTTTGTAAATTAATTAAAAAGGACCTATACAATAAATTAAATAATTTGTTCTTGAAATATTTGCATACTTCCTCAGCCTTAGAATATAAGTTCAGTTATAAAATTAAAATGTATTAAGCAGCTCCTAATGAAACCTATTATATATGGAAAGGAGAATAAAAGGATATTCAATAGGAAACTTTATTGTGAATATCACAATCTGAGTGAAATTTGAGGGAGAGACATTAAGTAGGGTGAACCCTCATCTCTCAGGGGGATGTACAAGCTGCCACTCAAAGTCTAAACTACAGGTCCTTTGGGTCGCACCACAGGTTTTATATTTTCACATTATTGCAGGGAGTGTATGACTAGACATTTTGTACACCCACATGATGCCGTCACATGTCTACCTGGGAACTTGTGACTATCATGTGCTTGTGCTGAGTAATTCAACTTAGTGGCTTTAATTACAGTATACACAATAAAATATCCAAAACCTTAAAAACACTCCGGTGATCTTAAGAAATCCTGGTTTGGTGAGAAGCTTGAGATCTTCTTGACAGGAGTGTAGTGTGCCTGAATATTCTGCACTAACACATAAAACACAAACCATACGTGCAAATGGAACTTATCACCCAGATTATCATTGAGGTTCACATATGTCCGTGAGATGTGAAGTACATGTTGGAGCCAGTCAACAAGTAGTAGAATGTGATCAGTGACAAGGTAACAAACCTCCATTAGATAAATAACCTGTAAACACTGTCTTGAGAGCCACACCACATGAGTCACTTGATCATGTCCATTCATATGGTCCCTTACACTGCAACTCGTCAGTTTTACAAATTTTACAAAATGAAGAGGCTTGTTCTCCCTCGGTACCATTATAGTAAATTATCTTTTTAAAGTTAGTTTTGATCTCTACTACATTGCCAATTGGCAGTGATTAAAGAATAAATACAGTACATAAAACTATGGTTTATGTCACATTATAAAGAGTCCGATATTTGGAGTTTGGTAAAAAAAAAAAATATACACTCAAATATACTGTACATGTGATCAAGAAACTTAAAAGGTGTACAGCGGTGCTCGTGACAGTTAACCTGATGCTAAAAACCCACACAAATGGTAATATAGTATAATTATTCCTCAGATCACATGACACTGATGATTGATTGTTGACAGGAAAGAAATACAGTACAGTATCAAATCTTTACAGTAATATAAGGATTAAAAGTTAATAGAAATACCATACTCAAGAAATCTTCAGTTACACACTACAGTATTAAGGACATTATAAGCTGCAAAGTTATTCATTTCCTTCCATAGTCTTTTATACTGAATAAAAAATTACATTTCCCCATAAAACAGTGAAAATCATGCAAGTCTCATCTAAAAGCCGGGGTCACTAAACACTTGATCCCCTTCCATTACCAAAGACCCAATAAGCTTAAAAGTAATGCAAGTGAAGACTAAAAGCTATGAAGTGTTATTGACTGGTGGAGCTGTTTGTGCACACTAAAGTACTGAAAGGCTTGACAAAGGATTCCTGTAGTATAAGTTGACTATGACCAGTTTTTTTTGAAACATTAAATTTTTGCACAAATGCATTTTAAGATTTAGATAATTTGCACAATAAAAGAACTTTAGTTTTTGTGATTCATTACAGGTGTAGCTGAGAATTTTACACATAACTCCTGATCATAATGTTGCTTCTCACAACACATCCAGATCTCATATTTAATAAGCATAAAATCCTACTGACTCTGAACATTAAAGTAGAATTTTTGGAATGCATTTCATGAAATAAAAGTTAAATTATTTAATATACTGTACAATATAAGTGAAGTAGGCTTTCAGCTTTAATACTGCGCTATTACCGGTAAATTGAAAGATACAGATGAGACCCAATTTCATACCAGACATTTAGTTTGATAAAAAGAATAATGGAGGAGTGGTTACTGATGGACCGCACCTCAACAACTGTGCCACCTGACACCTTCTGAGCTTGATGACCAACACAAGTGTGTGACACTTATATATATCTACTCCTGTACTGTACATTTGTTAAGGTACAATACTGTATATACGTGATATCTCTTCACTCATCCTCTTTCATTAAATTTTTCACTTTTATCATATCTGACTACGGAATGCTCCATTAATATTACAGTACAATACTACCTGTACCTGTAATGAAAATTATATGTTTTCCTAAATACTGTACAGTACTGCAATAAATGTCATTGGTAAAGTAGTGTAAATTTTAAGAGATGACTGATAAGTCAAGATGCCAAACAAACCAATACAGTATATTTATTGTAAATAAAATAAACCATGCCTAGATAAGTCCATGTTGTACTAATGGTTCCAATGCCTCTGCAGCAGGAGGCTTTTATGTAACTGAAGTACTGTACTGTACAGTAATAAATACAATACTGTATGTCTTAAAATCAAATTAATATGCAAATATCTGTAATGTACTGTACAGTACTGCAGTTATATTATAGTTTGGCAACATTAATTCTCCAGACTTAATACAGCTGTGTGTTTAATGAAGAACATGGATACACTTTACCCGTGTACTGTATGAGTAAAATGAGAAATTCTTAATGTATCACTTACAAGATGAGTCGTGGTTGGGATATGATGCACTACAGTAATGGTTGGACATGAATCATATATTAGAAATGACAACATTGCATTTTTTTATCCCGTGTCACTGTGATACCGTGTTTACTTTACAACATACCCTAGTACACCAACAAGACTCTCCCAAAATGTTAATTCCTTAACAATTGTCTCCTACGAACAATGCTCAGAAAACTTGGTATAGTACAGTACAGATTTTAAACATACCAAATTTGCTGTCACACTTTAATTCACACAGAAATTGTTGCCAAAATTTTTAAGTGATGACAGAAAAGGTTCTCTCTATACCTGAAGAACATTTATAATCCTTTACTTGTATGGCTCATTATCCTGTCACACTCATGCTCAGCAACAGGATCAAACACTGTGCTTCTATAGAGAGCCTTTGGTTTTAAAATTTTACACAAATTCATGGTGTGAACCTGTCTAAATTAAGGTATGTATGCCTCATATGGTCATTTACATCCAAGACCATATCTATCAAAGTGACAAATACATGTACAGTACTTCTTATTTACTCCATTAACCCCTTGGTCACCACAGACTGTAATAAAGTGGTGTACTATAGCTCAGCCCTGTGGTAATGAAGGGGACTGATCCATATAAGGAGCGGTCTACTGGTATGAAACTAAACACTCATCCTCACTTCTCAACTTCAGGTGGAACAGGTGTGGTCTCATGTGGGAAACAATGGTAAAAAGATGAAATAAAGGCAAGGTTAGAGGGACAAATACATACTAATATAAAAAAAATTCATTGATGAGATAAATTTCCATCACAATTCAGTTAAAATGTTTCATCATCAACCTTCAGACTAGTTGAACACTTCATTTTGTGCTCAATTTTCTCACTATCATTCTCCAGTAAATGGTTTAAGCTTAAGCAAAGGTATCTAAAAATATATTCTGCATAAATGTACAGCAGTTAACATGTGAAGTGAAGAGATCCTACAATAAATGAGGGAAACATCTCACTGTTATGACACGAAAGAGAATCTTATTTTATACATATATTTATGATGATAAGGTATAAAAACTGGGCTCTTTATGGGTAAGGTGTTATAGTCAGTCAATCTAAACTTAACAAAATGTTCATTTATATAAATTATCAGAAAAGACGAGAGTAAGAGAGATAAATGAACTAAACGTCCAAATACAGTGAGAAGAAATTAACGGTGAATAGAGAGATGAATAAAAGATGGTAAAGAAAATCATTAACAGGAAAGTAGGAAGACCAAGACTGGAAAACATCAAGCATAGAGGTCAGTATAAGCATCCAGTGATCAGAGTCAAGAGTTAAAAAAAAATCTGTACATCAGTTTGGCTCCTAACTGGCTTCAAGATAGGTAATCAGTGTGGTGTTGATGCTATTTTGAACATTATTTTTTTGTGCTGTGGCTCCAGAGTTCCAGTTAAGGTGCATTCTTACATCTCCAGTTAAGAGGAAAATCCAACATACAAACTTTTGAGAAACCTGACCTTAGTTTTCCACTGATGAGGTGTCACGTGCTGGGAGGACAAGGGGTAGCTAGCTTAGGGTCTCCCAAAAGTTAAGTGGTCGATAACCAACATGTCTTATCGACAATGTCTCGGGATGAAGGTCAACTCTCCAGCATCAGTGGCTCCTAAACAAACTACAGTACCAGTGAATTACCTAGTTTAATGTAGCTCAATTTATTTATATTTATTATGTTGAAGCTCTTTGTCTCTCTATATTATCCTGTTATTAATAAGCATTAGATTCTAATCTCAACAGTATTAGATTTCACAGTGCGTGTAACCTTACAGGGTAGAGGATACAGTATCGGTAGAGGATATCTGTATATTGTATAACACATTTCACTTAATAATTACTAGTGCAATGATGAGTGATGAAAGGAAGACAGATTACATTTCTTGAGGTTATCAATTTTTCTACCAACCTCACAATTTTCCCAACTAAATGAGGTAGAAGAGGTGTACCAAACTTCACAAGATACTAAAATAAATCCAGTTATCCTCAATTTATATTTAGTCAATTTTAAATCCACAGTATAACAGCTACAGTAACACTACAAGTTGTTCCTGTATGAATTATTCTCACTGATATAAGTAAGAGCAGCATCTTGTATATTACCTGTGAGTGTTACACAAGATAACCAAATAGTTTATTACACTAATGTCTCTTGTAAGTCACCTGGTAAGAAACATGATGCAATTTCATTTCAGTTCAGTTTTAATCAGTAAAATCGCCATACAAGATTACACTGACACTTACTGAGGCATTATAAACTTGTTTGATGATTATACTGAATTGAAGCACACTGAACTTGCATCATGTGGCACCTATATATGATCAACCCTGGGTAATGGTATAACAAGAGAAAACTAGTAATTTTGTTTATATAAAAACATGATTGAAATACAGGTAACTTATTTTGAACATCAGTACCAACAAAAATTTCTAAATATCTTGAAGAAAATTAATAGTTTTGAAGAAATTGAAATACAACTGTATACAATGGCTTAGAAAACCTACAAGCCTTTTTTTCCATTAACAACAATGAATGATGAAATCCATTTATATCAAACATCAGTATCTACAAAAAAAAACCTTGGTGAAGAAAACAGTTTTCAAGGACATCTTTCATCCAAGCATGACCTTATGATTACATATTTCACCTAAGATTTGTGGATACAACATTCTCGGTGGCCTCCTCAGAAACCGTCTATTACAGTTATTACTTTGTCCTCCACCACCCAGATGTGTCTTGTGTGCAGCCAGGGAACCACAGACTACCCTACCTCTGTCAACTTATGGTCACCTGAGAGCAGCGTATGGGGGGAGAATGTGAGACTAATCTAACCTAACCTGAGTTCTAATAGGTTGGGCCACAATTTTACCTGATACAGCATGGTTTGGAAACAGAAATGTGCCATTCTACAAAACTGCTCTTCTCTCTACACCATGCTGTACAATTTGTGTAGTATATTGTACTGTAAAAAGACTATGAAAATATTAATACTTCTTTTGTAAGAGAGCAATTCACACAACCGACAGCAGTCTTCAGTACCGACCTTTGTTGTATATTATAAACAAATTCAGAATAAAGGGCTGAAGAACTGAGGTGTAACGAATTTACTGTGCTGAAGACAGACGGGAATTTTAAAAGATAACGAAAATAAGAGATGAGCTTGCTACTGGCAGGCTGGCCTGAGACTAAGAATGGTCAGCATTAATCATCAAACAGCCAAAAGAAACAACTCCTATCTAATACAACTGTAATCTTTCTAACATTTCCTTGAACAGTATACCGTACAATATCTGTAATTTTCATTGTTTTAGGTAGAATTTTAAAGCCAATCTGTCCCCTCCCCTTCAGTCAATCTTCCTATGTCCCCACCACATTGTGGGAATCATATATGGTTACTGGTTTGTTTGTGTCAGTAAATTTTTACATCTGTTTATTCACTTGAGAAAGGTTGTGTAGATGATAATGAAATTCAATGTGATATGATGCACATCATAATTATCTATACAGGGGGTCCCCGGGTTACTCATGAGTTCCGTTCCTGAGGATGTTCTTAAGTCAGAAATGTACGTAAGTCGGAACACATACCCTACGTCCTTTATATACTGTATCTCGAATCACTTAATTTAAGAGAGAAAAAGAAATTGAATGACAAAATACAGCAAAGGAAACTTAATAATTTAAGTTTAACACTTACATTGAAACCTGGGACTGGCTTCCAGATAGAGATGGGCATTTGTAGAAGTGACAGACTTTATTGGGATGGTTGAACTGAAAGTTTCTTCTTTTCATCATAAATCTCCCTGTAGCATCGTAGATATTCAGTAATACCTCTATGAATCTTGGTGAATCTTGCTGTGTCGGTATCTTGCTGTTTAAATTTAAACAATCCTTCTTCAATAAGCCTGAAACCAACTGCCATTTCTTTTGTAATGAATCCCTTTGGTTCTGGAGTTTCAGCTCCCTCTACATCCTCTGAAAAAATTTGCTTCTCCAGTTCAATCAGGTCCTCACTGCTTAATTCTACAGCATGAGACTCAAGCAACTGTGTGACATCATCCTCATGAATATCAAGCTGGAGTTGGTTCCCAAGGTTTACCACTGTCTGTGTCACTTCCCCAACATCATTTTCAAAGCCCTGGAATTGTGAACAACTGTGGGCAGTGTTTTTTTCCAAACATTTACCCTTACCTTGAACCAGTTAAACCAGGCCAAACTAGCAACAAAATCTTCCCCATCACTTTCACCACCATGTTTAGCCTTCAAGTCAGCATGCAAGCTTCTCGCTTTTTCCTGAATCAAGACTAGACTTAAAAGGCAAAACCCGTTGATCTTGATCTTCCACCCAAATTGCTAACAATCTTTCCATTTCAATTACCAATCCACTTCTTTGTTTTATTATCACAGTTGAGTGCATTGGTGTAGATCCTTTTTACATATTCAAGATTTTTCTATTAGTCTTTCAAAAATGTTCCGACCTTATATCGACTGAAGCCCAACACTTTACCAATGACTGAGGGAGTTTTGCTTTTTTCACAAAGTATAATTACATCAACTTTCACATCCATTGTAATTGTTTTCCTTTTCTTGGGTGCACTACTATCATTTGCATCAGGTTTGAAGTGAGGGGAAAGCGTACTGACGTTCCCTCAAGGCGCGTGGCTGGATGACGCATCACTACCCAGGAGCCACTCTGCCTCGTAAACTAGTTCTCGTAAGTTAATACCATGAACCAGTTGTACCTATGTCGGATCCTTAAAATAACTGACCTTATGGGACTTTGTTCGTATCGGAAGGTGTTCGTAAGTCGGGGACCCCCTGTATGGCATTGAGTTCAATAAAAAGCCTTTTCCCCACTATATTTAACAGAGTTACGACCTTGTCCAGTTTTTGTCTAAGAACTCCCAAGTTAGTTTTTTAATCTCTTTCTATTTCATCTTGTACTCTAATACACTTTAAGAGAATGTGTTATTGTGTAACGTTGATCCAGGTCATGTGAAGTCATAAAAATATTTTTCAAATATTCATAAATAAAATTTTGTGACTTTCATGGCCATCATGTGAACTTACTAAGAAATGGTAAATTCATTAATACAAGGGTTACTTCAGGTACCAGACAGGCAAATAGTGCTTTAGTAATTAGGTAAAGTTACAGAGATTCTAGAGGATCACTCCTTTATACTGTGTTATCCTGTTCAAAGTTGCTCATAGACCAGGTAAAACTTATTTCTCATACAGTTTGTATTTCTCAAAGATCTCTCAAAAAATACTTGAAATACTGAACAATGTTGAAAATCAACATGAAAAAGGAAGTGTGTAAAACCCAACTGAAAATAGCCCCCCACCCCAATTTATGCAAAAAATGGAGAGCAAGGAAAATGAAACTTCCACAGATGATGGCCACCATCCCTACAGCTAACTTAGATCAATACTAGCCGCCATTTAAGAGTTAATATTTAGCTAGCAAAAGGGATAAACCGGATTTATGGCCATGTTGTGGAAGAAGAGTACAGGACCACAGCAGAGTAAATGAAGGGAGAAGAATGTGTGTTGTGTGCACTTTCTCATGTTTCTGGTCACCCTGCATTAAGTGGGAAAAGGATCGATATAAAGCATTGTAAGTATTTTGTTCCTGTATTGCCCAAAACTAATTTATAGAAAGATTACTCAAGGTTTGTACTTTAATTGTGGGTTGACTTGTGACATGAACCCTTTTACCCAGCACCTGTCCTAAGATCATTATCATTATTGTGAATTTGTTTCTTTACGAGTGTAAACGGACATAAGTTTGTATCATTAGTTCTTCTGGGCACAAAAATGGTTTCCATATTCAGATAAACACCAATGTTGGAGGAAAGTGTTTTATGCTTTAAACATTTTCTTTACTGAGGTAGCATGAGCTTTGTGGTAACAGCACCAAATATTGTACAACAAAAATTCAAAATTGATCTGTACTGTACTAGAACACTGGAAGACAAGTTGTTCGTCCAACAAGGATGATTCACCTATTTACCGTATACAAGAAGTTTAAGAAGACTTAATCAAAACAAAAATTCAATCAGGAGAGTGCAAGAGGAAGACAACAAGTGATAGTACAAAACACTGTAGTCTGTAAGATCAAAAGAAACATTTTAACTACCCAAATAATGGTTTCTGTGCCATCCCAACATTTTTCCCCACTGGATGACAGACAAATAAGAAACAGGTAAGTCAAATGAACTAAAGGTACAGGTATTAACTGCTGGTGAGGGTCTCGAGTACAGTACTTCGGTGGAGCATAAAAATTTGTAAAGACCTGCCACATCTTATTACACTGTACTTGGGCCTTACCTAACACAGGTGAGAAAGCCATGTATTAATAGCTGGATGTCAAAACTCTTTGACGTCATAAAATGAGAACTGGATGACCAGCCACAGAACCAGAACCTGACTGAATGAATCAACACTCACCAGTACAGTACAAACAGGCCATAAACACAGTGCACTCAGAGATGGAATATACTGTATAATGTTATAGTATAGATGATGGATTATCTGTACCACCAACACTTGTGTAATTTTATTTGGTTTTGTACATAATTTATTATTTTATAAAGGTCTACAAATAACACAAGGAATTTCATGTACCCACATTCAGCAAAAAACTGACAAAACCAATGTTGAACTTGACAAAAGCCAACCATTTCTCTTCTCTCTGAGGCTCCAGGCCATTATCAAGGCTCAGTACACCATCAAGGGATATATGAAAATTATGAAACACAAATTCTATGGTGGGAGCAACCAGGAAGTACCACCAATAAACTGTGATGTGATGGTCTGGGTGATATCTGTTACACTCGTACTATACAATAATGATGAAGAATGTCAATTACCTTTATATGTTTGACTATGTACATAAAGTCTTAGTTCTGCCAAAGTACTACTTGACCAGAGTAAGAATGATGAGCATCTATATTATGTATTAAGGTGACACAAGGTGACTCTATGAAGGGTAGTTCATTACTTCACTGTGCAACGTATAGTATACATAGAGCTGGTGGAGGACACAATCACAACCATATAAAAAAGTCCTTGAGTTTTCAGTTTCTGCTATGAAGAAGCATTGAACAAACCCAGGTAAGTGCATGGGGACAGGTCTAGATTGGATTAGACAGGATGTAAAGGAAAATCATTTTGAAACTGAAATTCACACAAGTTTAATAGTCATTCCTATATGACAAGGTATAAAAATATTAACTTAAAATTCCCTATTTAGTACGCTGCCTCACACATCAACACAGGGTGGCCCATGCAGAAGTCTCCCCAAAACTGATGAAGTATTTGTAGTAATATGTCTCTATACTGTACTGTAAACCAATGGGAATTTAAAAATCAAACTATATCTCTAAATACGGATACTGTAAAAACATTTGGCATATTTTAATTATTTATATTCAAAATCCTGTCCTGAATAAGTATTGTAATAGTTTATTCATATAATACACCTCATTTTTGAGAAAGCTTGGTTTGTTTTGAACTATAAGATGTACTAGATCAAACATGCCTCCGTTAAACTTGAGCAATTCGTCCTAACTCTTGTTTATATATACTGTATATATTTCAACATTCTACAACATTAAGCCTAAATACTCTAGAGAATAGTAAAATATCAAAGATTGAAGCGGAGTATATAATTTTATCTTTGGTATTAACAATTCTTGCAAACAGTATTGTTACCAAAATGTTTATTATACAAAGTATGAACATAACATACTGTATTCACAACTGCTTATGCTTCCACAACACATTGAAATGAACTTGTTCATAAACTGACAAGTCACTTTAGTTAGTTAGAACAGTTATGACAATCTAATACATGACACTGATTGTGTTAACAGGTTGAATAATGAAAACTGTTCAATGTTCACACAAGATGAATTAAAGGTAAGGTAAGATAGCATGAGGTTAAGTAAATTAAGGATAGGGCTAGAGGTAAGGTTTGGTTTGAGATTAGGTAAAGTAAGATTAGATTAAGTGAGAGGTAAGTTCTGGTTAGGTTAAGTTTGGTTAGAGGTTCAGTTAGGTTATTTAATAAAGAAAGTAAGTGTTTTGAGAGTGAAAATGTGATGACACCACTTCCACACAGTAACACATATATCCCGTCAGACTCGTATGATTGGTACAGGTAATGAATAAGAATATGAATTGGCTGTACTGTATACTTTGTCATCCCCAGAACTAATGTCACCTGTCCTCTGGTTAAACATTTTACCTGTACAAAGATTAACATCTGGAAATGCTTCTGCACACAAAAATTTTATACATTTATCATTAGCACCATTACAGTAATGAGAAAAACACGAGTGGAGGAACGAACAGTGATCAAGCGGCCACATTAAGAGTTCAAACTTGGCACGAGGTGTTTTTTTTTAAGTAAGTGTGTGTGTGTGTGTAAAGAAGACATTTATAGTGTGTGTACGAGTCTTTAAATCATATTATTGTGCGTCTTTGAGTCAAAATATTAATGACATGCCGACTCTGAATCTTTGAGCTTAAAACTTACACAAATACTCAAGTGTGTTGTGAAGAAGTATAAATGTGCTGCCTTATGAACCCCTAATACGACCCTTTGATAAAATTTCTCTCTTTCTAGTGAAGGATGTGAGGTAGGCATGGGTAAGTAGGTCTATCTATCTGCCTATATCAGCTAAATCTTTCCCACCATAGAAAGAATTACACCATATATCTCAGCCTAGTCCTTCATACTATTATGTCCGTGAAATATATCTTTTGCGGTACTGTCTAACTCACTGCTGTGTACTGACCCCACACCAACAGAGTAGTACTCCTCCTGCTGCTCAAACACACATAGACACTCCTCCACTTATACACCTCCCTCTCACTTCTCCCCCAACTCCCACACACTCCTCCATTTATACACCTCCTTCTCACTCTCCCCTACTCTCACTTACACGCCTCCTGCTCACATAGACACCACTCTTCTCATTCGAACATACAGTATTCATATTCCCACTCAAACACACTCTTCTTCCTAGTCACTCACACTTCTCCTCACTCCTCTGATAACATATTCATTTAACAAATTTAAAGCTTTTGAAGATTCAACCTTTAAAAGCTAAATCCTGCAAATAATAAGACTTTGGCTTACTGTCTCTCTCTCCCAACAAACACTGTGAAAGACAAGAAGACATAACTACCAGGTGTCACTAATATGACTGAGACAATGATGAAGGCGGCTGTGGTGTCACTATGAGACTATTTACGATAAGGTCAAATTCACCGATATCCGTAGTCACACCTGTTCCCACACTTCTAGCCGAGTCTCTTCCATTAACTTTCAGTAATAGTTTAAGCAAATGAAGATGTATAACAGTTGGTTAAATATAAGCCTCTCCCTCTGTTATATACATCTCTGAGATATATATTACCGATACATTATTTAAAATGAAGTGTTAGGATGTACTTTTGACTAAACTTCTTAATGAAGACCACAGATGCCAACCTTTACACAACACCTCATGACTTTATTACCAAAGTAGAATAGCATATTTCTCACACTGATCAGCTCTGTGTATGTGAGAGAAAATAACATCCCTCTAACCCTCCCTGCCAAGGAACCAAACTCACATCACATGGAAAGAAGTCTTCACAGTGTTGTTAGCAGTATCATAGCTCACACTCGTTATACATTTTTGAGTGGGATCTCCATATTACGGATGTTGTGAAAATCAGACAAAGTACAATATTTTATACTCGGTCAACTCCTCTTAGAACTGAGATGACCACATAAGGAGGGGATCTAGGTGGGAGGATGAATTTGGACTCGGGTGTGCAAAGAAACATCTGTGACGCGAGAGCTATTTTTTTTATAGCATCTGTACCTTCACAAAGCACATCATTATGTTCAATTTCACTCATACAGTATTACCAACTCTATGGGAAAGCTAACCTTATGTCCAACTGTGCAGAAATTTCTTGTATAAATATTTCAGGTGCTGCCTCACATCAAGCAACATTTAAAGGTGTGAAGATAGTCAGTGGCTGAAATGATTAGGTAAGATTTTATATATTAACTCTCACATCCCAGAGATAACATGGTATACTGTACTGTATATATGGGATAAGTTAGCATTCAAATACAGTATTCATATCAGTTGTAGTTATATCCTGACAATACAATACTTGCTGATTGGCAACCTTTTATCAAACTCTTAATAAAGTACAGTATTATTAACCATCTTTATCGACAAAAAACCTTATTATAACTTGCTCAAGGTCCTCTACGACTTGTTAACTCTGCCTTAATGTCACTCTGGGTCATTTAACACAAAACTGTTGGTGGCTCACCTGAGGTAATACAATCATGACCATAAAGGTGAACAACATGTGGCTCTGGTTACTATAACTGTGGGCCAGGGAGGAGCTGCTCCTTATGTGGCACAATAACGCACTACTGTCACGTCCCAGGAGGTGAGAGTTTGATCCCCAGGTCTGGAGTACTGGTGGGGTTATATTTTTATGGTGCACACACACACACACACTGGTCACTCTGCTGTACTGCATCAACTTCGTGGTGTTGTCAACCTACACAACTGTAGATGACACATACCATGTAACAGTGAGTTCTTCTTGTGACGGCATTTTAATTTTCCATTTTTCATGTCTTCACATTAACCCCAACTTGCTGCCTGTCACCCATAATGTACTGTGGAAACTTCTACTTCTCATTTTTATTCCCCCGACTGTTAGGGATCAAGCATTTGGCGAGTATGGGTATAGTCATGTCTGTCTGTCAGTAATCATGACTATAAAATCATCTGCCAATTTTCTACGGCGATTTACACAACTTGGTACAAATGGATGGATGAATTGCCAAGAAGGTTCCTCTCGCATCATCCCTCCAATTCCGTAAGATCAACACAGAGGTTGTAACTCTCCAGTGAACCCATCCAGCTATAGGGCAGAGGGATGTGTCACCATCTGAAGACCTCCTTATAGTGTTATCTATTTATTTCTGCTCTCAAACACTTCTATATTAACAAAATACTGTCAATATCTTTTCATAATTTCAATACTTTATATCTAAAATTTTATTCAATATTTCTCATAGCAAATAATCATAACTTCTTCACTTCATCACAAATTACTACTATAAAACACTGATGATGACTCTAGTACTGTATGGTCTTTCTTGCCAAGGTGTGGAGTAGATGGAGTCAGGGTAACATGGACTGACTCCTCTACATTCACTGTCATTCATTCTTGTTGGCAGCCTCACCATCATAGAAACACCCAGCAATGTTTAACCTTTTCAAGTCACTTCCTATTTTACCTCTACCACTTTTATCCTCCGTAATACCAAGTGAGTTACATCGGCTCTCTTCATTGAATCAGAAATTTAGGATTACAAGTTTGATATAAGGAATTGTTAAGACAGTTGATACTTTTCTAAAACATGAAACTCAAACTCTTTAATCTAGTTGACATAATCTTCCATAGTGCACACACATCAAATTGGATTTAAAGTTGGTGTTTAGTTAAGCTATACTGTACAGAGTATCACTTCATGCTGGTAATAAATCATCATCTTTTTTACATGCTTTTGGATGCTACTTACAAAGTTAAACTAAACAACAACCAGGTACTGTACTGTATCATGGTGGGGGGGGGGGACAGAGGACACGTGTGCAGCTGAAGGAACAGTAAAACACCAGTTATAAGAAATATTTAAGCTTAGTGTCAAGGTTTATTAGGTTTAAAAATTAGGTTAGATGAATCAGGTTGAGTCAGGCTATAGTACAATAGTGTGTGTGCGCAACAATCCAGATCAGTTCAGGTTACATATACTGTACAGTACTACCTTAGAGCAGGCAAAGGATAATTTAGGGTATATAGTGCAATTAGAGAGGTGAGATTACTACTGTATATGGGTGTGAAGCATCGACACTGGAGCACAAGAGGAAGAAATTAATCAGAAGCAGGACGAATAACATGTTCAAGGGCATAATGAAGGTTGAATAAGATGCAAACGATAATAAACACAAATATTAGCCAGTGATGTGAAAATAATAGAGATAGCAGTCACGGCAAGGAGTTGATGAGGGTTTGCCAAGGTGGTATAGACATTTTGACAGTGTGGGGGGCATAGAAGGCTGATAAAAACAGTGTATACAAAGCTGAGGTATACGGCAGGAGGGAGAAAGGAAGGCCAAGAGTGAGACAGAAGTTTAGGATGATGGAAGAAGTGGAAGTGAAGAAGATGACAATAGACATCCAGGAAGCAACAGAACAAGTATAGATGAAAGAAGAGTACTACTGTAGGAGCTTTATGGGATCATCAGAGTACAGTAATTAGAAGGAGAGGATGAACTTAAGTGAAGGAAGACTCTGTGTTTGATGGAGAGTAACCTGGAGCAAGGCAGGAGAGGACTTACTATATACAGTATTAGGGAAAGGAAAAAAAAAGCATTGTTAGTTTATATACAGTATCCAAAAGCACATTAAAAAGAGGAAAATTCAACATGTACATAAGAGTTTAGTTTTACTTGAGGAGAGGAGGATGACGCCCACTCGCTAGAGAGGTCGTCAGGGTATGTGGACACAGAAAATATGACCCGTTGATAAATTAACAATAATGTTCTACTGTCCAGTCTTCAATCTGTACCACAATTAGTCACTGCACTCAGGATGGACACTCTGATGTACCAGATAAACAACACAAGTTTCGGTTTCTCGATTCTGGAAGGAAATAAATTTAACACAAGGAGACATAATAGTGTGTGTGTGTTCCAGTACATTAACATTATTAATCCCCACTTCCATAGGTTCAACTCCACACACTAAACCTTATAAGGAAAATAAGAAAAAAATATTAATAATTTACAATATATACATATATAAGTTAAATAGATAAAAGAATAGTCAAACTTATTAAATACAAAATATATTTTTCTGCAAACACATTATACATAAAACAACCTAGATAATGAATGTGTACATACAGTACTCTGTATTGAATGTAATCATCAACAGTGATCAATTAACTGCAAAAAAATACAGTTAGAATCAGTGACCAAACTGTTATGTCTCTTGTATCTAATGATTAGTCAAATAAGCACTAGTTCTTATATCCCCCAACCTAACCAAACCTTGCCATTATAAATGGGGCTAAGTGCTAATGGTTATGTTAGGGCCTACTATGAACTTGGCCAATTGGAACTACGACCCCCTGGCCTCCTCCTGTCAACATTACACCAGACTGCCTCAAATCTTTACCAAACTATTATATTATACATTCTACACATCTGACCATGACCTTGAAGAACAATAGCAAATTAATCATCTGTAAATCTCTCATCAAATATATATCTTGTATATCTCATCTGAACCTGTAAATGATGCAAGACAAAGCAACTTTTAATCAATGCAATCTTTACAACCTTCCTCAGCATCAAGTATCAAAAAACAACTAAATATTAATCTCGGTAAACGGGTGTGACTACAGGTCTGTGTTTTCTCTCAAGAATCTACATCAATAACAAGATAATTTAGACGGCCACCGCTGTCATCAATATAATGGTGATACCGTACCAGTGTCTCCACGTCCACAACATTTATCATAGTTGAGAACAAAATAATGTTCACCTGAATATTAGACACTCCAGCTTATTTCTCCCGATGATTATAAACACCTTAACACTACCTCGGGGTATTAGGTTAGGTTGAGTTATTGGAGATTAGGTTAAGTTAAGTTATGTTACGTTAGGTTAGATTATATAGGGTAATATTGGGTTATGTTATGTTAGGTTAGGTTAGTATTAGGGTGTTTAATCATCAGTTGAAATATATTATCTTCCATTACTCCGTTCCTCATCATTTACTGTGGTGAGACAACATCAACCACAGCAGCTGTATCACAGTCTTTACAGCCTTCCTTACATCAACAATGACTTACCTCCATTAAGCTGTTGTGCAGATGTCTTCTTACTTCTTCCTCTGTGTATTGGTTGTGTCATATTGTACACCAACATTTACCAGTTATTAATCCATCTTAAGCACAGGAAAAAATAATGTAATTATCTTAAATGCATCCACTCAACACACGTACACACAATCTAAAAAGTATCTTTATGGAAGGATCCAATAAATTTAAAAATGAACACCATGATTCCTGTTGTTTTGGTAGGGTTATGTTATATTTTCTCACACAAAATTATAAAGATACTTTTTAGAGCGATGGACACTTTACCTTCAACAAGCATCACACAACAGAATGAGCCCATCATCTCTTCATTTATTCTTGATGACATTATCCAGAAGACATCCCAATAGTCTGTAATTTGTACCTCAATAATGAATCTCACTTACACACAACATATTCATTCAACTCTTCACTATGATTTTAAGGCAGTCACAATTTACCCTCAGTCACAAATACAGTACACACTTCACAAACCCGTACAATTGCTTTAACTGAATAGCCTAACAAAACATCTTTTCCTCTCATACGTGCTCTGACTGTGTGGCCCCGGAGACCTAGCACATAAACAAAGTCTGTCGGACATTAACCTGGTCACCGTCTCGCCTTACTGTACGTCTCTTCAATTTTAATATTAGAAAAGTTACAATACTCTAATTTTTATATACTTTGATGAGGAAACAAGGGGTACTGTATCAATATAAAGGAAGATCAAGCCTCTTAGTTCCACAATTTTGGGCACCAACATGCAGGTAGTGAAGAAAACTTTATATTCAATATACTGCACTAGTGACACCAACACAAACATATGAAACGGGTAAGTTCGGCAAACCAGGCTCACCAACACGTACACGAGTAACGAACAACTGTAAATTGAAAAAACCAGAGTCAGCAACGTTTATCTTATGAAGAACTCCATATTTAACAAATGAGGGACAGACATCAACGTGTATCTTGTAAGCGACTGTAACTTCAATTAACCCGGGGAACAATTTTGTCGACAGTGAACAGTCATATGGTAAGCAAACTGTGGTAACCAAAACACTTGTCATGAACATTTAGATTTAGTAAAAAGGGGACAACATGCAGGGAGAAAACACTTGTAGGAGCAGCAAAACATGGGAACTAAACTGTGTGTGATGTAACAGACAGGCAATGAATCATTAAATTAGAAAGAGACTGAACTAGAGACAAACAAAAAACAAGGCTTAAGACATGAAGTAATCACACAGATATAGAGAAATATAGTCATGAAATTGCCCAAATTCTGGCACTTGAGCTGACTCTCCTGTGTGGGCGACTCCCAGCCTGTGATACTTGGTGGCTAACAAATATAATGCTAAAGAGTTGAGGTGGCAGCTTATGGGGCAAAAATCTTCTCCATTTATCATTTGTCATTATTTAGTAAAAGGTATGAACCCATTGAAAACATATAAGACACTGACTTATAAACACACTCTCTTGATATAAATTATAAATCTACCATTATGTAATGTCTTTAGGAATAATTCACTGGCAAAGTATGGAACAGCAAGCTTTCAAAAATATTTACACAAGTCCTAGTAACCCAACAAAATGTCTTATTTATTACAAGTAATTTAGATACAGAGAATATATACATATCAACTTTATTGCAATTTTGTTTTGCAAATAATAATTATTAGTGGCTAAATTCTGTTCCGGTAACAGCGTGCTGTAGTCTTTATAGTTCTCTGTAGCTGCCAATTTATCTAAAGTTCACCACATTTCCCCGATAATAAACTTTCAGTTGTTGCCGTGTGTATCCTTGGTAAACTCGCAAGGATGTTAAACAGTGTTATCCAGGTACAAGGAATTAACTTTCAGTGGATACTTATGTAAAACTCCATATTTACATTTTTTACACACTTCATACATATCAAAGTTGCCCTCATGGCTTACTTCACTAAATAGAAAATATCAATACCTGAAATGCTACATACAAAGCTACCATTACTTGAAGTATTTCAGTCCCGTTACTAATAGAAACTTCTCGATAAACAGTTCTGAATCGAGGACAGCTATGTGAGCAGCTCTGCCAATGAGTGAGTTGGCAGTTGAGGGCAGAGCGTGGTGGATGTCATACCGAACAAGGGTCACAGACGGAGAGCTGATGATCGGTTGCAGTAAATTAGACACCATCTCTCGGTACGCAGAACCTAAAAATGTAAACAGTAATTATATGTTGAAAATATAAATCATTATATAACATACACACATTCAGGAAATTATTGAATGTGATGTTTACCCCTTGTTACTTATGTCAATAGATGTAGACTACAGAACACAGCCAAGTTATCACTACAGTATAAAGATGTAGACACACCAAATTTCATATCAGGTTATTGAACATGAGTAAATATTTATCAAACTCAGCCTAAAAGTCAAGGACAGATCTGTATATGAAACTCTTTAATGACCTCCAGAATTTTACTTAATTTCTTGAACAAAAGCATTAGGTATGTATGTATGTATGTATCAACAGGCATAAGATCACTGTGATAAGTTCCCTATTGTACAGCCATTAACCATTCACAATCTCTCACCTGTGTGATTTTATATTGAGGATACTTTATTACTTACTGACGTCCATCCCTCACCTGTGCCCCACCAGAGTGCCTCATGCAGGTGGATAAGCATAATGTCTCCAGAGAAAGTTAGTTTACTCCTGACCTGAGGAGCACTACACAAAGATACTCTACCACAGGTTCTGATGCACTTTTTTTTATCTAATTCTAACACAAGAGGTAACGTTAAATATAGACAAATAAAATTAACTTTCCTGAAATGATACTGTATGGTACTTTATCATTAAGTCATCATCATTACTATTAGTGGAGAGTCAGTAAAGAGTGAATTAAAAAACTTACAATATCTGACCCTTAAATCAAAACAAAGAAAAGTCGTCATAATGTGTGTTCAGGTTAAACGTCCCCCAACGTCGTCTTACCCATAACAGAGGCGTCTTTGATGGCTTGTCGGCAGAGCTCAATCCTAGCAGAATGCAGAGGAACGTATCTGTCCTGTGACGACCCACACAGCAAAACGTTACGGAAGTGGTGAAGTTGCGACCGCTGCCGGGACACAACGATCATTAGATAGAAGTTAATTATGAGCACAAGCACACACGCACGCACGCACACATGCACACACACACACTCATCAAGAACGAACTCTAAGTGTTCACCACCTGAGAGAGTCTGTACATGAAAGTCTGGCGGATGTCCACACGATCCTTCAGAGACAACTGTAGTAACGATCCTGACTTCTTCCATTTCTGCATAAACCACATCCCTGAGAGAAACACATTGAGGTTCACGTTAATCATATACCTTTATCTAGTCTTATAACCTAACCTGACTTGACTTGACTTGACCTAAATCCTGTATTATTTATTGATTTTATATCCAATATTAAGTCTCCCTGAATAAAAGATGGAGATACCTAAATTAGCAGTCACAGTGAGATTATTAGTAAAAATAATTAGACTCAGCGTATTGAGTTTGTGTCTATGTACTGTACTGTAGTGTATTAGTTAAGTCTGTACATCATGTGTTAACTTCATATGAGTTTATCTTCATTATCACTTGTCAGCTTCTTAACTCTGTGACTATTATTACACTGACCTTTCTACATCTGCAATATTCCATCAGTTTAAGTTCTCATCAATGTCAACACTACTTGTCACAAACGCCTCCTGAGTTCCATCAAACTTAACAATATTGCAGTGCTGTTGAATGACTACTTACAACACTGGATGACATTAGTGCAGTTACAGTCACTCACCCATATTAACGAGTCCACTGTTGTTGTATAGAGTGCCGAGGTGCGGTCCAGACAAGGAGAGGAATGTGTGAAGTCTTGGCAGGAAGGGCTTCATGTGTGGGTGTGACACTGCCCCTCGGATGATAATGTTGCCCAGGGAGTGACCCACAAATGAAATGCGCTTAGGGTTCAGGTTATAAGCTTCAATGTGATACAAAATTTCAGATACTAAACGCTCAGTCAGAGTTTCAAAATTTGAGAACGTATCCCCCTGTGGATGACAAAATGAATATAAATAATATATTCTATGTAATATCTACTAAATACTTATTCAATAATCACTACGAACCTGAACAGCAAAAAGAAAAACACACCAAAATATATATTTCCAGTAGTATGACTCAAGAACCATGATGAACTGTAAAGCATTAGCCAAGAACTCACTTGATTTCGCTCTGACATTAGAAAATCGAGATTAGCTCCGGGCAAGCCTATCTCAAGATAGGTTTTAATGAGCCTGAGATCAGCAGAGTTGCCATCAAGGCCATGAACACAGACAATGAGGTGGAGACCATCTGGCGACAGCACTCGGCAGTCGTCACTCACATGGAAGTACGGAACAGTTGATGCCAGACCTGAGAAATCACTGAAGAAGCAAAAAGAGATTACATTACAATCTTTATAAGAACTTAATAATCTTAGAAAGAAACTCCCATACACTGTGTCATCACTTTACCTTCCATAACTTCTATCAGTTGGAATATATTCTCTTTCTAACCATATAAATGTGAAATATAAATCAGTTCTTCCTGCAAGTCCTATGAATCATCCATGCTCTGTTAACAAACCATAATGTGTGGCAGCCAGTGACCAAGCCAACCATACCTATAGAGAAGGCCTTGGAAGTTTATTTGTTGCTTAAACTCCTCTTTGGCTTTAACAAAGGCCAGTGTGTCTGCCACTGGGGGGTGAAGCCTGGGAGGGAGGAGGTCTGGGGGATCCTCAATACGACCACGCTCTTTCCTCAGCTCTGATGGACACGTACACTTGGGCTCACTTCTGTCCCTACAAGACACAAGTATATACTTTATGTAGAGATGTGAAAAAAAGAATATGACTGATGTAAGAGATGTGTCCTTGTCTTAAACACATGAGAACACAACAGTCAGGTCACAGGTAAGATGTATACAGTACTATACTAAAGCCTACGATGTATGAATAATATAAGTACAGTATACAATACACACACACACACCTGAGTATATATAAAACAAAGGAACAAATATATACCATATCTAAGTCATCTGAATATTGAAATACAGTAGTTGCACAAGGCAACAAACAGACTGACTTCACTTGACAGTGCATAAAATAATCTAAAGTGTTTACAGTTTCTGATTGAAACACTGAACTGAACAGACAAAGGCTCAACAACATTTAATTACCTTGGTGAAGGAGGTCTAGGAGGTGGAGGAATGTCTGACAAACTGTCATCAAACCCGTCATTCACGATGTCTGGTTTAACTTTTACATCAGAATTAAGTTTTGAGTGCTCCTCTGCCTTCCTCGCTGCCTCCTGTAGTAATCGTGACTCATTTAAAGCTTCTTTTTTTGCAGCACTCTGAGCAGCCTTAAACAGTTCTCGCTGAGCTTCTCTGTGAGCCCATACACTGGCCCCTTGCTGCTCTAAAAATAGTTCCAGCAATGTACACTTGCTCTCAGACAAATGTGTAGGTGGCTCAGATTTTACTGACAGGGGATCAGATTTCCTTTGTTGTTTTGAATCTTTGTCACGCGAGCCGTGATATTCCTTAAACGAATCACTTTTATCTATATTTGGGGGAGGAGCTGACTGAGTGCGCACACGTTCTGTCCCATTAATGTGCTGCTGGTTCAGTTTTGTGGGGGTCGGCTCAGATAACCGATCGGGAGTACCGGCAGTTTTTCTACTTGGTCCTCTTTTCTCTGGCCTTCCCGGACCAGATGTGGACTGATGTCTTCTTCTCATAGATGGCAGAGAGTTGAATTTATCATGTCCGTGTCCCGCTTTCCTCGTCGTCCTCTTGACGTCATTTAAGACTTCACTGACGCTCTCGTACACATTCGTCATGTCCTCTAATTCAAACTCCCCGCTATGTCTGGGCGTGACGGTCCGTGAACTGCCATGACTACGTTCACTCTTATATCCGTCATCTCTCTGGACTTTACCGGTTTCTGTTTTAGGACTCTCACTCCTGGGCCTGTCTTTATAGCCACCAATTGCGTGTTTAGTCGCTCTGTCTTCTCTTGGTAACCTTCCGGTGGTGGCAAATCCTCCCCTTCTTAAGGCTTCTCGAAGACCCGGTAATGGATCCTGGAACTCCTTAGGCGGCGGCGGCAGAGGGACCTCCTCGTAAACGTGAGGATCCGGCCGATTAGTGTTGTTGACTTTCTGTAAGGACTGGGACTTTTTCACTTCCTTTTTGTGAGGACTCTTTCTCTGCTTCATCTGCAGTTGGTCATTTGAAGCCGACCTCTGCGTGGCCTCCTTCCCGCTGGTCTTGTGGCCTTGAGTCCGAGATTCAGACCGACTTGTCCTGTGATTTGCTGGACTTCTTGATCCTTGTTTGTTTTTGTACTTGACTCCTGGCACTGGCTTAGTGGGTGCTTCATTAACGGGCGTCTTCGGTGTTTGTGGTCCGTTGACTTTTGCCCCGTTGCTCTTTACCCCGTTGCTCTTTCCCCCGTTGCTCTTTCCTCCGTTGCTCTTTCCGCCATTATTTTTTGTTCGATTAGTTTTTGTACCGTTACCTTTTGATCCACTGGACTTTGCAGCATTGTTTTTAGCTCCATTGGAATTTGAACCATTACTGCTGACTCCATTGCTCTTGAACTGGGCCGTGGAGGCTGCAGAGAGCATATCTTTGATGGGAAATTGTTTAATGTCTAAATCAGGACTAATCTGACCACTTGATGAGCCTGAGCTCTGTCGACTAGAATTTGAAACCCAACCACTCTGTTCTGACGTAATATCACTATTAGAGGAAGAGTCCTGCTGGAGAATCAATGGTTTAGGAGTGTCTGGCGTTTTCTTAACCGGCGACGTCATTTTCTTATTTATGTTCACCGGTTCGACCTTTTCTCCTCCAATCTGTAACAATGTGGAATCTGACGCAGAGACGAGGCCAACCTCGACATTGGAAAGGATTGGAGGAGTGCGGTCTAATCTCATTGGTCTTGGTGGAGGCGGTATCGGTCCTTTACGGTTTATCTCCGACGAGGATTCGGAGTCCGTGGCCAAAAGGTCCGGCATGGACTCGGTGATCCCCGGAGAAGCAGCATTTGCCACTTCCCACAAGAAGGAGGGCATGGACAAGGTACTCTGGGAATGTCTCATGAGTTGATCTCCTCCGCCCCCACTGCCGGGTGTGTGCGCACCCAGGTTGTACGGCATACTCAGTGATGGTTCCAGACGACGGTATTTGAGGAGAACCACATTTTCTGCGATGGCATTGGCTTGGGCCCTCTTGCTCTTGTGATGATTACTCGAGCTACTTGACCTCAGCTGCTGGGCTCGCTGTATAAGTTTTAATTTAAATTTTGCTCTCTTATAAGCTGAACCTTGATTGGCTGGAAGCATTAACTCTAATTTCAAGTTATTTTTCAACTTTTCCTTTAAACTGTTCCTGGGCATTGGAAGTTTGTGGGTTTTAGGTGGAATAGGTGGCTTGAAATCCTTTGGCATCTTGTCTGTCCGTGGAGGCAAAGGAGGTTTATCTTCAGTGTCTGACTCCTCCTTATTCACTGAACCTTTGGAACCTTTGGAACCTTTTGATCCTTTAGAAGTCTTGGATCCCAGTGTCTTCTCATCACTCTCAGACCCACTACCGAGCGTGTGTTTACTGCTGCCGCTACCGCCGCTGTGGACCGAGGACACCCGTGAGTCGTTGCTGCGTGACCGTCCCTCGCCAGTTTTTGCTCGTGCCTTAAATGTTCCTTTAGAGTCTTTAGTTGGTACAGTTTCCTTCTCTGCCACATAGTTCTGAACAGCAGCCTTGACACCAATCACTTGTGTTTTACTATTTTTTGCTAAGAATTTTGAGGACTTCGCTTCATTGTTACTTGTGCCACGCGATTCATATCCACTTGTACTCGCTGCCTTTGAGTCAAATATAGTACTGGTGAGGGACTTGTTATCGTGGCTGGTGAGAGACTTTGAGTCATGGTTGGCTCCTGCTTTAGAGTCCAGCTGTGAGAGGACCGTGATGTGTTCTATTGCTGAGGATTTTAGTCCGTTGCGAATCTGTGGCTCCGGTCTGGTGACGTCAGGAGGGATCACTTCTCTCTTCCCATTCTCTGCATCGAGTTGGTCCATTGCCAGCTGAATGTCTGTTGCACTCAGGTAATTTTCTGCAATGAAAAACTAGTGTCAACAAAAACCCTTGTGTGTCATCAGAGCCAACAATAAACAACATGCTCTTTACATCCATCATAACCACAAGTTATTTATGATAACATTTCTATGTCTAACTATTAAGTACAGTAAACTGTACTACATCCCAAACACAATAGACAAGAAGAGTTGCACCAAAACTTGCAAAAACTAGAAATTTAGTATGTAAAACATAGATGTTTCACTTTAAAAGTTGATTATAAAGCTAAAGCACCAAAAACAAGCTACACACACACACACACAAAGACTGACTAGAAATTAAAGGTAGATCACAAGAACCTACTGTACATGCATTGCTGTGGTACTCATCAACACATATACTGTACGATACACATGTCAAGTTTCAAAACTGTGTGTAGCTAATTTCATTTGAGAAAAGTCAGATTATAGAAGCAAATGGCTGGCTGGAGGGAGAATGGTACCATTACACAAATGTCCCTTTCTAAACCTGTGATGGGGCATGATCATCCACGTCATTCCCCTGGGAGAGGTGGAGTGAGAAAGTATCTATTACGGTAACTTGACACACATATATTGTAGACGCATAACAGTAACAACCTTACATCATCATCACAACTGATCATCCATAAGCCTTCTAAAAGTTATCAACTATTTCTGGCCCCTTAAGCTAAATTATTAATAAAACTCAATACTATACACTTATTGAACAGACTGACTCACAACACTGGTACAAGCTGGCCAGTCATGCATCATTAATTCATAATACAAAAAATAAACTACATGCTCTACCTTCAGAACACTTTAACTGCAAATCAAAATAGATCCTAAAAGTTTGACTAATATAACATAACCTATGCATTCCTATTCAAAAATCTTAGCTGAAACAATAAAATACACGATGATGATGATGTAGAAAACGTGCGCACACACAGAAAGACACTTAACAGGCAGAAACTAATATTGTAAATGTTCTACTGACTTACTTCAGTAAAATGACGGGTACCATTTTTACCTGACTTTCGGCTCACAATTGATCTACGACGGGCAAATTCTGCCACATGTTGGTACTGGTCCTCAAAGATCACGGGTAGAGTTGACACATCACCGTCCATCTGGGGAATAATAATGTTTGAGTTTAAAGGTGATAATGTAAAAATAAATCCCCCCCCCCCAGCTCGAGATAACACTTCCATACTGAGTCTTATATAGAGTCTTATGATTCACATCCAAACAGTACCATCAACTCAGCTATTTCCATATACACCTTAACGTTTACACTTTGTACTTTTTTTTCCTTTGCCAACTTTGTGATTCACTCCATCGTCCATCATTCATATTTTCATCCCCTGATGTTTGTTCACTCATAATTAACTTTTCCCCACTACACACTCAATCAATCTCATTCACCACAATACACAAATTTTCTTCAGAACTGGTCACCACAGCTGTGCCATCTGTAAACATCAACTGACTTTCTTTTCATTTGTACCTCATATAATCTGTCAGTCATCCTGCTCTCCTCTCTATCACACTTCATATCACCTTTCTTTACCCCATTCATGATTAGTCTAAAGAACCACGACATGTTGACGGTGGGCAGGAACCTCACCTCGATGCACTCAATAGCAAGTGGTGGCATTAGGTTGTAGTAACGAGAACGTCTCACAGCCTCCGATACTGCCACATAGTTTTGGTAGTTGCTGTCATAGCACCCACTCGCTGACGGTCGTGGATTGTCTATGACAAAGAATGCCTCGGCAAATCTTTTCACCTGGAACAATTATAAACTTAGACAGGTTATCAAAGATACTCTAATCTCCTTAATAAAATTAAAAATTCTAAAAAATGAACTCCCCTCCCCTCAAAAATAAATAAATAAATAATAATAATAATAATAATAATAATAATAATAATAATAATAATAATAGTAATAGTAATAATACAGTAATAAAAATTATAATAATAATAATGCCAAGACACAAGTGAGGGCAGCAGCAGCAGGACTCACCCGCTGCATGTGGTGCTGCCTTGCCAGATGTTGTCTCACAGGTTCTGAACTCATGACCACACTGAGGAAGTGCTGCCATAGTAGGATGTTCTCCGCACACAGCTGAGCTATGTCACTGTTAGCTGCCACTAGGAAATCTTCCTCACAATCAACAGTCTGTAAATATATACATTCTTTACTGACTCAAGAAGCACAAGACACCTATAACATAATCCCTGGGTCACCATGCGGCCAAGCTGACACATGCAGATGTGACAAATCAGTTAAATGAAGTTATTAAAAGATGTGATAAGGAAAGGATTAATTTTAAGAGGTAGACTAATGGGTGTTTTAGTACCACATGCAATGACAACACTGACTCTATTTAATTAATTACTCAGCTAACACACAAATGTGTTCTTCATAATAGTTAACTGTAATAATTATAATAATGGCATCTCTGCTAACAGTCTCAAGCAATAACCAGATGACCTTCCTGTCCTTAGCTGTTATAGCTTTGAATAAATCAATTAACAGTTTCATAAATATCAATAAGCTATATCCCAGGTAATGTTCAACCTCTGTACTCATACTGTACAGTACAGTGGTCCCTCGGTTAACAAGCGCCTCGGTTAACGAGTTACCTTCCATAAGATTCTTAACTTCGGTTAACGAGCAATACCTCGATTAACGAGTTTCTTACGAGCTGACCTCCACATGTTTTAGCTTGCATTTGGCGGTCCACCAGTTGTAGTATTAGTCCGCCAATACAGTTATCGGTTCTAGGGCTTAAATTCCTTACCCTTTTAGTAAATATCAAGAAGTTTATACTATTCAATCATTTTACAAGTTTAATATTAAATTTTTTAGTCATTTTAACAATTATTGAACATAATTGAAGGTAGGGTCACTAGTTTGTGGCACGCCATCCAGCCTGCCAATACAGCATACAGGCGTCAATCTTTGTGTCTTTTCATTGGAGGTAACATCTTGCTTGAGACTCTCTTCAACTAAACGCTTTTTTTCTGTGTTTGCAAGCAATTTATTGGTCATTTTCAAATTTATTTTACATATTGACAATATATAATGCAGTGCAGTGTTGATTTAAAGAAAATAATCTTGAATTACACCAAGAGAACTAAAATTTTATGGGTGAAATGGTGCCATGGGGTGACTTCTCTTCCACCCCAATGCTTTCTCTTCTCCTCCACCCTCCACCCCCATTCTAATTCCCATCATCATCATCATCATCATCCAGGAGCCTTCTACATACACACGTCAAAGTAAGTGTACTTTTCTACCTTTTTTGTTGAATTTAGGCAATTTTCGGTGAGTTGGAACCAATTACCCAAAAACCCATTGAAACAATGGTTTCGGTTAACGAGTTTTTCGGTTAACGAGCAACCTTCTAGAACGGATTGTGCTCGTTAACCGAGGGACCACTGTACTATAAAAAATGAAGCGAATACAAACACACAGCTTACAATAAAACAGCCAAATATAATCAATTAAATATAACAAAAAAATATGTTCATTCATTTAAGGATGGAAGGCATAATAGCTGATAGCATTCAAAGTTCCAAGAAACAAATTGCTGAGGTTCAGAACAAAACATTAACAGCAAAAACCTGCATCATTCACACAACCTGAGGGAACAACTCAACCAGACAATGGGCGTCAAGAACCCAGAGGTAGAAAAATATGCCGACTTACTTAGACTGAAAGAGACGCGGTATTCTCCATGAACAAACAATATAACTAAAACACAGGTGCAAGGAATCAAAAACTGGAAGTCAGATACCTGTACAGCAACAAAATATGAAAAATCAAAGAGACGGATGTCCCATTTTATTATTATATTTACTCCTCCTCTACCTCTGTGTAGAGTGGCCCATGAGGTGAAGTGATCTCAGTGAAGGGGGATAAAATAGGGAAAGCGATGTAACGTGTTTAGAAAACGTGACAAGACAGAACTAAAACAAAAAGTAAAAATATCCACACACACACACACACACGCACGCACGCACTCTTACTCGTATCCCCCAAATTGCACACAGAGTATAGAGAACGAATTTTAACCACCAACACAAACTCAATGTGCATCAAAAGAGAGCTTGGGACATGGCCATAAGTAAACCACAGGGCCATGGCCAGCAGCCCTCCAACATGATGGCACCAAGACTGATCAATAAGACACAAGGACCTCATCATCAGCATAGTGCAAAGTTGATAATATTATACGATCTTCAAAATTATTTGTATATATTAGATGTCTCAAAACAAGCAATTTCACAAACCCTCAACTTAAGTTTTGTGTGAGACAGTGATTATACACCTGTACAGCTACAAAACCAATCTCAAACCTCAATTAACACTTGTATCTTATTTTGGGAGTCTGTGTAAATTTCACGACAGATCAACAGTTGGACCGACCAGCTGAAGACAGTTCATTAATGGTATAACTATCATGTTGTGTGGAAGAATGTGGACTTGAACGACACATACATATACTATACACATCAGGTAATAATACACAAACATACAGATATAACTGAAAATAAAAAAAAATAAAAAACATTCATTCACACTAAAGACAAACCTGATATTTAACTCTTCATCTCTAAAACTTCTAATATGATCACTGTCTAACCACAACCCAAACTCCAGTACAGAACACCATACTGGGAGGTACAGCACAGTACTCCATCAACTGGTCGAGCTTATCAAGTAGCCACTATTCCGCCAGCTCCTTTAATGACAACAACACTACTCGCCTCCATTCACTCAGACCTTCATGCATATTATCATTAAGAAGTTATAATTTAACATTCAAACTTATTCCAATCTGTAAAGAAGCATTTGTGACAAGAGGGAGAGAGGTTGAGTACCACAATGCACACAGTGAGTTAGTTTATTTGGAAACTTTGTACATACGTTACAGAGCAAACAGAGAAACACATTACATACCCGTTGTTCTTCCCCGTAAGTACAGTATAGTCTACCTGACACTTGAGAGGTCATAGTTAACATTCAAAGAAAACAACATGCAACAGTAAGAAAAAGGAGGTTGGAGATGTGGAGAAGTTGACACACCACCACATACTACAACGCATCTCAAGCCAACCTCTGGAGGAGAAATTTACCCGTGTCCTTTCATTAAGCCGGCGATCAAAACGTGGCGTTTGTCCTCCAATGAGGGTGAAGTAGCACTCCTGGGAGCATGCAATGACATTAGTATCAACAATAAGACTCAACCGTTGCTACTAAGGTTACTCTGTCATCCTCACTCTTATTACTAACCTACAGCAAATAACCCATGCATAATTCTCATAAATAACCATTAATCACACCCTTCTATACATTTTTATTTTTTCCTGTCTGATCGTATGGCAGGGAGAGGCATGCTAAGGCTGTCTAGAACCTTTCACAACTATTGTTCTCCCATCATCAAAGACTCACACCTACAATAACACTGAATAAGTGAGCCTGACTATAATATTAGTGAAGGTGTTATAATTTACTCGCACTCTGGTATATACAGTAATAATCTATATAATGAATTAGGGTAGATAAAGTAAAGTTAGAGATAATTAAAGGAAACAAATGATAAAACAGTCTATGTTGCTCTCGACTATGGCCGTCCTTGAAAGAATGGGATTGATCTATTAGCTGCTTGGGCAGTCGGTCATGTCTGTGAACCTGCACCAGTGTTGATCAACTCTGGTCTTAAATGAGCTAACACTCAGTGCCATTACAGCTACAAATAAATTTACCCTGATAATTTTCTGAACTTGTGCTTTCTAAACAAGTGGGGGCAAGCATCTGCTAGTTCCAGGTACAAATATTCTATTAAGTAATGTTCTCTGAGGTGTTTATAAACTTCAATTAAATCATCCCTTGCCTGTCTATAGTATGAGCTAAGCAATTACAGGCGTTCTAATCTCTCCGGGTACCTGAGGTGCCTTATGAGTACCTGTGAGTCAACTGGCATCATTATGAGCACCTGTAAGAGGCCGAGAAAGATCAGAGCCAACAGTCGTGAGGTGAAACACAAAGAAACACTAAAAACCATCAGTGTAATGGCTTATCCTTTAACCTGTGATCATGACTGATCTGTGACTTTGACCTTAGACCTGTGTACTATAAAACTTAATTGAAACTCCCTAAGTTGACCCTAAGGTATTGTGTGTGGTCATAATACAAAAGGAGGGAGACAGAAGAACTATAACTGAGAGACAGAGGACAAGAAAATTAAACATATAAACAACATAATAATCCTACAATGAGAGAGAGAAAGTTGTCCCTCTGGCGTGACTCTACTTCCATGGCCGACCAAGATCATCCTTCACCCCTCATAGAATTCTTTGTGATATACTTAAAAGTAGTGCACTGATATTATATACTGTACAATAATCTATATATACTGAGGATGTACCATTAAGATCACACATTCTATATATCTATGCACTGAGGACTACAACATAACAAGTGATCTGTTATTATATCGATCCTCTACAAACACAGCTACGTATTCTCTAAAAATCCCTTTATTAATAACAAGCAAGATAAAACAATACAGAAAAATGGGGATACTCTTAAGAAGTCATAGTCTTATTTCCCCTGACAAGACCACTGCAAGATGTATGACAGTGGTTGCTGGGTGAATGAGGTAAACATTAGCTCAGTCTTAAGGAATAAGTCATTCTGCAATCAAGTTCTAAGAAGAAAAAGAGTCAAATAAAAATTGTGTTCAGTATTAAATCTTGAAGATTTTGGATTATTTCAACAATCATGAATATTTGGTGGTACTGTAGCCCAAAATCCCCCATAAATGTTAAATTCCAAAAAATTTAAGTCCAAAACCGTGAGTTTACTGTTTCTTAACAATTTTCTGAATATGTACTGTACAATACAACCAGAGTTATGACAGCAATACAGGATTCTTTCTGTGTTCTCATCTCATCACTTTTCAGCTTCATCATAAAAATGTTGGAAGAAATAAAATTAATAAACTATTACTCAAATTGCATACTGTACAGTACAGTACTGTAATTTATCTCACCTTTGCCACATCAGATAAATTATCAACCTTTAGTCTTGTTGGTTGTGGCGTAGGAGGAGTGGTTGAGGCAGCACCTGCGTTGCCACTGCTGGCGACCCAAGGCGGCAAGATGGCCATGATGGTCTCCAGCTGGGCACCCAGAGCAGTGTGAGCTGCCAGCAGGAGGGTGCAGATGGTGCGGTGGGTGGCTCGTGCCTGAGCCAGACGCCAGGAAGCGCTGCTGCTGCCTCCTCCGCCCCCACACTTGATGGTGTTGTTCTGGTAACAAGGAAACAATGCACATGTACAACAGATTCTCATGGCTCCATTCTATTGGGATGTTCATTATATTTCTAGGGACAAAATCCTTTGCCTGTGTTGTGTTTCTGATCCACTAGTGTTTATGTCTAGGCTAAGGCACCAGCTTTATCTTCACTAATGAATCACAATGCAATGAGCCAAATCACAAGCTGAGGTGCCATATTCTTAAGCTGTCATCCTAGTGATCTCTCTCTCTCTCTACTGTTCTTTATAAATAAATGAACTGAATTTGGAAACAAGATTTTTATCCTCAAACATGGTATTTTAACCACTATGTTAAACATCATATTGATATGCGCTAATCCTGCTAAATCCATGACTATTTGTTTTTACAGGAATGTTTAGTGAAAACTATAATTATTTGGGGTTTTTAAGTGAATATTAATTAAGGAACATTAGAATGTAACCATTTTCACCATAGTTGCAATGTACAACCCACAAGGTCTGCAACAACGGTACCTTGTGGGATGGCCAAGAACTATACTGTATATATTAAGCATTTTCATTTAAAGAGAAAAACAAATTATTCCAAAAACAAAAACAAAAAGTTTAGAAAATTCAAGAAAAATTATACGTACAGACCCAAGGCAACTTCTCTATAAGTAAACTGTCTCTCACTCAACCCTCTACCATAATAACTTCTAGTTATCCTCACCAACACTTTATATACAGTATTACTAAAAATTTAGTACAATCATTTAGAAGAGAAGCAGATGCTAAATGCCGGGAAAACATTAAATAAGAAGCATGAAAAGAAAGCATAAAAAGCTATTTCATGAAGCATTTGTGATATATATATATATATATATATATATATATATATATATATATATATATATATATATATATATATATATATATATATATATATATATATATATATATATATATATATATATATATATATAATGTATGTATGCCAAAGCAGTTAAAAAGAAGGAGCCTCAGCTAGCCAATGAAAGGAGAGTCTGTGTTGGTCTTCATTCCAGCTGTCTTAAGCTGAATGAAGGAAGGGATTGAAAAGAGTGAAAAAAGGTGCATTAACAAACTGCCTTCATCATCACATTATAATCCTCCTGCTTTATCCTTCACAGTATAAATGAGGGGCACTGCTCCTACCAAGAAGCTCACAGTGGCCAGTCTCCAGCACAAACCTCCATCTAACACCAATAAGCCACTTTCACTGACTTCCTTAGCTCAATAAGAAACTATTAATCATCAAATCTCTTCTACTTAAATCAATGATATACGAATCACACAGCAAGTTGGCCTTAGCATATTAAAATTTACATGTTTACTGGGATCTAAACTAACTATCTACTAACAATTTCTGAACAGTGCCACACAACTCCAGCCTCCTGCCACTATATACTACACGAGGTTATGCCAAGAGCAACAGTAAAACAATGGGTGTGTGTTATGAGGTGTCATAGTTATAAGATACAGAGAAAATTCTCATCTTGTCAACATACTATCCCCCACAGGATTCCTTTTCGGGGTTTCATAGGCGGTGGACTGAGTGCAGGAAACTGACTTATGTCTAGAACCTGCAGGCCATTCCGTAAGGCTGAGTTCTTGTCAACAGAAGCAACAATGATGTTGTAGTGTATGAAAAAAAAAGTCTGAGGTATAGAATACTGGTTGCAGAGTCAAATGGACCCAAGTCCTACTAAATCCCAACCTAACCTAACCTAACCATTAAGACTGGGACTCATCAACACTGGGTCCCCATCCTAGTGGTTAGATCAGTTAAGTTGTGCCTACCAGACCTTGGGACCACTTCACCAGTCATCTAAACTATCACCACAGTAACATCATATTCTTCAACTCATCAACATTAATAATTACACACATGAATTAAAACACAAACACAAAGGCTCATAAGAGACAGATTTAACATTTAAGAAAAAGAAATAAAGAAAACTTAAATTAACTTGTTCATCTTTAAGTCAGACTGAGTGAGATAAAGTGACTCAAATCCTCCACATAAACAGCCTCGACTTAATGATCACTTTATGTGGACAAGTCCAGAGGCTTCAGAAAGTGGTGTACAGTACAGTAATGTCTGCCGAGCCACATCTCACTGGTACAAGTAATAGATTTATATCGGGAGTATTTAACCTTACTACTTAAACACTTACTATGAATGGACAGGAACAGTTTAAAAACTTATGGAAAAACTGTAAACAATCATTAAAATTGGAGGAGGTGTGAGTTAGGTACATCCTTTGAATCCACCTCAGGACTTGCCAGTTAAGTTTGTAAGCCCATTTTTTCTTCATTTTCAGATTTGTATTTCAAATATTGAAAAATATTGTATGTAACACATCACAAATGGAAGTAGAGATTAAAAAAATATATATACTATTTTTGCAGCATTCATCACTAAATACAGTCAAAAAGTTTATTCAGCTATTGTATCATACATGCAAAATGTGTCATGACAGAATTGACTGTATATCAACAAGCTGTTAAATATATAGGCAATAAAACTACTGTAATATGAATTATATAAATAAGGCTACTGATAAAAAAAAAATAATCCTAAACAAATCATAACTATGGAGAAAAATTATGTATAGATATTTGTTTACCGTCATCAGGCAAAGTTCCCTTAATGTTCTCCTTTACGTCTACACAAGAGAAAGGCGCTGCTAACAGAGCATCACACACACAGCCCTACAGTACTTTTATATCTAGGAGGTCACACCTCATATAAATTCACACACAAACATATGATTTAGGTCTTTTTCACACGAGCGCTTTTTTGTTGTGCGACTTACAAACAACGTCCATGTGTAAGGTCCCATTGAACTCCGGTGACTTCTAAGACGCTCGTGTGAATGTGACCTTAGACTGTGAGGTAACAAGTAATGACAAGTTAGGCTCAATCTTCAACTTTTTCACGACATAAACATATCAGCTGTAGGAACTGTCACACTTAAGTACATATACTCCATCTATCCCCTATAATAAACTACAGATATGAACCAACATACTTGACAGTGAGCTAAGATACAGACGGTAATAACTGAGCTATTCACATAACCTTATCACTGTAAATGGTAACTGTATAATATTTTACTTGCTTCCTAATCATGAAGTAAAACCAATACACAAACGGTGATCTAAACTTACAAGTGTGCCAAAGAAGACCGTCTCCATGTTGGACTGCTGAGTTCGAGCACTGAGGCGAGGAGAGCTCCAAGACTTGCCGCTCCGACCTCCACTAGAAAGTTTAATAAACACGTTTAAAATACAACAAGAAAAACTCATCCCGAAGTCCATCCAAAAATTCCTAAGTCAAAGATATATAATAAAATATGGAGCCACAGTTACAAGTTTTTAAAGAATATTCACTATAAAATCTGTACAAAATATCAATAACTAAAGCCTCTCTTGTTTCACTAATATAAAGCAACAGATACAGTCATTTTTTTACTCTAGAAACCAAAATGACTACAACTGTATATTTTAGTGTGCAATAAACAGAAACCTAAAAATCAGTCAGAATACTGTAAACTCTTCACAATGATCAGACTTTACTGTTAATGATTTTTAGGTTCCCATTTATTGCACTTCCTAAAATATAGTACAGTACAGTAATCGTTTAAGGTTCTTGAATAAAAAACAACCAGTCTGAGTCCTAAACAAAGTGTCCATCACTTATACACACCAAACTTCACTACTCGACATACAGTACAATAGACTCCCACGTATTTGTCGGGTTATGTTCCCAAGCAACCCAGAGATAACTTAACCCACACAGAAGTGAATTAACTTAACTAAGGAAAAAAAAGTTACATTTTAACCTGGCCAGTTAGATGAAAATACGTAATCATCACCAAAACCTAAATACAATACTGTATTGTACTCGAGTTTGTGATTTAACGGAGTAAATTTAACATGGAGTGGGAAGATTTATTAATTTAGATGTTTAAACTTTTTCTTGACTCTCTTGCAGCGTTGCAGCATCACTGTTAATTAGGGTATGAATCATTATAACACTGTATAAACAACAATTACAAAACTGAAGTTACAACAAGGTGATGCCCGGAATTATGTGACACAGGCCTCTCATAGTGTTAAAAGAGACAGCGACTGATACTGCCTCCATCTCCTGGGCGGAGGTCAGCAGCACCTGTATCACTAGAGAGCACACCTGGGAGCCATTATAACACACAGAACAGGGTGTTGGTGATACAGTACAGCGGTAACGTGTGTGTCTCTCTCACAACTATGTCTTGGGATCGAGTCTTGGCCTGGACACAAATGGGAAGGGTGTTATCCAGTGTGACCCTCACTACCAGACATGGCAAGTTTTCTGTACAGTACCCAGCCTCCTGTACTAACACTGGACAACAAAGCACTGTCCTATTACAAAGAACAGACCAACTGCCTGGATGGCTAGTAGGCTGATAAGAGGTGATATAAAAAGTTAAAACAAATTAAATTAAATCAGAACCAGTACACCAAGTGCACAAACTGTGTCACTCAGTGTAAGGAACACAAGGCACAGTGACACAGCCCAAATGTAGCGAGCAACTATTATAAATGTGCAGAGAACCACTAATGTGAGCCTCAGATAATTGGGAACATCCATAGACACTGAAGTAATTACCCTAAGTGTTTCATCATAACAACTGGTCGATATAGACTAAACATGACAATAAATGGGAGTCTATTGTATTACTGGAGGAACGTCTAGAACCTTCTGAACTAACTACACTAATTTATAATCAGTGTTTGAGATGAAAATTCATACGTATTATGAAAAAAAAACATGAACCAAATCTTGATCAACTGTTCAACTTAGTTTAAGCTGATGTTGTACACAAAGTTGATTATGATGAGTTTTATAAACAAGGAGAGAGAATGTGATCTATAAGTCCCCATTCACTTTACTTATTTATCAATGATTCCATATGAACTAAAATGCTTTAGAAAATAAAATTAATCAAAAGGACTAAATCCCTTTTAGTAAAATCCCATAACATTGTCCTAAGCCTAATGTTAGAGCTTGGGTGGAAACTATTGGTTAAAGCTCTAGAAAAGTAAAAAAAATGTTTAGGCAATTAAAAAATTTGGGGGTAAAGAGTGAGATTGAAATTGCAACTGAAGCGAACTAGAGTAATGGTAGAAGGCCACGTCAGGTGTCAGTGCTACACACAGCTTACGCCAATATGGTCGCCCGTGCCACCTCTGTTTAGGTAAGAAACTGTGCATGTCTGAAAAGATGAAATACTGCACATCCAGCAATACATTAATGAATAACATCCCCAAATAACAAAACTCTTGTGTACACAGGACCTAGCTATATGCTATCAAAGGGTCTACTTATAATATCTTGTCCAGTAAACAACTCTTAGTTTATCTTCATAGTTCAGGTGTCTGATATATACAGTCTAATCAACAAGGTCTTACACAAAATCAAACTTGCATCAATAGAGAAAAAACGATGTGACAAACACTACTACTTCACATACACTGGTGTTCTCTTCAGCTGTGACTAAACTATACAGTGTGAAGGGGAAGAAATGTGGCAACTGAAACTGAATTGTTTTCTTCAAATTTTCTTTCATTTTGATGCAAGTTTGATTTCTAAACCTGACATTCATATTACTGTGAATCCTTGCAGAATTAAATACTGTACAGTTAAGGAATGAGAGTGTATAAATAATGTTTGTTCAATAATTATGAAAAGGTTGATTTGATAGGCACATCAACATGTCAGGGTTTGTGTACAGTACAGTATTACATAAACTTGCAATGTCTTTAGGTTAACATTTTCCAAGAGTTCAATATACTGTACTAACGAGAAACTATCCAATTGTAATTACTTTCACTTTACAATGATTGGACACTTTTTCTCTATTTTGCTATTAAAAGCTTGTGAGAAATAATGTAAATATTCAAGAGTGAAAAAAAGGCCTTTTTACAACTGAACTTAAACATTTATGTTATTCCTGATATCTTCTATTGGTGTACAGTAACTTTTCTTCAATCACTTAAACAAGCTGTAATGACAATTCAGCATGATACTGTACCAGGGGAAAGTTTGTAGGTATAACAAGGAAGAGCTAAACTGTTAATTACTGCAAGTGCACAGGGAGCTTATGATCACACTGTACTGTGCTTCAAACTTATCACTCACGATCTCTCTATGAACTGAAACTGTTAGCCTAATGACAGACAATAAACACTATGATGCTCCCTGACATGTGATGGTGTCTGCCCAAACACAAACACACACACTCTCTTAACTTACTCAAAACTACTTCCCAATCCTATAATATGTAACTGATATAACTGAACCACAAGAATACAATGGCCATCACAAATTCATTTCCACAAAAGTTTACAGCAAGAAAATGAAATTTAAGAAAATAAATAAATGATAATAATATAGCACTAATAAAACCTGACAAAACTTTAGCTTGAGAAGGAAAACACACATGCAGCAGGGAGGGAAGGCTGAAATTTTGCAGAAATTATTTATTTCTACACTGAAAATTTTTGCAGAAATGTAGTTTGGATGTACACACGTGACAATATCTACAAAATATCACCTTGTAATATCTTTAAAATAAACAATATCAAAATTGATACCTGAGAAATATATAAAAATAAATTTATAGCCATTTATACAAACAATGAAATTACCTTGACTATAAAGGACATTGAACAGTGAAAGTTGGAAACTCTTTCAACAACAAAAGATAAATATCATTATTATTATGTAACAATTATCAATATCAACCAAGTGCAGTTATTATTAGGAGTCTTTCTGAGGTACTGACAATCATTAGCTATCTTTATAGAAAATAAAAACTATTTATACTGGTATACTGTAAAACAAAATGTCTTGCATCACATACTTCAGTTTGTTTACATTTCCTTACAACCAGTGTCCAAACTCAAAAACTCAACAGCAAACCTTTAAAATTTGTTTATTACTTAATGTATACAAAAAATTTATTGAAAGCAACATATTTTTCTTATCAATCCCATTTTATGGCTGAGAGTTAGAAACAGGTGTGTTGTGAGACTCACTCTACACAACACTCCCTGGCAGAGTCTCACTTACATCAAGGGGCTGACCACAACCGTTTTATACACGGCAGTGCTAAGTAAGGACAAACACCTCACCCTACACCTGAGCAGTTACTGAGATACAAACATCTTTCTAAAGTATATAAGAACCCAGGATCCAAGTCAACAATACCACAAAGGCCAAGAGACCTTCACTAAGTCCAACTTCAGTGTTACAGGACCAGCTATGAATCTTCTCACTTCCTGCTGGGACACTACCCTGGGTTTAAGTACTGTACTGTACTGTACTCACAGGCAATGATGAGTCAATGAACTCCAACTGTCAACAATGGTGCCTTGCTGATAGACACTGTTTTGGTTATTATTGTGGGTTATTTAAACTGAAACAGACTTAATTACCAATAAGGCTCACTAGTAAATGTATATGAGTCACATTAATTATATAAACAGACATTACCCCCATCACCTGGTCTACCAAGTGCACCATATCGCTTATAAAAGGTCTTCTACAGTTCCTAAATTACTAACATTTGTTGTAAGGCAGTTGTAAGGATCCACAACTCAAGGTATTAACGATCACTTTGTACACTTTGACAAGCAGTGTAGGTGTTCCAGGTTGTTTATATTATAAATGTCTCGGTCTTCTACCATAAAGTCTGCCGTCATCAAATTAATAAATGTTTAGATGTTTGGGATGTTGGTTGACACACTGTTCAGCAAACAAAAGAACACCAACAATGATCTCATAAATAAAGTACTGTACTGTGTGCCATATTATGCGATGCCCATCATAGCAAAATTAAGTGAAGAAATCACATATTGTAGCTGTACAACTCACCCAGAACTGTAGCAGAATGTGGACGACACAACTACCAGTTACCAGGCAAGGAAATATATGAATGATGGAAGTCAAGAGAACCAAGTTTATGGCTTGGGTCCAAGTATCAAGAATTAATTAGGGACTCACAACTTGAGGCACCAGCATATCATGGTCAAGGTTCTTCCTTCGCTAACCAGTGATATGCTTGGGTCAGTTCAGTAGGTGTTTGTGTAGCCTTAACATTGATCCATACAGGACAGTGTACCTGCCACAGTCAGCCCCCTAACATGGTAACCTCTGTCCAGGGGATATTCCAAAGGAGGAAATATTACAAGCCACCTGATGAATGACCCATAGGCCTTAAGAAACTAACACATAACAATGATAAGTTTGGTGATGTTTAAACACAACTTTTGTTAATTTCAGCACAAGGAGAACATACCCCAGTGTTGTGTTGTATCATAAATTGTGTTTCAGTATATTATATTGTACTGTACTGTATGTCTCGCCAACTGATCAAATGAATATACGTAATCTGCAACAAACTTGACTCGTCTAGAATATCGCAGCTTTACCATGACACTTGATATAAACAATACTTTCTGGTGTGAATACCATATATACTGTATACCTCCACATGCTCCTCCCTGCTACACAAGACACTGGCTCATACACAAACTTCTCCCAACAAGGCAGAGTCTGTACACTCCCCATACAAGTCCAATGCTTTGGGTTCAGATTAGTATAAATCATATTAACCTAAATAAACAGATATACAAAAAAAAACCCAAATCATTGGTATGCATAAACTGCTCAGAAATAATTCAATTTTATTATTACACAGCACCAAAAATAAAAATGCACATATGCTTCCCTACACAGAGTAAATCAGTTCAATGTCCCTTCTGTATATAATCGTTACAAGCTTATGCTCTATGTTTACTACACGAGCAAATAAAAGGAGCAATATTTATGGAAAAACTTGTAGATGCAGGACGACAAACAAGTAATAGTAACAAACATAATACAGTAACACTTGTATCCATCCATAATAATAATAATCTTCAAAAACATCACAAAGGGTAAAAAGAGTAATTAGGGGGACAAGAATAATAACAATACAGCAGAATGAATGATTGAGCGTTGACAAAAAAAAAATAATAGAATTAGGTAGAAGGATGGTAAGGCACTGAGATTCTCCACTCACCAGTCGTGTACAAGGGTGAGTATGGTCTTCCTAGGTTGACGCATGCACAAATTTTACACATTACTACAGTTGAAAACATACACTCATATCCTGTCATATTGTGGGATATGTGTTTTGCTGTTTATTTAAGAGACATAGATACTGTATATATATATATTCATAGTTCTGAAGATGATAAATAGTGATTCAATTAAAGAAATATTATAAAACAACCATAACAGAGTGCTGACACCAAGAGTAAAGTTTGATAGAGATTATTATATATATGGGGGCAATCACACAGAGAGAGAGAGAGAGAGAGAGAGAGAGAGAGAGAGAGAGAGAGAGAGATACCTGTATTCAGTAAAATCTTCACAGAAGTGCCCCTCTTAAGACTAACTTTTTCACTTCCTACCATCAAAACCATAAAACCTTCAAGCTCAACTTTCCTATGATAAACTTACATCTACGCCTCATTACTCACATAAATATTAATTTCATTACACAGCCCAGCTATTGTATAAAATCTCCCTCCCGTAGACAAATCATTTCCACTGCCAACCATAATCTGTAACTTCTGTAATTGCCTCCATAATCACTAACAAACTTACTCTTGCGTACAGTAGTTCAAAATACAGTACAGCCATCATGATCACCATAACTACACTGTGTTTCTTAATCCTCACCACACTCAGCAAAACACACTGTCCAGGGGATGTGAGTCAACTGGTTAAGAGCCACAGTGAGGTGTATACACAGACCCAGAGTCACTTCACCACTCACTACCATGTCCATCATCAACCATCACTTAAGACTTTCTCATCCCAGTGGATATTAAAACACAAAACTTGGTTATTAAGTGTTTAAATACCTATTGAATAAGAATGACTGTGTGTGTGATAAAGCAGCAGTGGTGTGAGTAGGTGGCAGTTGAGGCCCTCCATGACACACCTTGAAAATGGTACATGATACAGGTACTCGCTGACTAATGCTATCAAACAGGTGTAGTGCATCAGGTATTTAGGTAATAACACATGAACTTTTCTATCTATAGACAGAATTCTATATGAGCATCATATAGGGGTAATTTGGGTGAATAGCAAACATTTACATATTATCAACATCAAAACTCCAATTATTTACAATCAGGTACAGTGTTGGTTAGTTATCAATACTCTTGTGAGTCTACATCAACAGTCTGATATCTATGGAATGTGATTATTTCAACATCCATATACGGACTGTGGCACTAGAGACAATTACCCATAATACTAAACTGTATAATCTAACTTGCTCAAGACAAGCAATATAACCAAGTCCAGGATACTGTAACTGGCAGATCACGGCTTGAGAAACTTTAACTATTTTATAAAGAGACAAACCAGTGAAATGCACATACACCCTTGAATGAGACTCAGCAACGTGTGAAGGTATAGCAGGACTCATGAGCTCTTCTCCCACTGATGGCTCTCAACACACACTTAGTGGGATATAAATAATGGTGTATGGACATTTCATCACCGGTCTATTGAATAACGTGTTATATTTATATATTTACATAATAATGTTTTTAGTATTTTGGAGGTAATGAAGCCATGGTTAAGTTAGGTTAAGTTAGGTGAAGAGGTTAGGTTAGGTTTATACTGGTGATAAAATGTACTAGAACAATAAATAAAGTAAACCCTTGTCTCTGATATGTGACAATCAATTAAAATAAGATGACTAATATAATGAACTTTGAAGTATGATGACTCCTTAGTTTATATTGTTTCATCAATTTACGTTCATGAGTTAAAAATTAGCAGAGAAGTACAATACAGAAGTTTGTGAGATATAAGTCCATGTAGATGAGATATGAACTGCTTGACGAGTGATGATGCTTAAATAACGAAAGACAGTATCATAGACATACACTACTAATCAGCTCCTACAAGTAAGAAAAAAAATTGTAGTTCTATATAAAATTATCTATAGGTCTAAGTTCTCATGATTAGAAAATGATGACCCTAAATTAAGTAAATATTCAATATACTGTACATTTACATTCAATTGTTCTAAATATACTGATCTGAACTCTGAAAAGGCATATACAGTATTATTTCTTTAAGCCCTTACACCATATACACAACCAACACATGTATTCAATCTTACCACAATGATCGTCAAAGTTTTAATTATATATTCCACTGATTTTAATTTTCAGTGAGATGTAAGGAATAAAATGTAGACACGTTAAAGAGACTGGTTGTGGGTGTACAAGGAACCATACTGAAACACCTACATAAGTTGGCTGAGATCTGTGTTCCCCCATTAGGTCATGAGTCCTTTTAAGTATACCTTCACACTCTTAACTTTACTTCCTCATAAAAAAAAAACACGAAGAAAACTCAATTAATCAGTGAAACATTGGAAGTTAATTTCTTGTTATCATAATCACAACACTATTTACAATATTACAACCTTATACATATGTTAACTTATCAAAAAACTCGACAGTTATTTTGGACAGGATGGACTGATGCAAAGGAGTCATTACTGGGCTCATAATGACTACTATACAGCCTTACTCTGTCACTTATATGTACTGTTAATGGAAAACTGTAAGGTATGTATGTAAATGCCTTCGTCCTGGTACATACAGGGACAAACAAAAACAGTGGGTATATTTACTTGATGTAGGGCTGATGTAGTTACTACGAGACAACAGTGGACGGAGGTGACGGCCGACAGGTGGAAGTAGTCAAACAGCACTGGCAGATGGTAGTGAAGGCCCCTGGAGATATAAAAGCTCATGTGTGGTAGTCATGTACTGTATCTGTCCACACACACACACACACACACACACACACACACACACACACACACACACACACACACACACACACACACACACACACACACACACACACACACACACACACACACACACACACACACACACACACACACACACACACACACACACACACACACACACACACACACACACACACACACACACACACACACACACACACACACACACACACACACACACACACACACACACACACACACACACACACACACACACACACACACACACACACACACACACACACACACACACACACACACACACACACACACACACACACACACACACACACACACACACACACACACACACACACACACACACACACACACACACACACACACACACACACACACACACACACACACACACACACACACACACACACACACACACACACACACACACACACACACACACACACACACACACACACACACACACACACACACACACACACACACACACACACACACACACACACACACACACACACACACACACACACACACACACACACACACACACACACACACACACACACACACACACACACACACACACACACACACACACACACACACACACACACACACACACACACACACACACACACACACACACACACACACACACACACACACACACACACACACACACACACACACACACACACACACACACACACACACACACATCCTGACCACCGAAGGGTCAAGATTGCACTGGGCCCTCTCTGGAGCAGCCAGGTCAACTGTTGTTGGCCCATACCAACTCCCTCCCCTGAACCCTCCTCCCACCGGAATATCAACAAGTTCACGCCAGAAGTTACTATTTCATTTAGGAAAGAAATGGAACCAGTGTTAAACAGAGGTGAACAGTGGTGAACAGTGCTTGTCAGTGAGAACAACTCAACAGTAACAGTGGTACCCTGTTGACTTCCACAGTGAGGTCCCAGGTACCAGTGATAACGGCCCGTGAACCCAACTACCAGCGATGTGTTAATCCGTCTACGATAGGAAGGCCTGGAACCACACCTCACTCATATAACACCATCTGTGAGGGAATTACTACACCACGTGAGGCCCTCATAACACCATCTGGAGGGAATTACTACACCACGTGAGGCCCCTCATAACACCATCTGTAGAGTTACTACACCACGTGAGGCCCCTCATAACACCATCTGTGAGGAATACACCACGAGGCCCTCATAACACCATCTGTGAGGGAATTACTACACCACGTGAGCCCCTCATAACACCATCTGTGAGGGATTACTACACCACGTGAGGCCCCCCATAACACCATCTGTGAGGGAATTACTACACCACGTGAGGCCCCTCATAACACCATCTGTGAGGGAATTACTACACCACGTGAGGCCCCATAACACCATCTGTGAGGGAACTACACACCTGAGCCCCTCATAACACCATCTGTGAGGGAATTACTACACCACGTGAGGCCCCTCATAACACCATCTGTGAGGAACTACTACACCACGAGGTCCCTCCTAACACCATCTGGGAGGGAGTTACTACACTACGTTTTGCTGTTCAACACCTACATTAATCTGTATGTTCACTGTATGTTCCTTTACCTTCAATGAAGGCTTTTGTTAAACCACCAATGTATGTAATAAGTGCCCAATGTATTTTCAGCCTTCGGGCTGCAGAACTTTTTCAATAAACAGTTAATTATTATATATTATTATTACACACACACACGAAATAGCTCAGTAATAATACACGGTAAACTGCAATGGCCTAGGAATAAAATCCTTCACATTCAAACAAAAATCTAAGAAAAAAGTTTACCCCGGTGACTTGAAACTTACGGTATCATGGTCGAGCTTAACCCATTACAGTACTGTACTTTGCATTGTCTTTTCAGAGTATAGTGACCAAACAAGTTTTTTTTTTATATATCAGGTAAGATGAACCAAGCCAAACCTAACCTCATATAGTATAACCTTATGAATATAAAATTTAGTTAACTGGTAAGTTAGGTTAGGTTCGGTTAGGTAGGGTAGGGTAGGGTAGGGTAGGGTAGGGTAGGGTAGGCTAGGATAGGTAAGATGAAGTAGGTTAGGTCAAGTTAGATTAGGTTGAGTTATGGTAGGTCAGGTTGGGTTATGGTAGGTTAGGCTGGGTTAGAGTAGGGTTAGGTGGGTTAGATTAGGTTAAGCTGGGTTTGTGTGATTCACATTGAATGTGTTTTCCCAGAAGTGTGTAATACAGCAGCCACCACAACAGTTAAGAACCACAATATTGATTCTAACAACTTCAGGTACTGAGCTGTCCAAGTGACCTTTTTACCTCATGACCTTCAAAAGTGACCTATCTCAAAAAGTACGAGAAGCTTCTAGGAATTTATTTTACTCATAAGAAATCTTCACCTGCAAACCTAACCTAATCTAATCAATCTCAACCTAATCGAACTTAACCTAACTGGGTATGAGACTATCTGAGGAGAGAGAGAGAGAGAGAGAGAGAGATACTCACCTGGTGGGAGAGAAGTGAAGGTTGAGGGTCCTGGATGAGACGCACTGGATAGCATTGTGGTGGTCAGGGCCGAAGGCGTGTTCCGTGAACCACAGCTCCGACACTAGCTGTAGATCCGCCCGCTCCAAGCTCTCTGCCAGCTGCAACACCAACACACAAGTGGACCTCATTATGCATCTCATAACTCAGCTTCAACATCATACTAAATGAACTTTATAACTCATCTTAAAAACTGGATTAAATGTCGCATAACGTTATTCTTATTGCAATTTTTCTACGGAATTACTTAGCACTATTTCTTGTTGTTAAAAATAGCTGGGGAAGGGACGTGGCGAATTTAAATTAATCTATAATGAAACCACTTTTAATAACCCATCCATATAAGGCTGAGCTGATGAGACAACGGCGGTAAACTTGTTATGTAAGATGACACACAACAGTATCTTTAGCCATTTTAGGTTATATTAAGGTCAGGTCAAGTTAGGTTAGGTTTAGTCTGTTTTGTGTATTGTCAGGTTAGGTTAAGTACAAGACCTAAGATGTTCAAGTACAGAAATACAGTACACATAACCTGTAGAAAGGTAATAACTATCACACCGTACACACACACACACCATGCATGTGAAATAAGCCGGCCACTACACCTGTGCTCACATACCTAACCCACAAACCCAAATTATTTACCATTCCTCTACAGCTGTAGATTCACACACCTGCTAGCTCACACACACCAGCTCACCCATGTGTGTGTGTGTGTGTGCGTGTGTGTGTGTGTTTATCTAGCTACACAACCAACCACAGTAGCTACTACGTATATACAATAAAAAATAACATACCGAGTGCATTTTCAGTTAATATCAGAAAGTTGTATGAAAAATGAGTACAGTACTGTATTGATGTAGGCATAAAGTACAGTACAGGATAATAAATTCTCTGTACAGTACGTCTGCCAGCGAGACTAAAGGCGGGGCAGTTGGCAGTATAAAATGCGAGTCTAGTCTAGTCACTATATTAAATACTTCTTGGAGGAAATTCCGACAAAACTTTCCAACGAATTCATTCATAAACATTCATATAATATGTACTTAATCCTAACTTATCACCCCCCCATAAAGTAATTAAGAATGAATCCATATCAAATCCAACACCATATACTGTACATTGCTCCAATATACAGTTACAAAAAAAACTAATTCTTAACGCCTTAATTCATCTTGTAGTTAAAATATTTGTTTTTAATATTTTTTTTTTGTAGAAGGAACGCGGATAACTACACCAGTACACACATTTGATTAGTTATATATGACGACCTTCTGCCTTCTCTTCAACCCACACGGGCGACGCGCTGTCCGGTCATCGTTCTTGAATCAAGTCTATACTGTATATGTTTGTGTTTGCACCAGTTTACACTATATTATCATACTCAGGCACTAAATGAGCACATATATAGGAAATATGATAAAAAGTTAAATCAAGATATACCGACGTCACATCACTGTCTTAAAATAATAAAATATCCGATAATACGACCATATTACACTAAATCATCCCTTTAAAAATAAACACACAATTCTGATTCACAATAAGCATTATAAAGTTGAAAAAAATATAAAACTTTCTCAGTACACATCCAAGAAATATTATTAAACAGAAAAAATAAATAACATCTTAACAAATCACGAAAATCAATTATATTTTTGTTTGCATAATAACTAAACCTCTGGCAAGATCTCATTAATCAACTGTTATTATAAATATTCAAAACAACTGGGCACTATTAGTTATATTTTTCACATATTAAAGTATTCGTCTGTATTATATGAGAGGAGGGTCAGAGACACTGGGGGGGGCTCGGGTCTCTGACCTGGTGGTGCCAGTGTGGAGGACTTCCAGGGTGGGTGAGGAGTTATACCTATTTAATGATGGGAAATATGTGCGGATACGTGGGTGACTGAGATCACTGCCACCTACTACTACCACCACCACTGGCGCCACTACCACCGCATTATCACAGCCACTACTATTGCCATCACTCTACTGGCGCCACGCCACCACTATTACCAGTGGCGCCACCGCTACTATTACTATTGCGACCACTCTACTGGCGCTACGCCACCACTATTACCAGTGGCACCACCAATGGTGCCATTACTATCACAGGCCCCACTACCACCACTAAATACTACTCTACTACCCACATCACCACTAGCACCCTGCATGACAAGTGACAACCTTTTTTTCGCTACCACTATCATTACCACCACAACTAGGCAACCAACACTACTACTATCACCACCATTATTACCAGACACAATCACCACCACCACCATTACCATAAACAACAAGCAGAGTATCATCAAAATCAACGGGAGTGTTTAAGACAGTCATCGTTACCAACGAGAGGCAGCAGCACGATTATCACCGTTGTCAACCCCAGCGGCAGTGATCACCCGCTAACATTACCGTTACCACCGACAAATGATATTGATGACGATGATGATGACGAGGAGGATGAGGAAGAAGAACAAGAAGAGGAGAGGAGGAGGAGGTAGAGGAGAGGGGAGGTTACCATGGCAACAGGAGAGGCAGGCTAAGGGGACCAAGAGAGGCAGGATACACACACTGCGGGTACATCCATAACGCAACGCCTGCCACACACCGCCACGTACCCAACTCCCCGCCGCCGCCTCACCATACCCCGACCTCAAAGATCACTTTAATGCTACAGAAAAACGTAAAGTAAAGCCATAATGACTTCCCCAGGTACTTAGAGCTTTCCTCCCCTTACTTATAATATTATTTTGGAATAGGTTAAGCCATCAACTTGCGACGAGTACAAAATGTTTACAGCTCGTCTGAGATTCACGTCAAGGCGTTCCAGGAGGACTTGTATGGTTTATGGCGAGAAGATAAGACGCAGTACGGTGTATAGGGGTTAAGAGAGAGAGGGGGGGGGGTATATAAACACGTGACACTATAAGGAAGAATAAATTTCCATAATCTCTTATGTTTAATTTGTTTTTAGTATGGATGAATGAAAATAGACTTTTAACGTCTTTTCCAGGAATAAATCGACTTACTGTTTCGTCATTGTTTGTATTACCTGCATCTTTATGACGATTTTAATGAATACATATCAGAGTAACTATCAATCTTCCTAGTTTATTGGACTAGTTAGCGTACACACACACCTCAGCAGTACTTGAAGCAGAGAAACACACACACACACACACACACACACACATCCCAACAGCACTACACAGCAAGGCTCAGCAGAAGTGAATACAGAGTTCAGCAGCAGTAGTAGTAGTAGTGTGCTGGGAGCTTCCTTGTCAGCCACTAACACTGCGATATTGGCAAATTAGGTTAGTCGGGTGCGGCGGTGCAACCCTTCTTATTGATGTTTCCGTCACTACCGCGCGCCAAACTGCAAGACGTACAGTGTTGGGGACAGTACCACGAACACCACCCTCTGGGAATTGATTCGGTAATGGTCTAATTGGCACGACCTAACCTAGTCTACCTCAACCTAATTTAGCCTAAACTAGTCTAGCCTAAACTAATATAACCTTATCTAACCTGGTCTAACTTAGTTTAACCTAACATACTTTAGAACTAAATTAACCAAATCTAGTTTAATCCACCTTAACCTAACCTAACCTAACCTAACCTAACAAAACCTAACCTAACCTAACAATACTGGTTTCTGTTCGTCTTTAAAATAAACAAACAAATTAATAAAATCATTCGTGATCTCCTGTTTGTTTCTCAGTCAGTGTAAACAATATCTATCTGTCTGTCTGTCTGTCTGTCTGTCTGTGAACACAACTGAAAAAGCAGTGTAGTAGCAGGGTAGGTAGGTTGGGTATGTTTAATGGAGCGTGTGAGTGGGAGGGAGGTGTGGGGGAAGGTGTGGGGGGGAAGGTGTGGAGGGAAGGTGTGGGGGGAAGGTGTGGGGGGAGAAGGTGTGGGGGGGGGAAGGTGTGGGGGAAGGTGTGGGGGGGAAAGGTGTGGGGGGAAGGTGTGGGGGAAGGGTGTGGGGGGGGGAAGGTGTGGGGGGAAGGTGTGTGGGGGGGAAGGTGTGGGGGAAGGTGTGGAGGGGGAAGGTGTGGGGGGGAAGGGTGTGGGGGGGGGAAGGTGTGGGGGAAGGTGGGGGGGAAGGTGTGGAAAAGGGTGGGGGGAGGTGTGGGGGGGAAGGTGTGGGGGGAAGGTGGGGGGAAGGTGTGGGGGAAAGTATGGAGGTATGGGGGGGGAAGGTATGGGGGGAAGGTGTGGGGGGAAGGTGTGGGGAAGGTGTGGAGGGAAGGTGTGGGGGATAAGGTGTGTGAATGTGGGGAGTGTGTGGAGGAGGGTGTGTGGTGGTGGGGTGTGTGGGGTGGTGAGGGTGTGTGGGTGGTGAGGGGGGTGGTGAGGGTGTTTGTGCTGGCCTGGGCGACTTTTTGGCTGTTTACTGTTCATGAATGTGGTGGTGGTGGTGGTGGTGGTGGTGGTAGTGGTAGTGGTGGTGGTGGTGGTGGTAGTGGTGGTGGTAGTAGTAGTGGTGGTAGTAGTAGTGGTGGTGGTGGTAGTAGTAGTGGTGGTGGTGGTAGTAGTAGTGGTGGTGGAGTAGTAGTAGTGGTGATGGTGGTGGTGGTAGTAGTGGTGGTGGTGGTAGTAGTGGTGTGGTGGTGGTGTAGTAGTAGTGGTGGTGGTTGTGCACCATCATACGGACCTCAATATATCTATCTATCTATATCTATCTATAACGTCGGTGTTATAACTTGTGGTGGTTGACTGCCCCCACCTTTCGGCCTCCTGAACTGGTCAACGTCAAGGAGGTGAGGTGGAGCAAGAGCTGGAGGGACTGAGTGGTCTGGGGGGGCTGGAGGCTGGGTCACGTACTCCTACCCTCCCAGGTGTCAGTCAAGGGGTGAAGCATATCCTGCCTCTCACCCTGGGTCACGCTCCACCATCTGTGACCACCAAGACAACGTAGCCTGGGATATATAATCTCTCTCTCTCTCTCTTCTCTCTCTCTCTCTCTCTCTCTCTCTCTCTCGTTTATTGTATACCTATGCATCTATGAAGTAGTGTCACACCCTTACTAAAATCTATCACACACACACACACACACACACACACACACACACACACACACACACACACACACACTTACTCATAACACCATCTGTAGGGTTTACTACACCACGTGAGGTCCTCTAACACCATCTGGGAGGAACTACTACACCGTGAGGCCCCTCATAACATCATCTGTGAGGGAATTACTACACCACGTCAGGTCCCTCATAACACCATCTGTGGGGAACTACTACACCACGTGAGGTCCTCCTAACACCATCTGGGAGGGAACTACTACGCCACGTGAGGCCCCTCATAACATCATCTGTGAGGGAATTACTACACCACGTCAGGTCCCTCATAACACCATCTGTGAGGGAACTACTACACCACGTGAGGTCCCTCCTAACACCATCTCGGAGGGAGTTACTACACTACGTTTTTGCTGTTCAACACCTACATTAATCTGTATGTTCCTTTACCTTTCTCTAATGAAGGCTTTTGTTAAACCACCAATGTATGTAATAAGTCATTTATGTCCAATGTATATTTTCAGCCTTCGGGCTGCAGAACTTTTTCAATAAACCGTCAATTATTATTATTATTTTATTACTCCTTGACCACCGGAGGGTCAAGACCTATCAGACGCCCACTCCTGCTGCTGAGCTGCCCCGACCAATGTTGGCCCATACCCGCCAAAAGTGACAATTTCGTTTCGGAAATAAATGGGATCAGTGTTGAACAATGATGAACGGTGTTTAAGCCAGTGAATTCAACACCAGACAATACCAGTGAGAACCATAACCCACCAGTGAGATAAGCACCCCTGGGAACCGACCGCCATCTTCTGACCAGGTGGTGTTAATGAGTCCACCCTGGGAACAACAGTGGGTCGGCTTTACACCTGACTACGAGATAACACAACACCACCCAGCAGAGTGAGGTACTGTGACACCACCACACTGTGTCCCCATGACCATGTGAAGTCCTTCATATCAACACCCGAGGACGAGTTACTACACCACGTGAACACCTCACCACCCGGTGTCTCCATGACCTGCCCAGGCCATCAACTGTTAACTATAATAATTTGTATGTTCAATCATTGTTCCTTCTCCTTTCAGTAATGAAAGTTTTTGTTAAACGACCCACCCACCCCATGTCTTTGTATGTAATAAGTCATTTTTGTCTAATGTATATTTTCAGCCTTCGGGTTGCTGAACTTTTTCAATAAACCGTTAATTATTATTATTATCATTATCATCATTATTATACATATTTCTACCGGTATAAATTCAATAAAACAGCAGTGAGAACGGTGTGTGTGGGGGGGGGGGGCCTAACAAACAAACATTCAGACATACCTTGTGAGCGTCGAGGATGAGGTGGAGCTTGAAGAGGACGTGGTCATCGAGGTGGACCTCCTCGTTGCGGTAGAGGATCTGGAAGGTCTTACTCACGGCGGCACCATTAACCACACACGCCGGGAACACCAGACCACTGCCGCCTGAAACAACAACAACAATCATCAACAACAACAACAGTATCATCATCAACAACAACAACAGTATCATCATCAACAACAACAGTATCATCATCAACAACACACTTAGTGACTGGACTTACAGGTACATGTAGGTAATTAAGCAAGGAGATAATTAACACAGGTACTCACTAGTATTTCTAGGAAGGCTCAGCTCAATCTTGGCAGGTAACTTCGGTGACGATTTGAGATACAACCGGAGCTGATAATACCTGGGGGGAGACAACACCTCAGTACATGATGATGGTAAGTAGAACAGCAACAATAATAATAATAATAATAATACATACATTACTAGGACATAACATTCATTGCACGTGAAAAAAAAAATACTAACAGGCCAACATCTTTCTACATGTCAACAAATGGTTCACTGCAACAGACACACGACGTCAGTATAGAAATAACGCATGTGTATACCACCCTGAGGCGAGCAACAACCCAGTAATCCAAGGTAGGTTAATTAATAGCTGGAAAGTTATCAGCGACGCATTAAATTCGCTTGTGTTGTTTACGAACGTTGGTTGATGACGTCACGCTTCTCCCCGGGTTGTCATATTTTAATTCCTGGGAAATATATATGAACTCCTCTAGTTATTTTTTCTTTTAATGATTTCTCAAAAAGATATTTTTTTAGAGGAATGAATAGAAATATATTTGTGGTTTGTTGCCAACCGATCAACGGCTCATGCGCGAATGTGATAGATGTAAACAATAACAAAGAGCGTTCGTATTGAGATTATTTCCCTAAATTTGAAACAGACGTCATAATCTACTCCGATTTACGGACCAATTTATATCCTACAACCTTCTGAAATTCACTTCTTTTCCACCAAGGCAAAAACTTGGAAATTTCGGTCGTGGGGAATAGGAATAAAAAAAATGTGAATGAATATATTTTTTTTCCAATGAACGTAAATTAAGCTCTACTGTTTTATGCATCAACGTATATTTTACAAACTCTGAAACGCCACTTCCATTCTGCCTCGATTAAAAAATAAATAAAAAATAAAAAAATCCAGTGAAAACCGTTTCGGAATTATTAGAAAATATATTACAATAGAATTAAATATTCAGAAAACTTTAACAAAAATATATTGTAGTTTTATCCACCACAACAATTTCTGCAGAGAGTATTAAGTGGTCAGTTCTGGGGTTCAAAGTTAGCATGGTAGTGATTTTGGGACACACACACACACACACTTATACAAAAAAATAGAGAGATTACAAACGCTATAAGAGAGAGAGAGAGAGAGAGAGAGAGAGAGAGAGAGAGAGAGAGAGAGAGAGAGTGATGCAGTAGCCTAGGTAGTCATAATGAGGGGAGGGAGAGTCAGGTACTGATACTACTGTCACCTGTACCACACGAGGGAGGGGGAGAGAGGGAAGAAAAGTGGGGGGAGGAAGGGGGAGGGAAAGCAATAGGGGGAAAAGAGAAGGGAATAGAGAAAAGAAGAGAATGAGGCAGAAAGACTATAAAGGGAGGATGAAGAGGGAATGAGAGGAGAGGTGGTGTCATATAAGGTGCAGGTGTCTTAATATACAGGTGTGAGTGGGGACATAGGTATGACACAGATGACACAAGTACGACACGGGACACAGGTATGACACAGGTGACACAGGTATGACATAGGACACAGGTGTAAGGCCACAATCAATGGCTGCTGGTGAACACAACTTTAAGAAAGCCGAGGACCTGCAAGGCTACCATGAAGGAGCACACAGCCCTCCTTCCTTCATTCCTTCCATCTCTTCTTCCTTCCTTCACTCATTCCTTTCCTCCCTTACACTCTTCCTTCATTCCCTTCCTCCAACTATCCTCCCATCCATCACTCATTCCTCTTCTCCCTCACTCCCTTTCTCCTTCCTTCCTCCCCTCCCTCCTTCCTTGCTTCCTTCCCTTACTCTCTTCCTTCCTTCCTCCCCTTCCTTCCTTATCCTCTTCCTTCCCTCACTTCCTTATTAATAAAACAACCACAACACAATGCTACAACAATCACAAGTAACAACAGTTGTGGTAAGCCTATTTCTTCTCTTCCCTCTCCTCTTAATTCTACAACAATAACAACAACTACTACTACTACAACATCCACTAAAACATCTACATTCACAACAACAATTACTACAACAACTAGCGACACACATTAACGCAAACAATCAATAAAACATCTACAATATCTACAACAATCACTACAATCTCTGTAATAAAATACAAAACAATAATTACATCTACAACATCCACTACAATCACTACCTCAGCAACAATAATATCCACTACAACATCTACAACAAACACCACAACTAAAAATCTACTTCAACAATATGCACTACAACAACAACAAGTTATATACTACAATAATTACGTCTACTAAAACGACAACACTATCATCTACAATATCTACTACTCTAATAACCACTAACAACCCCACACCCACAACTACAACCCACTAACAACCCCGACCTCCACAACCACTAGCAACTCCCACAACTACAACCCACTAACAACCCCAGCTACAACCGCTAACAACCCCAGCTACAACCACTAACAACCCCCACCTCCACAACCACTAACAACAACCACAACTACAACCCACTAACAACCCCCACCTCCACAACCACTAACAACTCCCACAACTACAACCCACAAACAACCCCAGCTACAACCACTAATAACCCCCACATCTACAACCCACTAACGACCCCACAACCCCAGCTACAGCCACTAACAGCCCCCATAACTACAACCCACTAACAACCACAGCTACAACCACTGACAACCCCCCCAACAACATAACACTGAGTAGTGACAGAAAGGTTCCTCCCGTTTCCTCTCCTATTTACCGGTATTGTTAATGATATTTTCCGTGAGGGGGCTGAGGGCTGGAGCTAGGGGTTGAAGGTTGGGGTCTAGGGTCCAGGGAAGGGGTCTAGGAGCTGAGGGCTGGGGTCTAGGGGCTGAGGGCTGGGGTCTAGGAGCTGAAGGCTGGGGTCTAGGGGCTGAGGGCTGGGGTCTAGGAGCTGAGGGTTAGGGTCCAGGGAATGGGTCTAGGAGCTGAAGGCTGGGGTCTAGGGGCTGAGGAAGGGTTCTGACGGGTAGGGTTTGGGAACTTTAAGGGCTGGTATAAGGGGGCTGAGGGCTGGATAAGGAAATAAATAGGGAAGTGGCAGGGGAATAATAAGAAGGGAGTGGGAGGGAAATAATAGGGAAAGAAGTGGCCCGGAAATAATAGGGAAAGAAGTGGCAGGGAAATAATAGGGAAAGAAGTGGCAGGGAAATAATAGAGAAAGAATTATGAGTTATATACCGTACACTTACTGTAGATGTAGTGAAAAGCGGTTGGAGATTACCTAAGATTTATTGTCTCTCTAACTATATTATCTCTCTCATTTTCTCTACGTATAATAATAATAATAATAATAATAATAATAATAATAATAATAATAAATAGCATCTGAGCACACATAAATCCTGCCCAAGATCTAACCAGCGACATCATTACTGTAAATTAAAGTAGTTACTCCTGAAAAACTGTCTCATATCATCGTTTTCTTCCAATACTGAAACGCTTGGTAGAAGGGGCTTATGTGATGGTGGTAATGGTAGTAGGTAGGTGGGTGCATATGTGTCGAGGGGGGGGGGGTGGATGGATGGATGGATGGATGGAGTTGCAGACTGGTTGGGGGTTCAGGAGTTGTGTGGTCCATCCCAGCTAAAAATACCCGCAGCATCTTAAAGAGGACATATTACACCACACTGCCGGGACCAACACACACACACACACCTCCTCTTCTTCCTACTCTTCCTCCTCCTCTTCCTCATCCCTCTACCACCACACCACACACACCCCTCCTCCTATATCATCACCACCACCACCACCACTATCAGCACCACATCACCACTATCAACAAGAACGTACGTCATTATCACCACAATTATTATGAAGTCAAATTAATAATAATTATATGAGAGAGAGAGAGACAGAGAGAGAGAGAGAGAGAGAGAGAGAGAGAGAGAGAGAGAGAGAGAGAGGAACATTTTCTACATGCACCCACATTTGTATATCGACCCCCTCCCCCCCAAACTTTCCCCACAAATAATAGATGGGGGACGAGGTGGGGGAGCGATGATGGTGGGGATGGGGGTGAGAAGATGGGGTGAGGGTGGTGGGACAGGCGAGGGTGGGTGGTAGGGGTGAGGACTGTGGAGGAGTGGGGACGGGTGGGGTGGGATGGAAGAGGGTGGGAGAGGTCACAGGGTACAGTGAAGCAGTGTTTGTCGGACTTATAAACATACACACTTACACACACACACATAGATACACCCACCCCACACACAAAGATACCCCACACACACACACACTACAACTACACTTTGCTGTCACTCAGAATCGAGTATGACGATCATCCAGCTATGATACAATAATATGAGGTATTAGGGATGTGAGTTTTGAGGTGACTAAAGAGACGGATACGGTAGCGTCGTTCACATTCGTTGCACATGTGGAGGGCTACATCTACTGCAAGAGGGGCGGAAGCAGCGTCTTTCCGGCGTTGGCGCTTGTCTGCCTCGGTTTGTAGTCGGGCTAACTCGAAAGTATTGACATCTTCTCGTGTGGTGCTCTTCCAAGCTTTACAATGTGGAGTAATCGACTCCCAGGTGAGGGGATCGATTTGGCACTTTTTCAGGTTTGTCTTAAGACTATCCTTATACCTTTTCAGTTGCCCGCCAGCGTTACGTTTACTACTCGTTAGGTGACTATAAAGTAGCTGCTTTGGCAGTCTACTGTCGTCCATGCGGGTAACATAGCCAGTCCAACGTAGTTGTTCATGGATAATGGTAGCCTCGATGCTCCTACAGTTGGTGTCAGCAAGAATACTGGCATTTGTTCTCTTGTCTTCCCAGCGAACTCGGAGGATGGAACATAGACTACGTTGGTGAAAGTTTTGAAGTGCCTTGAGGTGCCTCCTGTATGTGGCCCACGTCTCACTGCCATATAGCATGGTGGGCAGGACCACTGCTCGATATACGTGCAGCTTTGTAGATAATTTCAGCTCCCTACAGCTGAAGACACGATTTCGGAGTCTGCCAAAGGATTGAGATGCACATCTGAACCGATGCTGAATCTCTTCATCGATGTCTGCGGTGGTGGACAGGTGGGAGCCGAGATACCGAAAGTGGGCAACATTAGAGAGGGCAGTACCGTTAAGCTGG